TGAGCTAGGAAACCGTTGTTGTTGGTGTGCAGGTGGCTTTTTGTGGACGTGTCTTTGGAGCGAGGGTGATCGATTCTTCACCGACACAACCACAAATGTGGTTTTCTGGATTTGCCTCGATTTTCTGGGGGGTTTTGCATGCTCAAGGCCCCCCCTCCCCTCCCCTCCCCTCACTTCCCATGCCCTTCCTGAGCATTGCATTGCGCGGCACGATGAACAAAGGGTACCACCTCACATCGGATCGAAAACAGAATGTGCGGCGATGAGGGTCGCCATCTCCAGCCCCCGATGTGATATTGTGGTTCCAACCCCCCCCCCCCCCCCCCCACATCCACCCGCAGCGCTGTTGCTTGCTTCTCTGCACTCCCGAGCCGCGTGTTTCTCGAATATCGCCGGCGGGGAAACTGTTTTCTGCGGTTCGTCCATTTCGTGTGCATGTTGGTCCTGTCTGTCTGTCTTCATTCCATCCTGCTCCGGATACGAGGTCAGGTCCGAAATGTGCTGAGACTTCGGGAGATAGCAGCAGCCTATGGTTCGTATGCCACATCGCGGTATCTGGCCCTTGGTGTGCGACGCACATTCCTACAGCCAGCGTCGGAGAATTGTATCCAGAGCGAGTGAGCGGCGAAGGAAAATCCGACGTGCCTATAGGTCCTGCTCACTCGCCCCTTCTCTTGTGGCATGGCTGGCTCATCACCATCACCAGCAGCAGCAGCAGCAGAAGCATCGGCATCATCTCACGGGTGCAGCTCCTTATCAATGCTTCGACGCAACATTCGACCGTCCTGTTCGAAATCCGGCACATACTTGTCAGCCCACAGCCGGTTCGCAGCAGTAGGCGCTGAATCTAGGCCGAGCGTGAGATATTTCCGGCAAGCTCGTGACCCTGCTCTCGGTGGTCTTCTGCTCGAGGGAGAGGCAGGAGGCCCAGATCTGCCACTGGCGCCGCCGCCTACCTATCACATCCTCGTATGCTATTATTCTTCTGCCGTGGCATCTGCCCGTCCGTCAAACCGAAAAGGAAAGGGCTGGGTTTCGCGACTCGTCCACCCCACCTCCAACGGCAGCTAGCTCTAGCCAGTCAATGGCCGGAAGGCCATTCTCTGCTCGAGATCGGGAACGATCGAAGACCTGTCCGGTTTGCTTTGGAATTCCCGAGGAAAGCAAGCACAATCGGACAAACGGTATTGGATCTCGTCGCAGCATAGGGCTCCTCCTCCCTGCGGTGTGTGGTCCGGGTTGTTCGTGGCGGCTTTACTGCTTGCTTGCTGCTGCTGTCAGGGAGGGAGGAAGAAAAGCTTCGCAGCTAGGGGACGCCGACGTGGATGTGGCTTTCGAATTGTGAAATCTAACGGACTATCCTCACTACTCTAGAGTAGTGAGGTGTGGGGGCGGCTACTTCTGCAATGGGGTGTGTGCATGGTTCTGTGAACTGGTGGGGTAATATCCACCAGCCGCTTCTGTTTCTGTCTGTTTCCTTGTGGGTTGGGTGGGAATTCGGTGATCTGATTCGGTTTCACTGGAACACTCCATCCTGTGCTGGGATTTGCCAGCAGCAATTCCTGCGCGAAACAACCATCCACCCGCTAGCAACATACATAGCTCGGCACTTCTCACGAGTGGGTCAGACCGAAGGGGATGACCGCAATGAATCGGCTGATTTTTCTGGGTAGTGGAGTTTGTTGGTTGAGTTGAAACTTGGGCAATATGGAGTGAAAGGGGGCGATAAGCGATGGACTCTGGGGAGGAGCCTATTCATTTCAACCGTACCGCTGATCACGTTGCCAAAAAACTCGTGCCACCCGGTCCTTACGCGCGCGACCGGACCCTGACGATCAGGCGTCCCGAAGAGCGAACCCCTCCTCATTGAGGTGTATACCGAGTGCGCTTCCCCACTTGGCTCACTCTCCCCCAATGCCCCGAACGTGTACCCGATAAAGCCAGAGCGTTGGATCACTGTCAGTCACTCACCGGCTGTGGCAGTCGATGGTTCGGATAATACGGCCGAGGTGCACCAGCGATCCCCGGGACGGGATATTCGGCGACAGGCGATACCTGAGACCGGCCCTTCCAACTACTCCAAACCAGTCCAGCCAGATCCTGCTCCGCAGCCGCCGTCACAAATTCACAATCGCCATCGTCTCTCGCTCGCTCGGCAGCATCGCCACGCTTGATGGATTCGTCATCCTGGGTCCGTACATACCCAGAGTACTCTAACCCACACACCTACCCCGATCAGCACTATTCGGCGGAAAACCCCGGCATAGGGCCTGGCCCCCATGCCCTCTGCAAACGGCCTGCTTCGGTAACCACGTCGTGGGCAGAAAAAATCTCGTATTCGCTTGCGCGTGGATCAGGGTACGAGCCCGCCCGCACGCCGGCTATGTATGTAGGTATGATATGTATGTACCTAGATATCATCGAACGGATCGCTGACGTGACCGCCGCCGTACATAGGTAGGTAATTATAACGGACGGACGTTTTCGGGGGCTAATATTTGGGCGTTCCTGGTGGTCGATCATGCCAGGGCAGAGGGACTACGGACTTGCGGACCTGGTGTGGAGTAGAGTACCTACTGGTAGAGTATTAGGGGCGTGGCCGCGTGGGGGGTCGTCGTGATGTTCGGACGGGCCACGAGGCGTGGGGGGTCCTTTCCGCCACCCCCCGGCTTCTCACTCCCTGCTTCGGGTAGCCGGAAGTGAGAGCTTGAAGGGGTCGCTGGAGCGCGATAGGCATTCTGCACGCACGGTCACTCGCTAGACTCTGGAGCGGTTTGTGTGGTATTTCGTCGGTTCTCTAAAATCACAGCCGTGACGTGGTTTGCTCTAAGCAGTGCTTCTTGAAGCTGACTCCAGTGCGCGATCATGGTCCTACATCTACTCGACCGACCTTTGTGAGTACGCCTTGGCGTAGCATCATGGCCCTCCGAGCTCCCTGGCTGTTATCAGTCGATTGATTCGATTCGATCCGGTCCGCCCGCAACAATATTCTCAAACAGGCCGCAAACAGCGGACTACTCTCCGTCGTGGAGAGTCGTTGAAGATGCCAGAACGAATACCGGCTTCCCACGCCGGCCATGGGCCGCATCTGACAATCATAGGTACATATTTCAACGGCAATCAACGGCAATTAATGTTATGCGACTCGTCGTCGTCATAGAGTCATGGCACCAATCATCTGCCCTTTCCCACCACGCCTCCCCCCCCGCGATGTATCCGTGGCTAACCACAGTGTGGTTTACCTGGACCGAGCAACTGCAGAGTCTAGACGTGGGAGTGGGAGTGGGAGGACCCCCACGCGCGCACGTCGTGGATCCGTGGGGGGGGGGGGGGGGGTTGATGGGAGGCGAGGTTAGTGGGAACGGTGGGAACGGAAAGGGCCGTGCCGGTAGACGGCTCCGGACTAACCTATGCATCTTCGATCCATAGTCAAGTGAAGTGAAGTCAAGTGAACCATACCGGGCGTGGAGCCGTAACGCGGCCTGGGCGCTGGGAACTGGGGCTGCAGCAGGGCTGGGTGCAGCGTAAAGTTTAAAGTGTGCACAGCCCTAAATTCGTGGATGTGACATACTATCCCGGAACAATTGAATCAATGGTCTCCTGTCTGCCACTGCCATTGCCACTGCCACTGCTACTGCCGACGGCGCCGCCAGCAGCGGCAGCCGAGACTCATGCTAATAGAGTCACGATAAATCACACAGCAAGAATAGGTAGTGATAGCACCGAAAACAAAACAAGTCCAGCACAGCCTTCCCGCTCCAGCCGCTTAGCCACTGCAGGCTGCAGTGTTATGTCGTGTTGGGTTGTACGTAGAGGCGCGAGACGAGCCACCTCCCGCAGTGCATCCCACACCTTCATCCCGCATCCCTCGGTGTCCTTGCCCGAGCCGAAACGAGATGTATCAGTTCGGTCGGAGCGGGAAGCCGGTCGTTGCTCGGACGGCTGTGAAGATACGTTGAGTACATACCAGTCATGCTTCTGCCCCCAGCCGTTCAGGATATTCAGTGAACGCCAACCCAGTGTTTCATGTACAACTAACTCGTCAAGGCTCTGTGGCCGAGTGCTGATATATGGGTGCAGGCGGAAATGTGGGAAGGTGCCAGTGCACTTGGAATATCAAAGAAGGGACGGTAAACCTCAGTATGGGGGTATCTTATACCGTACATCACCATCATTGAAGAGTTATCCAAGCTCCAGGGCCATGTCCGGGCGGGATTCCAATGGCTCATGGAATGTATGTAGTTTTTCTGTGTCTGCGTGATACCACCTACCGGGTATGTCATTGAAATTTCCAACTGCATTCCCCATAAACGCCATTGACGCTCTCTCTGATCTCCGAGCACTGCACTGCTCTGCACTGGCGGCCGTTGCGGTACTCTAGATATAAAATCACAAGATCACAAGATCACAAGATCCTCATACAAACTCCCCCCAAGTAATCGCAAATGCTATGGTATGAGGTAGGTACATTGTAAGATTTGATGACAAGATCTAAGTACTAGTAGAGTAAACCTTGCAGTCTGAGACTCTGTGTGTGTAAAACACCCTGAGTGAGTGAGTAGCCATGACCGCCACTCATCCGCCGCCAAATCACTCCGTCGTAGAAACCAGATCATCCACTCGTACAATGTCGCTCCCCATCTCAGCTCCTCCTCCTCCCATCATTCGCTCGTCCACCCAGCCAGTCCATCCCATCCCATCCAAAACACCCAAAGAAAAGGAAGAGAAAACAAACAAATGAAGAAAACGCACCAAGGAAATCAAGTCTTCAAAAGGAAGAAAGGAAAGAATTAGAATGCGTAGTATGCACCCGGGAGAAGAAAGGAAAAGAACAGAAAAAAGGACAAAAAGGAAAGGTACCGACAACTGCAGAGCGGAAGTTGAAAAGAGAAGAGAAGAAGAGAAGCCACCACAGCACCACCAAAATTTTACTCATCGCCAACTCAATCACGCTTCTTCTTCTTCTCCTTCTCTCTCAGCCCCGGTTCAACAGTGCCGTACTATTCGTCATTGCGATTATCCCAGGACTTCTTCTGCGCTCTCGGCTCCGGCTTTTCCGGGCCGTCCGCGTTCCACGCCGGCTTCTTGCCCTTGCCCTTGCTGGAAGACTTGGTGGCATCTTGAGAAGCAGACGGCTGTGGATTGTGACGTGAAGAAGAAGACGCATGGCCACGTTCAGACCCGGCATTCTTCACGGACTCCGGCGGGCTGCTAGCACCCCACCCACCGTGAACGCTCGGTGGTGTGGCAGGGGAGTTCGAATTGCTACCCCAACCACCACCACCACCCGAGTTCGAGTCCTTGATGGGCGACCGCTGGTGAACGTGAATACTCGCTTCCTTAGTCGGAGCCGGGGTATTGTTCCAGCCATTGTTGCTTGGAGTGTGGCGAGCACTCTCTCCCTTGGTCGGAGACGGGACCTGGTTCCAACCATTGTTGTTGCTACGAACGCTCTCTGCCTTGGTTGGAGGCGGAACCTGATTCCATCCACTGTTACCTGAATTGTGGTGATCACTCGCTTCCTTGATAGGAGTCGGGGTCTGATTCCAGGCATCGTTGTTGATCGGAATGTGACGGCTCCCGTTCGGAGAGGTCCGCGGAACTGCCGTCTGATCCAAGGGTTGAGCAATGACTGGAGCCGTGGGCTGGAGGATCGGCGAACTCTGATGATGGATGATAGGCGGTGAACCCAAGGCCTGCTCGATGCGCGGGAGCTGGTAGGGGTAGGCAATGGGCGCCGGTGGAACTCCAAATGCGTTATAAGCGGGCTGGAAAGTAACTCCTGGAGCGTAGGCATTGGCAGGCCAAACTGGCTGGTTGAACACGTAACGTCCGGCCATGTGCTCAGATGGCGGTGAGGAGTTGTGGGTGGGGGTCGACCCCGAAGGGTGAACATGAGTGTGACCTTTGTTGCACTTGCAGTATTTCACAACTATCCATGATCGTTCAGCAAACTACCACAGAGGACAATTGATATCGGATGACTCACCACACATACAAGGCTCGTCAGGGCTGCGATGATCGTGGTGCTGGCCGTGAGACCTCTCTCCTTCAGCGTGGTGCTCGTAATGAGTGGCGACATGCGGCGCGGCCAGCTGTGGGTAGAATAGTTGCGGGTGAGGCTGCGGAACGCGAATAATCAACGAGTCATCAGACCCATTATGGTTGGCGGCGACCATCTGACAGTCAACACCCGCTATCATGGGAAAGCCAGGAGCAGGCGCAATAGCAGCCTGGGGATACGTCATCTGCTGCTGTCCGTACATCGGCTGAGGTGGCTGCATGTAACTGTAATTGCTGGCACCCATGGTTACCGCCGCATTCTGAGAGGCTCCAAGATTGTAGTTGTTGACCACGACCGACTTATTGCCCGTGCTGTGATTTTTAGCATCTTAATCGGTCAAAAGACGGTAGTTATCATCCCGGAGGTAGACAAGTCGTTTTTCAGACAGATGAAGGCAGGCCTCAACTTACATGATGGAATTGTAAATATCCCCAGCTGAGGTCATGGTCGTCTTGTATGATTTCCGGTTCGGCCCATATTCCGGCGCCGGGATATGTCTTGACATACCGGGCAACTGGTAGCAGGAGGTACGGGGAAGTAATCTGACGAGCGTCTATGCTTTCCGAGAAGGAGAGTGCCGACGGGTGGGGGTCGACAAAAGAATGTAAGGTAAGGAAAGAAAGGACTTGGTGATGGTGTGCGATGGGGACCGTGGTGAGGAAGTGAAGGGTAGTGATGAGGAAGGAAGAGGTAGGGATGAAATGATGAAAGGATAGGTAGTGGATGAAGGAAGGCTTGCAAGTTTGCGGAAACTGGATTGCTTTGTGGGCTGTACCGCCGAGCTGTACTCCGCCGAGCTCTATTGGCACGGCGATCTAGTCACTGTTGGATTGGGTCAAGTCCGTACACTGGGTTATCGGGCCACTGAGTCGTTGTAGGGCCGATGCGAGTTGAGAAACATCAAGAACATTCACACTCACTACGATGGAAAGAAGAGCAATAATACATGACCGACGGGAACAAATCATATATTTGCTTCCTTTTATTCTCCCATCAGTCTGTGCAACCATTGGCGAAATGATGTGTTTACATGTATCACTGCGTTGTACATGTCAGGCCGATGCCTATACCGTAGGTTTCTGCATGTCCGCAGTAGAAGCCCGTTGTCGGGAAAGCAATCACGGTCGGATAGATGTTAGCTGCCGATAATGGCACCGCGTGCGTCCGAAGGCGAGCGATAGTTAATGGGTCACATGTGAAAGACTGTAGCCATCGTGCATACATGATGGATTTCTGGGTATGAATCACTATTGAATTTAGAACACGAAGAATACAAAGAAGACAAAGAAAACGAACATACGGGTAGAAAATCACAGGCATGGCGCACGTAAGTGGGAGATTAGAGATCCCCGGAAGAACAGAACAATGAAAGGAGAAAGAAACGATGGCTCAAGATCTCCGCGGCCTTTTTTGCCCGTGAAAGTAACGCAATGTGAAAACAACTTATTCCACCGAAATAAAGGCAGTTGTAGGGCACCCCTCAATCATATGTAACGTACAGAAGCCATCCGTGGATAACCCATCTCTCTCAACCAATACACCGGCTCCAGCCTTGGTGATCCGTTAGCCCTACGTCAATCCCAAGTAATCGGAAGGAGGACAGGGGACAAATCATACCTGGCAATCCGCATCCAAAGCCGACAAACAGATAGAGCAAGAAGATGCACACGAACACCAGCAAAATCATAAGCTTGGTGTTCTTCCACCACATGCGTCTCCTCAATCCCCTCGAGCGTACCCTAAACTCACGTGCACCCGTCTGTAATCCGGCCGTCTTGTCCACCAAAAGATCAATCCTCTCTCCACGCTCGAGCACACGCTCGATGTTCTCGGTCATGATCCCGCGTACACTATCGATCTCGCGTTGCGCCTTGGCCACCACATCTTCGTTCTCGCCGCCCTGTGAGAACTGGTGCATGGTGGCTTTGAGGGTGTTGTTAAATTCGGCGCAGCCGTACGGAGGGGCCTGCGCCAGGAGCGACGGGGTGTAGCGAGACGTAAAGAGGCGCTGGATCTCAAGGAGGAAGCCGAAGGGCAGCTTACGAGTGACGGCGGCAGGAGAGATCACGAGAAACGTGAGGCCCGCCGGGAGGTCCGAGGAAGCCGCGGTGGCGATGAAGTGAATCTACACATACCACGCATTAGAAGACGGGAGGCACATAAGTGGGGTGATACAAGGGGTGACCGGACGTTGTGTGGGCCATGAGTATAGGTGAGCTTCTGCGCCGAAGTGTGGGTGATCTTTGGGAGAATGAGGGATGCGAGAGAGGACGCGTTGGAAGAGGCCGTGCCGGATGGAGAATGCTCGCTCAAAATTGTGGTACCCGCTGCGATGCAAGAACTATCGGGAAGACAGAGAGGTTAGCATTCGTGTTTCACAGTATCCGGCGAATGAACCAGGCGGGGCGAGAGGAGAAAGAAACGAACTATAGGAGAGGCGCTGAGGAGGACGCCATATTTGCCGATACGCGGTTGTGGTGGATTCTGTTATCAGGGATTCAAGAGCTGAACCAAAGGCAGACGCTATCGTGATAGTGGTAGTAGTTGTAGTAGTGGTGGTACTGGTGGTGGTGGTAGTGGTGGCGGTGGTAGTGGTGGTTGTCGATGATGTCGATGGGCGAGAGCTGAAAGAGCTGTGCGGGTATCTTGAGGCGTTTGCGGTTGGAAGTGTGAGCACCTCGCCTCACAGCCAGGCATGCAGCCAGTGACGGCATTACATAGCACGATCGAGCAGCAACCAGAGTACCCAAATGACCAGCTTTGGCAATAGATCTCACACAATGGTCATTAAGAGATGGGAAAGTTGATTCTGCTTATCTTTGGAGTGTTTCATACATTTTACTTGCGCCTGCTTTTTATCGTGGTAAGGTGTATGTAGGCGGGTTGACGTTTTGGCACGTGTGACCACCGCCTGCGAACTAGCGGCCACTAAATCGTTGCTACATACCGACACAAGTTTGGCCTGAAGTCCTGCTCTCGACCCGACATCGCGCCAGCCAGCCAGCCGGCTTCGAGCCCCGACGATGCTTCGATGCCACGCAGCCGCGATGACTTGGTTACTTGCCGAAGTATGCACACTCAAGATACTCGCTCTAAGTCTCGATGATGCTACATGGAGCAAAGGGCGAGGGCTGCTTTTAACCAACTCAGGTGTAGAGTACTCTAATGCCAGCTGCTCACGTATGCATACCAATGCGGCCGCAGGAACAAGCCCTGCGAACTTACTTATCCACACAGTTCTTTGTCCCGGCAATGCGGGAGTCATGTGTGGAGTACATATACCTTTACATACGGTACATCGGTGCATGCAGTTGCAAAGGTACCACTCATCCTAATGCTGAATCATTGAAGTGTGGGAGGGAAGTCGCGTTAGAATTGTCCGGACGTTGATAGGACTACTATACTTACTTTTCGGGTTTGCACGTAAGGTTTGTACTCGCGTAACTAAAGGTCGGAGGAAGCTGAAGACAGAATTCACATCGTCGACTCTCGATCCGGACTTTCTGCCTAGACGGACGATCGAAAGTCGAGTCATAGAGGAAACGAGAAAGAAGAACAATCCTTGCTGCCTTGCCTTCCTTGCAGGGGGAGCTGCACGCGCTTCGAGCTCGTGTCTTGATACGTCACCCACTTGCAGTTGCGCACAGAAGCCACTCAACACTCCATTCCGTACATCTCAACAATCAAAGTTCACCGTCCTACTCCCCCCACGGCACTCATTCACTCCCCACGGCACTCATTCACTCCCCATACCAAGCTTCGCTGGAACAACTCCCTCCATACCATCGAAACCATCCCCTTCGCTCATCCCCACCCCTAGTCACCGAGAGATCACTACTACTTACAGACTCCTTGCCGTTTCTCCCCCAGCTTTCGGTTATCTACCCGTCTTCGGGGGTGCCTTCCTGGTAGCTACTTGGCTAGTTCGGGCTTCGGAGAAACCTTCGACAGGTGGCTCTTTTCTGGGCACAACTTCGTCTTTCGACCCCCATACGTACCGGACTCCTTATGGCCCACATTCCTTCTACGCCGCCTCCGCAGCTCAAGGCATACTGGTTCTACACCTCCTCGCAGGCCATCGATGACCCCCTCTCGCCGCTTCCTACCACCGGCCCCCAGACCGTGAGACAGCCGCCGCGTCCTTTCTCAAAATACGACTCGTCCGCCCTCGAAGGTGCCTATCAGCTGCTTCTACGCGAGAACCAATCCCGAGGTCCCAACCGCACCGGCCAGAACACCTCGAAATCTACCTCGCGCTCGCGCTCGCCGAAGCCACGTGAACACCGCGAACACCGTGTAAAGCGTACGGAATCATCGCGATCCCGTGAGGCAGCACTCGAGGGACACCCTATATTCAACGTGGAGGACGACGAACTACAGCTCAAAGATGAGATTTCCACGTCCGCGTCCACTGCTCCGACACAGGGCTCGATGCTTGAGCGGAGGTCCTCGATAGTCTCGGGAGGCCGCCTGGGCTCTCTATTTGCCCCTTCATCTGCCCCCAGCAACGTCTCGACTTTCACGGCAGGCACGGAGGCAACGGCGGCCAACACCACTACGACGCGAAACCCCTTCATACGATCGCTTTCGCTTTCACGGAATTCCACCATGCCTCAGCAGCAATCCTCGGCAAGCTCTTCGAGACGTTCTAGTATGACCGGTAAGAGACCGCCAGCATCCCCAAGCGCGCCGCCGCCACCGCAGAAGGAAATTCCGGTTGGCATCCAGAGGTTACACAAAGTGCTTCTTCCGAGCTTGGTGATGGCGCCAATTTATTGGAGTCCACTGCACGACGTATCCTCGGTAGTGCGCGGTACCTGGTTTTACAAAGATACCATGCTTCCGGTGGAGGCGGAAATTGCGAATAGACTGGAGATGGGCTGGGAAGAGGTACGCGCGTGGACCGAAGAGTGGGATATGGAGCTGTCCAGTGCTGTCGAAGTTGGGAGAGAGGGTGAGGAAAAGGTGCGATGGCAGCTTTGGGACACTAGTAGTATTTCTGTTCCGAACAGTCGCCCTGGGAGCTCTGGTGTTATGGAGTCGCAGATGCTCGATGGCACTGCCCCCACCGCCTCCAAGACCACCACAGGGACCTCAAATCCGAACGACCCACCGTCCAGGTTAAAGCCGAACGAATGGGATTGGGTTCTTTTCGTGAACGGCAGAGATGCCTATATCTGCAGAGACAGCATGCTTTCCTTCGGGCAAAAACGACCGCTCGCCAACATCCGTAGGGGGAAACCCGTTGGCACGCATGTGGTTCGGGGATTCTCGGAAGCAGAATGGCTCAAGCTCCATCCTCCGCGGCGGAAACCTCAGCCTGCACCAACCCCGGCTAAGAACAGGAATCACTACGTTGTCGAAAAGAAGACTCCCATGCCGAACAATCCAAGGCGTACCCCAGCGATTAATTCCGAGTTTCAGGCGGGAGGTGATGTCGGAAGCTTTGTACAGCACCAGGAAGAAGGCCTGGGCCTAGGCGAGAATGATGAACAACGCGGGAAGGTGACGGATCTATTCCTAGTAATTCATGGGTAAGGCTAGATCATCCATAGCAGTTGAGTTGATTCTAACATCATCATGTTTGCAGAATCGGTCAAAAGCTTTCCGAACGAGTGGAGAGCTTCCACTTTACGCATTACATCAATTCTTTCAGGCGGTTGCTCAACGTTGAGTTGGCGAATGAAATGGTTAGGCCACATTTGAGGGATGGTGTGGGGTTAATGGTGCTTCCGGTAAGTGGTGGGGGGCTGGGGCGTTGATGATCATGGGTATCACGTGCTGACTTGTGATGCAGATTAATTGGAGGCATAATCTGACATTCGAAGGAATCGAAGAAAATCACCTAGATGAGTCGGAAACCGATACCAATAAATTCAACCTGAACGATATTACGCCGCCGAGTATTCCTGCAGTCCGAAATCTGATCGGCGATGTGATGCTCGATATTCCTTACTATCTGAGCCACCACAAAGAGAAGATGATAAAAGCAGTCATCACCGAAGCGAATCGTGTCTACAGACTTTGGTGCAAGAATAATCCAGGCTTCGAGAAGGAAGGACGGGTTCACATCATCGCTCACTCGCTTGGGACTGCGCTGGCCCTGGATATTCTGAGCAAACAGCCGACCCATACCATTTATGATCCTAATCCTCCACCTCCGCCTTCCAGTGGCAGTGGTTGGGGAAAGAGGAGGAACCGGGATTCCGGTATACAACACCAAGATGAGCACTTTGACTTCAACACTTCGAACATCTTTTTCTGCGGTGCGCCGGCGGCATTCTTCCTATTGCTCAACAGGAGTAAGTGGTTTCGTCCCTTTAGTTCAAAGAAAACACTCCTGACCGTTGATAGGTATGCTGTTGCCCCGCAAAGGACGAAATAAACCAGGCAGCTATGGAGAGGATAGGGAACCTGGGGTCGCAGGTGAGGCAGGGAAATATGGATGCATGTCTGTCGACAACATTTATAACGTGCTCCATTATTCTGATCGTAAGTTGCATTCATGTGGGGACATAACAGCACAATAGATACTGACACTCTCGATAGCCATTGCGTACCGCCTCAACCCCACCGTCGATACCGACTACGCCTCGACCCTCAAAACCGCATTTGTCCCGTCCACAAACGTCTCATTCTTCGATGCCATCTCCTCGACCATCCGCTACGTAATCCCAGGCGTCTCTTCGGAGAACACATCTCCATTCGATGGGTCCCCGCACGCCGCCCAGCATCCCACGATCGCGCGCCTACCTTCCAACATCGAACTAGAAACCCATGACTTCTCACGCGAGGAGCTGGCCGAAAAGCGGTTCTTCCTTTTGAACGACAACGGACAATTGGACTGGTATCTCAACCTCGCGAACCCACTGGAGAACCAGTATCTCAACATGCTGGGAGCACACAGTAGCTACCTCTCGAGCCGAGACTTTGCACGAATGTTGGTAGTTGAAGTTGGCCGGCCCGTGGGGAGAAAAGGAACCCTGAGAGGCATGCGGGTGCAGAAGAAGAGAGGGTTTTCTTTCGCGAAGTAGGTAAACACGTTGAGCGCTGGAGTTGGGGTATTTCTTATGATAGCTGGCGTTTTCTTTTCAGAGACTTTTTTCTTTCTTCTTCAAGTAAGGGAGACTTTGATTTTCGCTTTTTCCTTTGCTGCTTGCTTGTAGCACTTACTTACATAGCGGTTACCCACCGAGCTCTTGATCTGTCTGTGGTTTTCTCTTGGGGAGCTATTTTGTTTCTTTATCTCTTGCCTAGGTATGCTTTTATGTAAATGCTGGTGGAGTGGGAGATTGTCGATACAGGTTGGGATTTCATTCTTCTGTTGATGCGCCTCGGCGGCTGACGGGGGCCGGGGCAGGCGCCAAATGCGCACGTTGTACCATATTACACTTGTATATTAGGCTCCGTTCGGTGCCGTACGTTTATTTTTTACTACGCAATAAATAATAAACGGTCCACTAGTCCGTAGCAACTTGGCGCCCAGGCATCTCAGATATCTGTTCGGCAACACCACTTTCTCCGTATCTCACACTCGACAACCTCTCTACGCCACACTGTACTATACTACTTCCACCAAAGGTGAAAGTTGAAACAGTTGGTAAGAGGGTGCGCAGAGCACCGTTCAGGAGAACTAGTCACATGGTTAGACGGACATAGAGACTCGGCGACAGAGCAACAGAGCAACACAGCAACACAGCAACACAGCAACACAGCAACACAGCGACGCGACGATGCGACGACACGACAGAACTACACCACCGCCTCTACTCAACTACTTTCTCGAGTCCTTCTCCTCTTCCCAAGTATGTCCTCTCTACTGCATCGCGTCCTGGTGGGTGAAAATGTTGAGGCAGAAACAGAGATACCGTACAGGTGATGGACAGTCGGAAATAGGAGATAGACAACGGGGGAAGATGGCAGGCAGTGGGCAGCTTGTATATAGGGTAACTATTCTACAGCCCACAACAGTGCCCAGTACACAGTGTGTTCGCCTACTCAATTACAGTGTAAAGCTCTACCATCGCGTTGAAAATGTTGTTAGAAGTACGGCTGATCGTGTCGCCACTTCGTTGGAATGGTTCTTGTGCCATACGGTTGGACGCGTTCTCGCCAACAATTTTTTGAGAAATATCGCAAGCTGCTCTTTCACTGACATAGCGCATCGGTTGGAAGTAGTCGTGATTGATATTTTCTAGGGTGAGGAGACTGCAACCGGCGGACATTCTGGATGTTGTTGTACGGCTTCAGGGGGATCTGGTGACGAATGCCAGCATAGTCTATTTTTTGGTGGAGGCTTAGAGAAATACGCAAGAAATACGATGTGGCTGAATTACAACGATCATATTTTCTCAAAGTCGTTGCGCCGAACGCTCAGCGTCTTTTTTATGTTGCGTACATTAAAATTTGGGTGGTATAATATTTATCACGTACGGCACCGAACGGAGCCTAAGAGATATTGAATGGTTCGCGATGATCGGGAATGACAAGGACGATGAAGTCATACGCAATCACTCAGATGCTCGTGCTCCGGAGTCCGTATGCCACCGGAGCCGCGAGGGATAATGGGAAGAAGCAGTGGCATTGGAATAGAGAAAAGGGGCCGGAACCAAACCGACAATAAAACAGGAGGACAGGGCAACGGAACTTGGAAGAAAGAAATATAAACTCTGGAGTCTGGCCGCCTTTGGTCTTCCCCCTCAGCACCGTCCGCGACCCAATTTACCTGCGCACCGAGAGGCCAAAACTGGTGAAGGTTCAAAATCGTGATCAATTGGAAGAAAGTCTATTGGTGATGACACATTCGGTTGGCATACATACAACCTCTCTACCATAAAGTACCGTAGATATGGATGGCTGGTTGTTTTTGATTAGCGCGGAAAGTGAAAAGCGTTCTGGTTGGCCGTATCCTGCGGGCATCACGCAGACAAACAATCGGCTGGAGAACCCATAAACGTCGATTTGAAGAGGTGTCTGAAAGGCGGGTGCGGGGTTATTGGCGTTATGGTGGTGGTAAGGAGGAGTCGCAGCTGAACTCTGGAGAAAGCAATCAACCGCAGGCGACAACAGAGGTTGTGCATAGGGGCCAGAAGCAGTTTGCAGCGATACACTGAAGCGAGGCTGTGCAACACCCCAACAAATCACTAGCCACAGATGTAGGTCTCCTCCCACCTACCCCGCCTCTCCGTCCAGCTTCGCCCCCCCCTCTTTACTGACAGAAATGAGCCCACCCCTCAGAGCGGAATACGGCCCAGCCGCGTAGGGACGTCGAACATTCACGGCACCCATGTGGCCGTGGTAGCTGCCTTCAACGAAGATGCACGCCTGCCTCTGCCCTACGGTCAAGCTCGAGTGGCAAGTACCGTCGTTCGTGAAGTCGTAGGTAGGTGGGTATAAGACGATCTTTTCCTCCCATCTCCCTCTTGAGGTTCGCGGAGATTATCGCTCGTTAACAGATCCCGACGTTCCAATCAACGTAGGTACACAGGCAAACCATCGATATGTCCTCCTCTCTCTGCTAATCGACGCTCACAGACACTCTTTTTACAACAGACATGCAGGCGCAAGCTGGCAATATTCTCCTTGGCTGTGCCATCGGCATGGTCGGGTCAATCATCGGAATGCTGGCATTCTTGCTTCTATCCCAGCGAAGGAAAGCGGCCCGGCAGCGGGACGTCCTACGAAGCGCCGAAGAAGGCAACGAAAAGGCCGAACAGGCGACCGAAGCGCCCGCTGAATTCCTGCCTCCTGCTCGGCCAAAGACTCCAACTCGGATTCCAGGCGCTTCACCACCTCCCCGCCGGAAACCCGTCCCCACTCGTGTTCCTCTGACTTTGGATATCCCACCGCTGAGCAATCCCACTCTCACTAAATGTCGGTCTCTGGCAAGGACTTTGAAGACCACTATCGAGCAATTGAATACCTCGCCCCCCCAATCACCCCGCTCATCGCCGCTACCATCTCCGCTGCCATCGCCACCACCGTCCTTACTGCCATCGCCCCTCCCGTCGCCCCTACCAACAAGCACATCTCCCACGTTCCCTGAGAGCCATGCGGGATTTCGCTTCGACTTCGAGCTTCCCAAGATTGATACTGAGATCGATCGTACGCCGATGAGTCTCACCGTCGAGGAACTCCAGGGCGGCCGCGGTTCCTTGATAGTCATCGCACAGACGAACGCCGCTCGGGCTGTGTCGACAGGAACCGCAGTAGAGCGGCCTTATCTGACGCCGCCGCTTCCGCTTCCGCTGCCGTCCGCAATATATGCCGCGTCGAGCGCTCGGAGTTCGCAGGCAAGCTATACCATCGATTGTGGATTCCAATGATCTTATGCACGCGCGAGGGTCTTTAGCATGTGTTTTCCTTCTTTCATTCTGTCTTTCGTTTTATTTATTTTCACGGTCCGGTTCGGGGTTTCTTCCCTCGCCAGCTGCAGGGCAGTTGACGTGGGCATGGGTTTTACATGGTTATGGATAACGACTTGGACTGGGAGCAGGAGTTCTGGGCTTTTCATTGGGGCGGTTGGGTGTGTTTTTTTGGGTGTTCAAAAATGTCACGGTCTTTTTATACTACAGAAGGGTTTAGTTATTGAATTTGAATAAAGCTACAATCGTTTTCGAGCAAAAGGTTCGGGTTCGTCTTGCGACTGAACCGCCGAAGTGCGGCATGCTTCCCCAGACGAGTGCTAGGCAACACCCGAGGAGGGCCAACGCGGCATTTGCCCACAAGTCCCCAACGGACGGAACTTGATGCATACCGTATCTACTTGGTACCCTACTATTAGCCAAGTTGCCTGGAAGTAGAGTACTCTGGTTGAAAGGGGTTGGAAGGACCTCCGTGATCTTCCACATACCAACCCTAACCCATGGAGCGGTTGAAGTGCCTTCCCGCAAACCTACCTAGCGAACCTGTCGCGACGGGATCTGAACCGAGCCGTCATCTTCGTTATTGCTGATGGTTGCAGGGCCGGATATTCGTCGTCTCAGTGCTGCATCTAAACAGTGATTCAGCAGTCAGAAAATCCACCCCCACAACAAGAACCGGCCGCATGATCTTGGTTCTTCGTTCGTCGAATGGCCAGGCAAATCTCCGGCCTCGGAGGAATTCTTCAGACCAGGCCCGTTCTACTTTAGTTATTTGCGTCACGGAAGCTGCAGCACAGACCACGGCTTTGTTTCTCGGGATCCGCAGCTCAGGTCTCACCGGCCTTCTCAGGGAAGGCAGATCCCGCGCGGTGGCGGTGGCGGGCTAAGCTTCGAATCTCCGAATAGTCTGTACCGCCGCGGACTCGGCGACCTCGAAGTCCGAGCTTGTGGCGCTGATAGCGGCGCGGTACGGTGCTCACCACCCGAGTAGGGCCGTTGACCGCAAAGTAGACTTTTTGGATCTACTTACCTGCTCACCAGACGCGCCGCGTGATGGCGATACGTACCTGTAGAGTAGTTACAGATTGCGCGAGGCTCTCTTCACAGATGTTTCGCTGAGACAGGCCTCTGGAAGGTGGTCGGCGAACGTACGCGCGTAGACGGTACATACCAACGGGAAAGAATATGCCTTGACGATCTTATCAGGAGGACCGCCACATCGGTGCGTGCGGACTGTGGTGTCAGAAGCCTCCTGTCCGTTCCATTCCCGGCGGCAATAACGATTGCTCTATATATCAGCCCTGGGACCGTCCCCTAATTCCGCTTTCGGTACCTTTTTAATCTTGCCAGATTGTTTGTAAAGTGCACGTACAGTACATCTTCCTCAGGCACCGCCATCCCTCTCCCCTAAATCCCCCAGGCCTTCGTCCCTACGCCTCGTCATCCCCCATTTCTCTCCATTCCTTCTTGTTGCTTAACCGACGCCTTCCCTCTCGTTGAATTTTATCTCTTTTCGATATACTCTCCCTCTGTAGTATATCGCCAATCAATTGTTGCGCACGGCTTCCTTCCTTTGTCCCCGCACAAGCTACAGCTTTCGGATACTGCGCACGCACTTCACCGGTATGCCACCCTGTTCTTCACAGATTCAGCCGTAGTTACCGTGCTGGATTCCTGGGAACCCAGTCAATCTGAGCTGATAAGGTAGACAGCATAAAGCAGTTAATACAGGGCGTCCGCCTCGTACATATATCTCGCCCTCCGTCCGACTGGAGAGCCTGTTCTCTTTTATCCACGGTTGTTGGCGTCAGCGTTCCTGAGTCGCCAATCAAAGCGCCCAGTTGAAACGGAGTCGAAACGCAAGCAAGCAATACCAACAACCAGCTATGTCAGGCAGCATCCCATGCCCTCCGTCGGATCGACCAGAATCTCGGACTACTTCAAAGCGCCCGTACCCTCCTCGGATATCTTCCAGTGCCCATACATCTTCACAGTATGAGTTGGATCAAAGCATGAGGTTGTTGATGGCCGAGAAGGCGCGTTCTCATGTCAGTGGTTCGATGAGGAGGGATGCAGCGCCGGCAGGACATCCGGACCGTTCAATACCGCCCAAATACAGTTACGATACCACGGGACCTATGTCCGGGGCAACGAATATCGAATACTGGCCGACTAGCGAAAGCCCCGCTTCGTCCAGCTCCCACTCTTTTCCTCGCAAACAATCAGAACATTCCCTTCCGCGCACACATGGACTCCCAACACAAGCTCCCCCTCAACTACGAAGCAAACCCTCTCGAGAGAACAGTATCACCGCCGGAAGAGAGCGCTCTCGGCCGAGGGCTCCGGAACGAAGCTATTCCGACAAGCCGCAGCATTCCGGTTCCTTGTCACCACCTACCGCGTCCCGAGAAAAAGGCGGATATCCGTCAATAGAGGCCACTTTACACCGTTCGACAACATCCAACGCAGCGTCCGGTCGCACCGAGTCCTCTCTATCTAAGCCACCACCGCCCTCACTCGCATCCGGCGCCCGCTCGCGCTCGCGCTCGCTAAAGGGACAGCAGATACCCGACCCTCGAACAGCGGGGATTGACGGCGATAGTGGTCAGAGGCCATCGAACGCAACCCCAAAAGCAAAAAAGGCCCCGGAAAAGAAGGTGCTGGAGACGGTACTTGGAATTTATCCAGCCGAGAATAAGCTGCCACCGGGAAGAAGTGCTGCCGACGAATTCGTGGCCAGCATTGCGAGAAGGTTCGGAAGGAAGAATGGTGCTTCGCAGGAGGACGGGACTTCCGATTCCAAAAGCACCGTGCAAACGGGTGGTTACTACCAGCCGTGGTCTCCTGACTCGGTGGCCACGGGCCCGCCTGTCACCGGGGGTGCCTTTGTTGCCGAACTTCCTGGAAGTGAAATTTCGCCCCCTGTCGCTAGGTCATCATCGCGAGGTGCCGTGAGCAATTATCGTCGCAAGGATGAATCGCTTTCACGAACAGTGCAGGACGGATCACGATCCCAGAGCGTTCCAAGAACGGTCACTCACCTACCGACTGGACCACGAACCGAGAACACCTACGCAAACCTGGCCCCACTGATAGTGCCTTCTGCCGCCGGTAGAAGTCGATATACTGAGAAGCAAGGCCTGGGCCGGCCGACAACTGCAGATACCGACTACGACATTGACATTGCCGAGTGGGCGGAATCATTTTATTCGGGGTCGCCACACTCTGAAAATCCCAGTCCGCTTATCCAAGCACCCAAGCCCGAGATTGACCAGTTGCAGCGAGCCTCTGTATTGAACCCCGAGGGTGCAGTTTATGGAGAAGCCTTGTCCCTGCAGCACAGCCACTCCTCATCCTCCTCCAGGTCCCACTCCCGGCCACACTCGAGATCGTCTTCCCGGTCAACTGTTCGAAGCTCTTCGTCCCGCGGACGCTCGTTCCCCAGGACACCGACCGCAACTACATCATTGGATTCCGGCGGGAGAACATCCCACGCATCGTCCATCGACGCGTATCAATATGAATCCTACGATACGGGCCAGGGTCTAGGCCTGGGCACGATCGGAGAAGATGACGGGTTTTACGGGGGCACTCACAACATCCACAACGTCAATAGACACATGGGCGTGATAAAGCCCGATAGCCAAATGGGCTACGATTACGATGGCGACTACGTAAGTGGCATGTACGATGGAGTCTCGGATGATTTGCAGATGGAGTTGGAACTCGAGGCGATGCTGGCTGCGAGACGGAAGAAGCTGCTCGCTGAGAAGGCGAGGTCGCCGGTGGTCGCTCCAAAATGCGCCCTTGATGCGGAGATCGAAGCGTATTTGGCCGAAAGGAAGAAGGCGGCCCAGCCGGTGGAGAAGCAGGAGAGGCTGTTTGAATTGGAGGGTGATATCGCCGGCGGTAACTGGCACGATGAGAAGATCCGGTCTTTGCGGACTAAGTACTAGGATTGATGAATTGAAGATATGTATTTATTCCTAACTGAACAGAGGGTTCTGGCACCGACAGCGATCTCATTTCTTTTTGGCAGGTTTCTTTATGGCGTTTTTTTGGGCATCTTCTTGGACTGGGTTTTGTTGGAGGGTTTCACCGCGTTTTCTTTTGCATCTCACATTTCGCTCTCTTGGAGGGATGGCCTCTCTTTCTCCCCACTTGTATTCTATTCTACCTGTTCGGTATTGCCTACCTAGCCTATTCGTGCAAAATTATTCGTTTACCCCCAGCCACAGTCTATGAATCCACTCCATCAACATCCCCCTCCTACGGTATATTGGTATGTTTCTGCGATTCTCTGGTACACTTATGCTGATTCCCTGCTTACACGTACGAACGGACCATCGTATTCTTCCATAATCGACTCTGTACCTATCCGCACATAAGGCAAGGTAAGTATGCAGGTACCACCTTTCGGCAAGGAAAACAAGGTATCGGTATCAGTGGGGTCATTTCCCGTAGACAGATGAGTGCCGTAAGGTACTTATGTGTTCCTGAATGGTGTGACAGCTCGATAATCTACGAGATGAGCTGGTGAGTGTGATGGCGTGGTGTCGTAGTGGCGTGATGTGAGCGAACAATGGACATGGTGGCGGAACTCGGCTATGAATGTGAAGTAGCGGCGCCTGTGCAGTTTGTGTAGGCTATTTGAGGGTAACTATCGTGGTTAGACTCGTAGTTAGACTCCATGCCTAGACGCCGTCTGCTGCCGCGGCGGACGTCTGCGAATTTCAGATCCATGGGGTATCACTCTGTCGTGTTCGCCTGGCCAAGCTCACGCCGAAGTGCACGATTTGGTAACCTGGAAAACTGCCCATTGACGCCTTGTCATATGTAGGTGTGTATGTGGAGCCGTGGGCTGCAGGTCTCCTACATTGGAAACTCCGGGAAAGCTTGTCTTCACCTTGATCCGTGGTTGGAATGTCTCGGAACCTTCACCGGCTGCCGTATTTAATCTCGTGAAAAGAACTAAAGATATGTCCCGAGGGTGGAAAAATGGCGCATGTCCGCTAGCAAATGCATTCCCCCAAGGCAGGTATGTTCTCGGTTGCGTACCGGTACTATGGGCCATCCCCTAGTACGGAATGGTGAGGTGTGAAGAACGAAAGTTTGATATAGTATGTAGATACAGAACCGCACCGACCGGATATCATTACAAAAGATCATTGAGTTAAGTAGGAAATTTAACCAAGCCGCACTCTTCCCCATGAGTGCAATCGAAGGAGCACAGTAAATAAGTAACCATGCTCAAAATGAATTAAAAAAACATATACACCGCCCCACCACGCCATCTTTCATCAGTTCACACGCACCACCCGTCATTAGCGACCAGTGAGCTAGACGCTCTCCTTCTCGACACTCGTGCCGTGGCCCTTGTCGAATCCCGAGGCGCTGGCACTGCTCTCGAGCTCGTTCAGAGCATTGTCGCCGCCGTATTTCTTGGCGAACTCCATGTCGATGTCCTCGAGAGTCTTGCCGGCGGTCTCGGGGTAGATGAACCAGATCGTGATAGCGAACCACATGTTGAAGATGGCGAAGATGACGTACATCTTGTAGCCGATGTTCTGCAGGGCAGTGGGAGTGATCATAACGACCTGATTGAGACGTGTTAGATTACTGGGGCATCTGGGAGGGGTTGAGGCTGGGAAGGCTTACCAGGAAGTTGAACATCCAGTAGCAGAAGACACCCATGGAGGCACCAGCACCTCGGACGCGGAGAGGCAAGATCTCAGCGGGGTACATCCAAGAACCGGCGAGCCAGGTTCCGCTGAAGATGGCGAAGTAGAGGTAAATGAAGAAGATGATGCCGAATCCGAAAGCGTACGAGTTCTCGGGAGTCGTGGCAAGCAGCGCGGCGACAATGGCAAAGCAGACGGACTGGCCGACGGCACCGCCGACGAGAAGCGGGATACGACCTAGGCGATCGATAAAGAATACTGGGAACAGCGCGCATGTAACCGAGATAACCGATCTGAGATCCCTTGTGTTAGCATTGGATCAACTATTTCTCCTCAATGGGGGCACTCACGTCAGACCGGCAACCCAGAGAGAGGTGTATCGAGAGGTCCTAAGGAATTGCTGCAAAAGTGTGGGTACGTAGTAGGTAATCGAGTTGATGCCTCCAAGTTGCTGCATACTCATCATCCAACAGGCGAGCAGAACACGGCGCAGGTTCTGTGTTGGGCCGGAGGTGAAAATAAGCTTGAAGTTAGACTTCTCGGAGACTCCCTCCAGCTCGACAACTTCCTGCATCTCCCTGAAATAATCTTCGACGCTTCTGTCTTCTGATGAGTCATGGAGGCGCTCGAGAGCCTCCTTGGCTTCGTCGATTCGACCCTTGCCAATAAGCCATCTGTGATGACCTTGTTAGGACGGAGGAAACCACAAACGGCGATGTTGAATGGATTAGCTCACCTAGGACTCTCAGGAAGACCGGATAGAAGCATCACGATGGTGATTGCCGGGAACACAATCTGCAAGAGGACAGGGATAAAGAAGGCTGCAGAGCCGTTGTTCGTTCCGAGACCGAAATTCGTCCATTGGGAAATAAGCAAACCGGTAGCCGTGAAAACCAATTCCAATCCTAAAGTTCTCGAGATTTAGCCATTGAGTGGCCACGAGCTAGGATTGTGTGCTTACCCATGTGGAGACCTCGCGATTTCGGCGGTGCTGTTTCGGCTTGCCATACAGCTGCACAGATATATTAGCAGGGCGATCATCCACGCCGGCAGTCGAGAAACACTCACGGATTGCAGTAGTGTCTATGCCCACACCGACTCCTGCCACTATACGCCCAACGCATAGCGCTGCGATAGTGCCTGCAGTTGCCTGAATAATTGCTCCGATGATAACGATGATAGATCCAAGCTAACACAATCAGATTCCACTCCTTCCGGTCACCAGAGCCGCGAGGACCTACCAGAATAGACCTCTTCCGACCCAAATATCCTCCTATGAGAAAAACGATAATTGCTCCGATCGCGCCGCCAATGTCGAAGAGAGCGTTCACGGTTCCCATTAACCCGGCGTCCGGATGGTTGAACTTTTCAAGGAACCATGGCGCAACAATAACACCAGAGAAGACACCTTGGTCGTAGCCTGGCACGTGAAAGTGTTAATGGGATTGCCCCTGAAAGTGAAGCCGCAAAGAGCACCTACCGAAGAGCATAAACCCCGAACTGGATGCGATGGTGATGCTGTACACCAGCGGTGTGCCGCGCAGGCGGGCGAGTGGTTGGAATCCCATTGTTGCTGTATCGTGTGTGTCGGCGTGTCTCGTGATTGTGATAGCCAGACAACGGTCGTGATCCGAGGAAGACGCAGATATGGGAGGGGAGGTTGCGCGCTTTTATGCGCGTCTGGCTGTAGTTTTCACAGGCAGGATCAAGCAGACCGCCAGCCTCTCACGAGTGTCCCCACATCCCTATCTGTAACTAGTGAACGACAGTGCGACCCAGCACTAGGATATCGTGGAGTAAAACGCCCCAGCCCTGGCTAGCCAACTAGCTCGAAGACGATTAGGTTGGCACAGGGTTACGGAGTGGAGTCTCGGTTGAAGTGCCGGAGCTATGTAGTTGGGTGTTTCTTAGCGGCCGCCACGCCCTGCGACCAATCGGCGCGGCGTGAGTGGGGACGGCCACCCAAACCACAGTGCCAGGCCGATCGTGTTTCCGGATCCATCGTGGCGGGAAGCTTTTTTTCTGAGCTTTCTTCGTGCTCGCCATCAAGCGAGCTGCGCTAACCGCAGACTGACAGGAGTAGGCGAGTCCAAAGCGATGCGGGGGGATGTGGGGAAGAAAAGCTGGGGATGGAAATCTGGGGCGAGGAAAGCTGGGGAGGAAAGCCGGGGAAGGAACGCTGTATTGATGGTGCCCACAGGCGGGGCGACCACATGTGGCCAGCCGCAGCAAACCCCACAAAGTCCAAAACAAGAATCCGTCCGGCTCGTGCACGGCGCAACGAGGTGGAGACCCCTTAAGCGATACCGGTATGGGATCGGCCTGGGCTTTCCTGGAAAAGCCCCCTCTGGCTATTACATAAGGTTTTCCGACATTATCTCAACGGTGAAGTCATGGTGCTGCAGCCGGCCGGAATGTCCCGGCCGTCGTTATTATCTAATCCGATCAAGAGCTATATTTGTGAAGTTAGAGCCCTACAGATCGAGGTGCTACATAAAGGACCCGCATAGTTATGTCTTGGCTCAGTACCGGCCCGCTTTGGTGCCACGGCCATTTCTGCGCGACACCGCTGGTCACGATGTGGGCCTGGGTTCGTGATGAATTAGGGAATCATACGAAATCACACGTATCATGTTGTGTGATACTCGATTCACGTATCACAACTCCCGACTCGTATGCAGCGGCTTACGGACGTGCATCAATTGTATGTATCAAGACGACGTCTGTGGCCCGATTGGTGGTTTCGCATGAAATGTGTCGAGGCTCAACCAGCGACTCGGCGGTCTTACCAAAACGGTACGATTATACATGACTCCCGCTGTCGTTTCGCTATTCTCTACAGCACAGAACCCCTTGCTTCCTCTCCGCCATCAAGAGAGACAGAGAGAGAGACGACGACGACGACCACGAAGCTCGGACGGCAGACGATCAGCAACGGAAGACAAGACGAAACATCACCCTATCGCGCGCAATGTTTCTCCTCAATACTGTCCCCCTCGGTCCGATTAGCAGCAAGTTCAAGTATCCGCTCCTGTCCCTTAACGTCGTCATGATCGTGTGGGCAATCTTCATGAACTACTCGTTCGTTCATCCGACATCCAAGACGATGATGTGGCTGCGCGACCAAGGCTACTGGTGCTTTACGGCCATCTACGTCGGTCTGTGCGCCTTTGCCGTCCTTGTCGGTCTGATCAACGTCTGCTATGTCTACGGGGCTTTCCGTGACACCGATTCCCTCCGGATGAAGAAGTTCAGGAATGCAACTACCATCCTCTGCTGCCGTTCCGTCCCGGTGCATAAGGCAATCGGCATAGTCGTCCTTCTGGTCCTTGGATCCTACGGCTTGGTTTCCTCGATTGCTTTCCGGGACATGTTTGTGAGGCGCGAGTACGAGCATGCGTGCAGTGGGTACATGCTCATGGCGGAGGTCTACGTCAAGTCGGACTTTCCTAGCTATGACGGTGCGTCAGGTTCTCCGATTCATGAGGCCTCTTCCACGATTCGCTTCTTCAAGGATGGTCACCACCAGTATACGATGGACCTGGTGCGGCTTTGGAATCAATCCTTGGGGTTCGACGGCTACAATCGAGATCTGCAGAAGGACAAGAGCTACAACTGGGGAACATTCGAACTGGCCACCCACGTCACCGAGCCCGAGCCTTCGGAGGCTGGCACGAGTGGACGCCGAACCGAGTACGTGAACATGACCAAGCTGGTAGAGGATCAGTCAAGAGGTCTCAATATCACGCAGCCCGGACCGATCGCCAAGATTCACTACGACCTCCGAAACCTGACCTACACCATGACGTTTACCAATACTTCGGCTCCTGGCTTCCCACCTATCGTCAAATCCGGACTATTCAACCCAGACAAAAAGAAAATGACGTTCCCGGATCTCGAGCTGGAGCAGAGTGACAGCGATGAATGGAGATTCACTGATCACGTTTGTCTTCCACCACGCCTCGGAATGAAGGTCAAATACCACGTGGAGAACGCTATCCATGGAGAGTTTGCCCTCGGATGTCGTCTCTACAGGTAATGAAACCCGCAATTCTGGCTTATGATTGAGGCTGGTGCTAACCTGGCGATAATACGTAGGATGTGTGCCGTGAAGATAGGCAGTGACTTGCCCGGGAATGTGCGACAGAATCAGGAACGGATCGAGCACACGTGGCCGGTGGTAGCCGGAGTGGTTGCTTGGGAGTTCGAGTCGTTTACTCGATGCTGCCTGCGAAAGGAGTAATGGGCGGCCCATGTACTGGCGATGATGGGTGTTTTGTTGCGTGGGTAGAGCAGGGTTAGGTTTGCCCGTCGACGAAACAAAGGGCGAAACGCCGGTTCTTTTGCTTCTCGCTCGGTTTTTTCTTTGTGTACAGTGTTTTGTCCTCGACGGTCGTAAAACAAAGGGGGGGACCATCTGACGGGATGCCCTCGATGCCTCGCTTCACCGTTCACCACGTCTTGTGGCTTCATCACACTCATCAACTTGTGTTTTCCCTGGACGTGCTGAAGGCATCATATTCTGTCACCCAGGCCAGCACAATCCTTTTCTATGAGCCCCGATTCCATCTTTCTCGAACAAAGTGATTGTCTCAACAGTGCACAGCTAGGATAAGAGGGTTTTGGCAGTACTACATACACTTGTGGCGCCTACTACTGGTGAATACAACTGGACTGGAGACTCATACATCGCAAGAGTGAGGTCACTCCCAAGCTCTTATTGGAGGACATTGACGCTGAGCTCGTACAGAATCCCCATTCTCTCCGTCGTAATGGACATCTATCGTACGCGTTACCGGAATCTTAAGAGCTGGCTACGTCGAACACGGACCCGATGGTCGCATACTGTCGAATATTATGCAGACCGGCTATACGATGTCGCGGACGAAGCCATTGAGGAGTTAGCCGGCATGATGACATGGGCCGACCTACCTCTGGGCTGGATGGTGTTTAGTTTTCTGTACCTGTGGGAAATTGTCTTCGGCCCGCGAATGGCAATGTGGAATGTCCTCACGTTCTGGATCTTCGCAAAGTACTACGCCTACTCCAAGTATACGTGGATCATGGTGTCCGTCTTCGCGCATACCGATCGCATATACACCCTTGCTAGACGATACGGCCGTCCCTGCTACAACGAGCTCACGGTGCACAGAGAGTTCTACGCCCTGGTTGCGCTTTCGGTACTTGTGGTAGAGCTCCAGTCTGGAGGCGGGGTGCTCCGTGCGCTCCTGTGGCTGCCTGGATACATCGTGTACTGGCATTTCCCCGTCGTCTGGCGGCCAATCTTTGATCCCAGCGGGCCGCGCGGCAGTTGGAACAAGATATTCTACCCATTGAAATTCACGGGGCTGCAATGGATAGCGCTCTGGCTTGCGATCTGGGCCCTGGAGAGACTAAAGCGGAAGCTCACCACTCGGTGGATTTTTCTGATACTCTGGACGGGGATGTGGGCGTTCATCGAGACACAGATCAGGGGCACCGGTCTGCCGTGGCCGGAAATGCATACCAGGCAGGTGGTCGGCGTTTATGGTCAGTGCTACTCGGTGTTTGCCATCTCCTACCGTGGGTATCTGATCTGGCTGCGCTGGACACCTTATTTCTTCATGGGAATACTACTGGGATATGCGCTACTTTATGCACTACCGTATGTGTGGATAGGTGAAAACTACGGAGCATGGATGCGGCCGTGGAATAGGCTTATGCGGCGGATAGGAGTGCAACGACTATTGATACCAGGGCCTGAGGGAGTGGTAGAATTCGATCCGGAGGGCCCCGAAGCTGCGAAGTCACTCACTCAGGAGGAGCTACTTCACCTAAGGGAGCGCGGTATCGATGATTACGGCCTACTCCGTCTGCGGCATGCCGGTGTTGATGTGGAACAAATACGAGCCATGATCTTGGACAAGAGAATAGCACGTGAGTGGCAGCTCGTGGCGGACAACATCCTCACCGAGCACGATTTGCAGTATCTACACGGAACGGAGAGGGAGTTGAGGGGACTACTGGCACGACTGACCAAACGCGAGGCCGTCCGCCTCCTGGAGGCCTTGCAGACATGGAGTGACTCGTCTGAGGACCAGAGTGATCAACAGCCACCGCCGAAAGAGGATGAATTTGAGCCACATGTCACGAGAAAGACGCCACGGGAACCTCCACCGTTCTGGGACGCGCCATTCACACCAGGTCAACCGATTAACAAACCGCCCACCAGTAGTACAGTCTCCCCCCTTCCTCCGTTGAAAGGTTCTATTATCCTCTCTAACGCAAACCACAGCTCCCCGAGGCCAAACGCTTCCCTGCAAAGGCCCCAAAAGCAAACCAACTTTCCGGAGCGCCCTGCGGCCTCCAGGAACGGCCACTTCACTGCGACGTACCGTCATCACCAGCTCACCCGACTACCATGCGCACTTCACATTCAATCCTGCGGAAATACCCCACGGGTCCACCGCACATACGGGACCTTCGAAGGCCCCCACAGGAAAGATCCAAGAAACCCGCTTCGACGGCGACATGAACACGAGTTTCTACGACGCAGGCGGGGACGACGCCGGATCGTCGACCGAGGAAGACGAGCCTGTGCTTACGCCGACGGCATCGACTGCGCGCGGGTTATACAGCAACGGCGACGTCACTCCACTAGTGATCCCACGGCGACGACAAAAGTCTCCCGAACGCACACCGGCCAAGCTCCAAGTCGCCGCCGCGGAGCGGTTCCGAGAAGCATTTCCCGAGACCACGCCCACACGCCGCAGTCATCTCGGGCTGCATCTGCTCGATGACCAGACGGTGAACTCGCACCGCACGCGATACGCGCGGGCCCTCACGCTTCCGGAAGTCAGCACCCCCGCCGCCACCCCCGACGTTCCCCCCGTGAAACCGGTGTTTCCCAGGACTGCCACCAACATGGATTTTCACGCCGCGGCGGAATATACGGACGCGCTGGCGCAGATGCGGAGGCGCCAGGCGCGAGCGGATGATCACGCCAGGATAAAGTTGAAGAAAAAAAAGCTTGACCGGCTGTTGCAGATCGCGGAGAAATTGGAAAAGGACCTGAATGGGAGGGGGGGTGGGCGTGCGGGTTCTACGGAGGACAGTGGTGAGGATGATTGCAGTGATGGTGATGATTATGGTGATAGTGATGTTAGTGATGTTAGTGATGATGGTGAAGATGATGAAGATGATGATGGTGATGGTGATGGTGATGGTGATGGTGATGGTGATGGTGATGGTGATGGTGATGGTGATGGTGATGGTGATGGTGATGGTGATGGTGATGGTGATGGTGATGGTAATGGTGATGATGATCGTCAGGGTGAGGCAATAATAGACTACTCCTACGAGCAGGCGAAGCGGCGAGTGAGAAAGCTAAGGCGGAATGCAAAGAAAATACCACTGGTGGACAGCAAAGCTGCGGAGAGGCAGGCTCTGGAGACAGAGAAGGCTCTGGCGAAGAAAAGAGCAGCGGCGGAGAAGAAAAGAGCAGCGGCGGAGAAGAAAAGAGCAGCGGAGGAGAAGAAAAGGATACTGGAGCAAAAGAAAGCACTGGAGGGGAAGACCGCTGCAGAGAAGAAAGCATTAGAAGAGATGATGGCTGTAGAAAGGAAAGCACTGAAGGAGAAAAAAGAGCTGGAGGCAAAGAAGAAGGCGGAAAGAGAAGCTGAAGCGGCACGTAAGGCTGCAGCTGCAGCTGAGAAGGCGAGACTCGCTGCGAAAAAGAAAGCGGAGAGAGAGGCTGCAGCTGAGAAGGCGAGGCTCGCTGCGAAGAAGAAAGCGGAGAGGGAAGCTGAAGCGGCACGCAAGGCTGCAGCTGCAGCTGAGAAGGCGAGACTCGCTGCGGAGAGGAAAGCCCGAACAGCTGAGGAGGCGGCACGGCAAGAAGCCAGAAAGAAGCAGGCGGTGGCCGAGGCAGCAGCGGCAGAGGAGAGACGCCTAGCTACCGAAAGGAAGAAAGAGGAGTTGTTGGCGGCGGCAATCGCGAATGCCAAGTTGGAGGAGGAAGCCGCAGGAAGTGATTCTTTCCCCGGACATACCAGTGACCAGGGAAATGAAGACGCCACTACCAATGTGGATCCGACCACCCTCACAGAGTCAGAGCTGCAGAAGGGCCAGACATTGGAGCGACTCCAACAAGGGGAGTGGATCATAATGTTCCCGCCTGATACGCCGAACCCACGTGAGTATAGAAGATTGTTTTACCCAGACGACCACAGCACATCGACGGATTCCAGTTCGGAGGACTCGGAAGTCGACGCATACCATGACCTGGAATATGTCTCGGAGGACGACCCGGACTATTTCGCATCCGAGGATGAAGAGACTTCCACGAACAATGAGAGTGAAGAAGATGAGGTGAGCGTTGATGATGTTGATGATGATGACTGTATCGCCTCATTCGCCAGCAGCGCTTTTGGAAGCGCCATCGGGGGCGCCGTGCGCGTGCTGGCACCTATCATCCTCCAACACGTCACCGCGCAAGAAGAGATGGCGCTCACCTGGCGGCTCCCGCAGGCGCTCCCGGCTTCACCCGAAGACGAGGCCAACCGGACTTCGGAAACACTACACTCACGACGACGATGGAAGTTGGTTGATCCCTCGCCATACAGCGATACGGACTCTATGCTCGACCTTGGCCGCGGCGAGCGCTTCATGAGCCCAGAGGAATTCGAGACCATGGCGTGGAAGCAGCCACAAACGCCTTCCCGCCCGCCGTCGTCGTCAGTGCGGAGGGATCCCATGAAGAAGTGGTATATGTGGGGCCTCACATTCTTTGCTTTCTGGTACGTACTCGGGCATTACTACAGAGAGCGGCAGGACTATATGCACGGCCCTGGGATCAACCCGTGGGAGGATGTACCGAGAATGTTGCGGAGGTGGCAGATGTCTAGTGTTGCGGGGCGGGCGATGGAGGAAAAGGTCTCCAGTGGGTATTGAGGAATCACGGGGTGCTTCGTGTACGGTGTTGGTGCCACTTGCTTGTCTTTTTGTTATGTACGTATGCACGTCATTTGCTTGTTCCGTTTCGACGTACGTACTTCTTAGAGGGGGTATGTTTTGTCATCGTATCGTGCTTCTTCGATTGATTGTAGTAGGTATTCTCTTCTTTTTTTTTTCAAGGTACAAGCCTGGCTCCCATTTCAATTATTTACATTGATGTCCAAAAACATCAGCCCCAGTGCATCCGTTCATAAACATGGCATCGTATCGTAGCATCCCACCGTCATGTCATGTCATGGTCCCATCAACATCAACATCAAGTCGTTCGATCAATCCTCGGTACCGGTACCGATATGTACGTATGTGTGTATGTATGTGGACCTCAAGCGAACTCGGACCGCACTCTCGTGGCCGCCGGATGTCGATCATCCGAGTAGGCACTGAACGCATGATCAGAATCCAGAGCAACGGGCCAAGCCTAGTGAGGGCGGAACCTACATTCCATGGGACGCAAACCCGTTCCCCTTCACCTCTGATTCAGCTTCCCTCCGGGGCCGCGGCCAGGCACCCATGGCATCGATCATGTACACGCCGAACGACAGCGAGAACAGCGCGGCGATGATGAAGATTAGCGGGAAGCGTAGAACGAAGACGGCGTAGTCGGCGACGACGGTCAGCGTTGGTGTGGCGGGGATGACGGCGGGCATGGCTGATTTTCTTTCGGTTCGTGGAGCTGGAGCTGAGGATGAAGGTCGGTGGAGGAGGTGGGAGGTGGGGGAGGGAACGGGTGGGGCGGGAGAGCGAGGTTATATAAGTAACCGTATGGTGTACGTACTGCTCCGCAGGTTGAGAAATTGAGAGATTGTCCTGTCCTGTCGGAGAACCTGGACGTTATCGCGGTTTATACTCTTCCGCTGGCAGCGGCGCTGTCGCACGACTCCAGCCCAGAGCCCAGCAACCACCTTCCACCTTGCATGACGTTGTCGGTACATACTCCACACACTCTACTCTAGGTATTCAACCTACCTATTGCCTGCTTTGAAACATATAAAAAGCACCTGAAGAGAACAATACGACTGGCTATCTCGGACTCGATATGCACGCCGGGTGTGGGGGAGGTGGTGATTGATTGACTGTTTCGAAGAATGCTTCGGATCTGCGTCTCGGGGTTGAGCGTTATTGGCTGCTCCTGCCAGGCTGCCAGCACGGTTCGCGCAACGCATGATGGACACGAGAGGTATCTACCCGTACAGCACAGCGCGGGGGAAGGTGGTTTGTTTGTACGATAGTGAAGTGCATACATGCACAGTAACGTTCGACTGTGGAGTTCCAGGTATGAAGATGTATGTACCCAGTGGATAGTGGATATATGTAGGTACCCAGCCCAGTGGACACTACGATCGTGGCCGCCTGTGAGCGGTACGGTCCGGTACGCTACGGTACGGTAGAGTACGCGGCAGTCTAGCCTACCGATAGTCAACCAATTAAGCAGAGCGTGCGGTGGCCCTATCCTCCCGCTTCAAGCCAATCCGCACGCTCGCGACCGCGTTCGATTTGATTCTCGGCCGGCGCGGCAGTGCGGGGGAGGGGGAGTGCGTGGGTCTACCCATTCCCAACCAACTCCTGTCCCCCAAGAGTTTCGGAAAAGCTGGAGTTGTGTCGGTTTTTTTTTCTGTTCTGGCAGCTGGATTGACGAAACCGACATGAATGCAAGCATGGATGGTTAGTTTCCTCCTGGGTGGCCAGTTTCCTCCTGGGTGGCCAGTTTCCTCCTGCGAGAGCAAGCATGGAAAAACGGAAGGATGTGGTTTCCGTGTGTGTTGTGCGACGTGGTGCGACGTGGTGGACGCGGTGAAACGTGAAGCTCGGCTTGTTTTGTCTTGTCTGAGGTCTCCGCTGGACCGCTTCTGCTCGATTAACCATGATCGATGACATGCGCGGTCGAACGACACGGGTTAGGGTTATTGGGTTATGGTTACCGCACCAGATATCACTCGGTTCGGCCCAACTGTGGCCTGCGATCCGTGTGTAATTCCTCGAAGCGCAGGTAGGAAAGTGACTTGAGACCCACATGGGCTGCTAGGAGCTTAGGTGGGGATTTCGGCCTTGAATCGCCTGTGTTGATCAGCTGGAAGTACATACGGTTGAGTGACGCTGTGTCCGTACTGCACGGGTATGTAGGATTTCCACCTCGTGTGGCGCGACTATAGCTCGAGAAAAAGCCATGATCGCACGGTAACCGGGCACATATCGACAAGGCGTACCGGCTTTATGTAGGAAGACCAGGGGCTGTCGGACATTGAAGGACTCCGGCGAAGGACAATGTCGATGCTGGTTAATCACTCGGAGGTATCATGTGACAAAGTCACACGCTGCCGCCGGCTGTAGAGGCGAGAATGTAATATTATACCTTGGCACCCTCACTCGTCTCTTTGCCGCCTCGTAGAGGCCGTATAGCGCTGGAAGATTCTCAGCATCATCATCATTGGGAAAAAGTTGAATGTTGAAACAGGGATAGAGAGATCTTCAATTTATTTCGCATGCAGCCTATCTATACTATGGCAAACTGTTGCACTCCTTTCCTGCCCACTCTGGCCGGCCGGAGTGGAGACCTCGCTACCAGCCAGCACGATGTGGCGCCGCTGGTTGGGCGTTGGAGAAAATAGCAAATTACATGAACGCACCAAAGTTCGAGTGACGATCTATGGATGGCTTCTGTCTTAATTGGGAAATAATGGTGATAAAAACGCTAGTGTGTTGAACTTCGCCGCACACACAACTTGCCAAGATATTTGCTCCTCTCCCTCTCCTCCTCCTCTTCCTCCTCCTCTTCCTCCTCCTTTTCCTCCTTCTTCTTCTCTTCACACTCCATCACACAACTGACTCTACCTTCGCTGATTGAGAAATCACAACTTCGACCCTTCACTCTCGAGTCTCCACCATACAACCGACTCTACGTTCTCTGATAATTGATTCAGACATCCCACAACTTCGAACCTTCTTCACGTCTTAGTACATTACACTACGACCCTTCTTCATATCTTAGTACATTACACTTCGATCGTTCTTAACCATGAGTTTTCGCCTCAATAAATCCCGCAAGGTTCAGCCGAAGCGTCCTTGTCGAAGTGCGCCGCAGACCACGCAGGTTCATACCCAACCGCCTCAGTCATGAGATTAATTTCTTGCCGACCCTCGTTAGGAACTCGAACAGCAGCTGAAGCTGCGGCGGAAAGTCCGGCAGCAAGTCCAGCAGGAACTTCAGCAACAGCGACAACTGCAGGAGCAGCAGCGACTCCAGCAGCTACCAGAGACGCAGCAGCTACCAGAGACGCAGCAGCTACCAGAGACGCAGCAGCTACCACAGACGCAGCAAAAATCACAGACGCAGCAGCTACCGGATACGCAGCAGCTACCACAGCAGCGGAAGCATAAAGGACCCATCAGGTATCAGCCAAAGCCTCCTCTTCAAAGTGCGCCCCAGGCCACGCAGGTTCGTATCCAGCCGCCTCACTCATGAGACTGACTTACTAACCCTCTTTTTAGCAATTCCAGCAGCCACAGCAGCAGCCACAGCAGCAGCAGCTATTCCAGAAGCCCCAGCAACAACCACAGCAAGAGCGGATATTCCAGCAGCCACAGCAGCAGCCACAGCAGCAGCAGCTATTCCAGAAGCCACAGCAGCAACCTCAGCAGGAGCAGCCACAGCAGGAGCCGCAGCAGGAGCCACAGCAGCAGCCACAGCAGCAACAGCTATTCCAGGAGCCGCAGCAGCAATTACAGCAGCAGCAGCAGCAGCAGGTTCATCAGCAGGTTCATCAGCAACTCCAGCAGCAGCGACAGGGGCAACAGACTCCAGAGGCTCAGGCTCAACCACAGCAAGCCCAGCAGTCGCAGACGGAACCTGCGAAGACGGCGTTAACTTCTCAACTTCCTCTGCCGCAACCAAAAGAGCCTGAGCCAATGTGCTGGCATCCTCAAACCCCACAGAGGGAGCACCGGCAGATGCTGGAGGAGCAGGTGTGCGAGCACCAGCAGAATCTTTCCGTGGTGCAGCAGCACCAGCTGGAGCTGCGAGCCGCTGCCGAGCAGATGCAGGCAGACGTCGCTGCTATGCAGGAGCATATGCAGCAGGAGCGGCTCGCGGCTTTACAGCAGCCCTCCCGGAGTAGCCTAGAGGGAAATCTTGTTGCCATGCAACAAGAACTCGTAGCCCTCCGGAGGACCATGAAGCGCCAGCATCCGGTGATCCGTGGGCTACTGCAGCGATTCGTCCTCGCACAAGAGCAGCAGTTGCTCGCGGATCTACCCTCCCAGAGTAGCCTAGAGGAAGCTCTTGTTGCCATGCAACAAGAGCTCGAAGCGCTCCAGACGGCCATGGAACACCAGCAGCAGGTGATCCGTGAGCTGCAGCAGCAGTTCGTGTTCGCACGACAGCAGCAGCGGCTCGCAGATCGCCGTGCGCGGGGCCATGGCCGTACCGAGGCGAAGGCTAGGGCGTTGAAGCGACAGAGTCACGCCGAGGGGACTTCCAAAAGGGAGTTCCTCAAGCCGGCCCAGTCGGACCAACGCCCTCCCCCTCCCCCTGCTCAACAAGATGCCCGCCCGAGGCTCTCCCGTCCTCCGCCTCCGTTTTTCGTTGGCGAGGGTGGTGGTGTCCTCTTGAAGAAATTTCGAGAGCGGCATCCCACCTGGGAGAGTCGTGGTGAGGGCATCGCGGTGATGACGGGGAAGAGGCGACGTGAGGAGGGGCCTGCTGCTGAGGGGGGAGTTGAGGAGGGCGAGCGATCGTCCACTAAGAGACTGAAGGTGGGGGGTGGCGTGCGCTTGTCGGGTTGGTGGCTGGGGGGCGGGTTTGGGCTGACGTTGGCGGTGAGGTGGGCTGGCCTCATTTGAGGTCACCCACGGGGGGGAGAGGGGGCGAAGGGAGAGAGGGGGCAGAAGGTTCAAGGGGGAGAGGGACATTTGTCCCTGATAATGGTATACAAAAGTTTTTTTCCTGTTACGCAGCATGTTCTCTGTGATGGCTCATCATAATTTGATCGTAAAATTGGTGCCTGTGTAGATGGCGATGCTTTTGTAGGTCTAGTATCATTATCGTTGCTGCAGCAAATGTCACCGGTGACCAGTGAGCACCCGTGAAATGTTCTAACTATATCCCCAAGACATAACATGGGAGACTTGGACAGTGACGGGAACATAATTTCGCAGGTATCGCTGCCGGCATGAGTATTCTTGGTCGACTTTGATCTGTTGAGTACATAACAGTGGGAACGGATCATGTCAAACTTTGGACGCCCGGGCCCGGAGACGTTGGCATGAATAAGATTCCGCGGTGGAGGGGTCGAGGCCGAGTGCTGACGGGGGTAGACCAAGGAGTGTGACGTTTTCTGTATGTAAAGAGAGACCTCGCCTCCGATGATAGTGTTGCTGCATCGAATGAATAATCTCTGCCCTTTCACCCGCATATTCCAATAGACCGGAGTGCTTGATTAATGCTCTCAGTGGAACACGTTTTTCCCTAATTTTAAAGCATAAAACACCAAACACACTAAGAATTAAGTTTGATGCATTTCGCTCCTGTATTTAACTTCACATGAGCAAAAAACGCCACCGGCGACGAGTGAGCACCTGTAACATGCCTAACTATATCCCCCAGACATAGCATGGAGTCTCGGAGATATACGGGAGCATAATCTTGTAGGTGTTGCTGTTAACTTGGTCTGGTAGGTGGTGTGAAAGGATTAGAGTGCTTGATTGCTCTCAGTGGAACACGTTTCTCCCTAACATTAAAGCATCAAACACAAAACACAAAATACACTAGTGTCGAAGTTCCCACTTGCACGCCCGCACCACTTATAAAAACCCCCCTCCTCCCCTCTCCTTCCTTCCTTCTCCTCTTCTCTTCACTTCACTTCTGAACGGAGCAGTCCACAACAGCAGTGGCAAGAGCAGAGCAAACTGACAAAATGCGCCCTTCCGTGGACGGGGTTTTTACCTTCGGGTTTCCTCTAAAACAAAAACATTGTCTTCCTAGCTTCACACCGAGGGGATGGGGTTTTTGATCCACGTAAAGCTGGCTTATTCCGACTGCATCCCCGAGATTTACTATATAGCCAGCGCTATTATCTTCGAGCCGGTGGCACGACGGAGCGAATATGCGCTGAAGTTTTCCCTATCAGGGCGCGAGTTCTAAAGGGTTATAGGTGAGACATGAGTGAGCTCTACGGGTCATTGGGTCGATCATCCGCCTGCCCACATCAGTGTTGGCGAGAAAGTCCGGGATGGCTTGCCTGCAAAACGCGCGTCTGCGGAGATGTCTCGGATCTTTCGGATCTTGTAGCGACATCATCCGCATCGGGTGTCGGGGGCGTCACATCGTCTAACGGAGGTACTAAAGCATGGTGTCATACCGAAACAAATCGGATGGTGGGGAGTTCGCTATTGGTGATAACCTGTGATGGAGCCTGCTCTTTGTCGCGCGGCTGTCCATAACGAGAGCCTACGACAAGTGCCAACATCTAAAGAACAGTTCGTAATTCATCCCTCAATATCCCCTTCCAATAATGTACATAAATATATAGAGAGACTATGTGAGCACAGACGGGCTCGCGGTCAAACGATCGTGATAGAAAATGTAATCTCGGTCGCCTTCTCTTCCGGCGGATGATCAAACTTCTTCCCATCGTGACTGATCCTCACCGTGCTCTCGCAGATGTCACACTGCACATCCAGCTTCAACCCAGTCTCTTCCGCCACCCGCTTCCAAAACCTCCCGAAGCTCTCGCGATCGTGCCGCATCATGATCCCTACCGTGGGATGCGTGTACTCGCCCGGAGCGCGACTGCCAATCATCCTTCCGACGATGGTGTTCCCCTTCTTGCGCTCGAGGTAACCGACCAGTCGTTTCGCCGCCAGCAGTTGTCGCTGGTAGCTAAACAGATGCAGAAAGTAGCCAGCATGGACGACCGCACACCTCTGCTTCATCTCGTTTTCCGTCCACGCCTCGTCGTCGAAGATGTCTGCCGCCTCGAGCCGCATGGCCCCCGGCGCGTCCATAAACAGCTCGTAGCCGATCTCGAGGAACTCCGGCTCGATGTCGCAGCCGAAGAGCTGCGATGCCGGGATGCCCTCGTGCGAGAGGAGGTAGCGCAGTTCTTGCCCCACGCAGCAACCGACGTCGAGGTACACGCCGCCGGATCGCAGCAGCGACAGGATGCGCGGGTATGAGCGGTAGCCGGGGAGGTTGAACTTGACGAATTCGAACATCCCGATGCAGGGGTACGGGAATATTGACCAGGCCTTGTCTTGCTGCGCGGGGGAGGGGCAGGGGAGGCACGATTAGCGAGCCCGAAAAGCGAAGAGAGCATCTCGATATGGAAACTCATCGGGTATGCGCGTGTATGTGTGTGTGCGACGGTCGCGCTTACCAGACGTTTAACGTGTGCCTCGAGCAACTTGTCGACGACCCCACACTCGGTCATCACGTCTCTCATTTTCTCCGGACATTTATACGTTTCAAAGTAGAACGAGTTGTCTTTGGTGCACGAGACAGCAGTGGGTCCGGAGATCTTGGCTGCTGCTACTGCTCGAGCTCTTTGCTTTTTCCACCGTCGGCTCAGTTTCGCCGGTTCGACGGAGGCTGCTGATTGGTTAGCGGGCGGGCCGCGATCAACCGATTTCGCCGAGTTGGAATACCATCGTGCTTGACTACTCTGCGGGGTGAGACCCTCATGGTTGTGTTTCTTGCTGGGTGGGAGGGGAGACGGGTGGGTTGCGGTTCTTTTCGGTCCTGATAGATATGAAATCGAGGGCTGCTAGCATTCCAGACACACACTGGGGGATGAATGCCTCATATATACACGAGCCGCTGGTGGCAGTGGCTCTCTTTGGCATGGACGTCGTGATCTACTTAGGTCCATTGATACGTCAATAAAATGACTTCCCCCCCTCCCCCCACGAGCCGCTGGTATCGGCTCTGATGCATGATTACGACACCTTGTGGATCTCCCCATCAGAGAATTCCAAGCTTGGGGTCGGGTACTTAGGCCGGGGACAGTGGCACGAGTGTATGCACATACAGAGCGGATCCACTTCCCGCGGCACTTCACCCTACACGCATGAACCTCGATCTGAGGAGTACTCTAGTACCGTAGGTGCTAAGCGTGAAAAAGCAAGCAAGAGGAATGCTTCCGGACAAGAGCTAGACTAGAGTAGCAACAACCAACAAAGAATCCACCCAGAATCTACCCAGACTAAACATACCACCGTTTCCGTACACAGTTGCCGCCTGATACGTCTGACAGGTGCCCGGATCAAGTAAGTGAGTATTCCCGGACTAGGTACCATCTAACCTAATGAGAATGAGAATGCAGGTATCTACTGCTTCCTTCACTATTCATGCCTCTGGAGTCTGCAGAGGCGAGGACGATACCCTCTTTCCGTGCTCCCTGCCCCCATCCTCCTCGTCACACCTCCTCCTCCTCCTCCTCCTCTCCACGTCACAGCCCCCACCACGAGGCAACAGAACCCCACAATAACATCGCCAACAACATCGCCATTTCCATCTCACCTAGCATGTGCCCAGGCATCTAGGCCATCGCCGCCCTCGCCATTCTCGCCGTCCTCGCCTCTGAGACACCATTCGGCAGCTCCCTTGCCGCTGGCATCCCCACTCCCAATAAATAAGCGTGGACTCGCGGGGCAGGGAGCACGGCGGTATTTAATCTATCACGTCGAGGTGTGATATGCGATACTGTGCATGAATGGCGCGAACTACAGGGAGCAGAACGAGAGGCTGGGGAGCTGGGAGGTGTTGGTACCAACTGCGTCGAAAAGGTTGTGTGTTGTGGTGTATTACACAGGGCCTCTTCCGCCTGCCTACATAGCAAATGCTGCTGCGGTGAGGTGGGGTGGGGATACAGCGCTTCTTCTCCTTCTCTGTGGTCACTACCTACATCATACATACAAATGTCGGCGTTCGTGGAGATTCACTACATAGCACTCGATGCGGTAGCGAGTGATGGTCGGATGAATCAGCCATGGCCGCCGATGATACATCATCATTCGAGCAAGACATGACGGCAACGTTGATTATGCGATAAACTCGGTTCCAGAATTGAGTAAAACAACAGAAAGAAAAACAACCTACCTATGGGATACTATGAGTACCTACAACACCAGAACAGCCCGTACCCCGCACTTGGATTGCGGATCCCGATCTACCTCCACTTCTTTTTGTACTCATCCGCATCATCCTACTCGTCTCCATCCTCATCCATACTCTCGGCTTTGCCCCTATCCTCGTCGTTGTGGCTAGTGTTGGCACCAGGTTGTTGCTGAGTGGGCGGATTAGCAGTGGTCCCGGCGGGAATACCGGCTGGCCTCGAGGTGGTCGCGGGCGGAGGCCGAGGCAGAGGTGCTATCGCCGGCTGGTTGAGATTCTCAGGAGTGGGCGGAAATCCTGGCAGCGGTTGCTGCTGTTGCTGCTGTTGAGAGCCGTGTCGTGGCTGATTTCCTCCCTGCTGGTTCTGTCCAACAGGAAGTCCTGCAGCTGTTGGTCTTTGCATTCGCGAAGCCAGCAATCGCGCGATCTCTAACCTCTGCGCTTCCTGACGACTCAAGGCGGCCTCATGTTGGTTGGTCGGGCGTGGGAGGACATGCCTCGGAACCCACCCGTCCTCCCACGGCCCCTCCAAGTCCCCGAGTTTCCCAACCCCGGATCGATCCATGCAGTCCGGCTGTCCACACCATCTTCCCTGTAGCGCATCGGGAACCCCCGTGATGGTATTGTTCATGAGATCGCACATCCGACAGCATACCCACGTCTTGCACTTCGTGCACACGTTGGCACATGCGTTCACGCAATTCTCGCAGTAGAACTTTCCGCAGGCGCTCTCTAAGCACTGTCGATACTTCGATGCGTTAGGTCGCTTCTCCAGTCCTTTCTCCCATGCGTGCGACGGTACACATTTCCGACAGAGAGCCTTTTCACAGCCGATGCAGATTTCGAACAGATTGTGCTCCGTGAAGGTGACGGGCGGTCGTGCGGTTGGCACCTGTGGCTTTGCCGGCTTGAAGGCTGCCAGACGGCACAGAGGGTTTTCCGCGAAGGGGGTTGGTCTTCCACCCCGAAGTTTCACTCCCGGTACTTCGGATATCAGGTCGTTCTGGTATACACGCATGGAACCGCCGTAAAGATCCGTGGAAACCTGGCGGCCGGTGGGATTCTGGCAACGGAGACAATACCCCCTTCCACACTTTTCGCACTCGAAGTAGAGGTCCGCCCGGGTGGCGATGCAATCGACGCATTCGGCGCCATGGCCGGGCTGCGCGCAAACGACCTTGAGAAGCCGCAGTCCCGCAACATCGGAGACCATGAGAGGATTCTGTGGGCCAGTCGGACTTTTAAAAAAGCAGCTTTGGCAGATGAACTTGTCGCACTCGGCGCAGGTCATGAATATTACGCAAGCGGCGCATAGAGATCCCATGGAAAACCTCCCCACGCCGATTGCGGCTCCGTTCGTGACGCCACCCACTTCGACGAACATATCCTTGTTGTCACCGCAGTATTCGACTGGCGCAGGTGAACCTTCCCACAGTCCACAGGTGTAGCAGCATTGCCCACCCTCGTTCTTTCTTGCCCCAACTTCGGCCAAGCAATGTGTGTGACGAGCGAATCGACCGTCGATCTCCACATTTGAATATGTTCGGCCGCCCATCGTGAAATGGTTGAGTTGTTGGTGTGGTCCAATGATCTCGGAATTTGCGGCGAGGACAAAGGACCAGCAAAAATGTTGAGAAGCGCAAAGGGCGATATCGACCTTTATATCGAAATATTTGGAGATTACTAACAGAGCAATCACGGGATTGATCTCCCCTAGCGGCTGCAGTAGGGCATCCCAATGCACGAAAGGCTCCGGATTTTCTTCGTGCAACTCGTCGAACTTCTCAAAACACTGTCTCATTCTTTCCTCCATGGTCCGTAGCCATATGTTTTTATTCTGGCCATAGTTGTACATCGGCATCAACACTGCCCGAGTGTAATCCATGTGAAATTCGTTAGATATGAGGTTGGCGAAGAGTTTTTCGGTGTGCGGAAGTAACACAGGACCTCCTGCACGCTTATCGTCCGGGTGTATATCGAGCGGCATCACTGGGTCCATCGGACATTCGGTGGAAAAGACGTGTGGAAAGCCCCCAGACCCCCATACCTAGAAATCCATTAACCACCATCAAATCAGGGATGTATGTTGGCTGGGGGAAATACTCGAAGCCAACGAAGAGCAAGAGGCTGATGCCGGTACTTGCACTCCAGGATCCAGTCTGGAAAGACCTGGCTATCTATATACTTGCAGTCGCGGACACTCAACCCACGCAGGGTGGAAGCGAAGCGTCCCATGATCAGCTGGATCCATTCGGTATCGACACTTGTGCCGTCGAGGACGACGGAAGTGATGTGGTTTCCGATCGGCAAGTTATTGAGCACTTGAGCCAAATGCCGTCCCATGAACCGCGGGTGATAAAACTCAGAAACGGGAATGGTTCGAACTCTCGGTGTGTGCAGCACAATCTCGGACAATTCCTTCTGGGTATCCTGGGCTTTCCTGCGCCAAAAGCTGAGCGTCGAGGCATCGAGACCTCTAGAGCTCATCACTCCGATGGCCCTCTTTAAAGTCAGCAGATTGAGTTGCGTCGCACCATACCGCCGTTTCACGTCTCTGTCGATGATGTCCTTGGTTGTCTTATGCAGGAGAAACTGCAAGTACTCTGGGGTCAGGATGTTGTCGACTGCCGGACTCTCCAGCAGATCCAGCCATCGCTCCACGCCTCTGCGCAAGAACACCAGATTGCGGAAAAAGCGTCGGTTGTTGTCGGTGAGCACGCGCAGAGTCTTTGTGGTGTTTCGCACGCAGAGGTAGTCCGGGGTGTTCAGATAGCTGAAGATACAGGTCGCAATGGGAGGGATCAGCATCACCGTCTCTAGATGTGAGTAACCGGGCTCGTAGACCACTCGTTTGGCGGTAGTGTCTGCGGACATCTTCAGCTGATGTAGAAAAGGTGGTTCGATACTGTTGCTGTTGCTGCTATTGCTTCGTAGGAGCCAAATCGAACCAAAGTCAAGGGAATGGCGGTTTTATGGAGGTGTGTACTTGAGTAAGAAGTATGTGTTGTGAGCGGGAAGTTTGTGGTGGTGCAATATAAATCACACAGTGCCAAAACTAGGGTTATGTGAAAGAATACCACAATAAAATTGAGCTCACGGCATGATGTCTCTTGAGGCTGGCGAGCCATTGACATTAACAGAGCCATTGACATTGACAGTCCCACGTATACCAGAAACCCCATACCAGTACTCACCAGGACGAAAACCTCTGCATACACAAAGACAAAAACAAAACACTTTCTTCGTCGTAAGTAGTACTTGATTACTGATATCTACACTTAGAACTGAAAAGGTTTCGTGGTGGGGTGTACTGTTCCGAGTGCTCTCACATGAACCGGGCAACCCTTACCGTCGGCCGACATAGGAATGTCTAGCAGCGTTAGAGTACTAGCACTAGTACACAATGGTTTACCAAGCGCAATATCTATTCCTTTTTTTTTGGTTTTATCATATTCGCATTTGATCTTCCTAGAATAAAGACTATGGCGGCGTACATTTTATCCATTTTCCTATCCATAGTCCGGATCACTGGCTCGGTGCGGTTACCTCACCTCTCACGCTCACCGTCTGGGTGAGAGCGCAAAAATTCCTTTGTTTATCTTTATTTTATTTATCATCTTCGCATTCGGCCTTATCAGATCATGGCAGTTACAACGTACATGTCCGTCTTCACTCCATTATCCTCGTGTCACCGATATCTATTTTCTATCAGATCATCTCCAATTCGATCATCTGATACAGAATAGATATCAGCGTTATGAGTAGCACAAACATTCCTCTCTAGCGGAATCTCTTTGATTCCTATCCGCTGAGTGACCACCGAAGACGAAGATGACTAATTGCGGAGCTGCTTGGTCCTAGCCCCAACCAACACGGATGCCGGTATGCACAGACCACAGAACGGTGGACGTGCGTACTTTCACTCCTTTTCGACCACCGCCACCACCACTGATCCTTCCCCCCAGAATTTCTATTTCCACGTCCACCCTTCTCCCCCATCCCCTCCTCCTTCTACAACCTTCCCTCATCGCCTCTTCCGTCAATAATCGCTACTTGCTTGTAGCTTTTACTTCGACTTCTCCTCCTCTCGAGTCTCCCTTCACACTAAACTACCCCTCCGACTCCTTCCCCCCCACACGCGCATCGAGCCCCGCGTTTGTACCAGCTCCTGTCGTTCAAAAAACTAAAACCACACAAACTCCAATTCTCAAAAAGATGTCTCTTCAGAAGATCTACACCCGGTTTCTGAGTGCCCCGAACATTGATCAGCTCGACCCTGCCATCACCTTCCACTACATCACCACCGCCATCTCTGTCAACGGCCCTGATGCGATCGTCAAGCAGCTAAAACGCGAGAACCTGAGTCAGCTCAAGAAGCGCGTCGAGAAGGTTCTGGCTTCCGTCGAGACCAGCGACTCTCTTGTTTTGGAGATTGAGACCGAAATCGAGTTCCTCACCAGTGGCGCGAACTGGCTGCCCGGCCTGGATGACAACTTCCTTGCTGACCACATCCTGCGCTTCCCTGTTGTACGTTTTCCTTTCCTTATCTCCTTTGTTATCGTTTTGGTTCGCCACTACTTATGGTCCAAGTACCTATGTGCATGCTACCATACGCGGTTACGCGAAGGGCGAATTTCACGTGATTGTTTCAACTAACTCTATTGTCCCTTGCAGGTCCACATTGTCAATTTCAGCCATGGTCGTATTAAGGAAGTTCGCCTCTACTGGGACCAAGCGAACCTTCTGAAGCAACTCGGTGTCATCGGTCGTACCGGTCGCAACTGGCCCATCAAGGACGGTGGCGAGCAGGTCAAGATGATCTACGAGTCAGTCGCTCGCCAGGCATCTTCTACCTCCCTTGGCGGAGGTGTTCCGGAGACGGCCGAGCCTCGATCGCGCTCTAAGGGTCCCGAGAGCGCCACACGCGACCCCCACGCATCGCTTCATCTCTTCAACTCAGCTGAGGAGCAGCAGGAGCCTGCCCAGGCCGTCGTGCCTCCTAAATCACGTGGTTCTTTCTCTCAGGGACAGACGTACGATATGGGCAGACACACGAACCAAGAAGAAGAACCCATTAAGAAGCCGAATGCGCAGGGAGGAAACCACGGCAAGAACTCCAACTACTCTCACTTCGAGTTCGGTACCGCGGGCGACGAGGAGGAAGCCGAGATTCAATCCAGAAAGCAAGGAAAGAACGCCATGCCTACGAGCGGTGCCTGGGGTAACGACGACTACGCCACCCCTGAGAAGAGGAAGCCGCAAACCAACCGCAACCTCCGTTCCTTCGCTTACCCGGAAGATGATGACGACGAGTCCAATGCCCAACGCGGTTCTGTTCTGTCGAACGTTACTAACGGTCGTCGTGCCAACGCTCACCACTTCGATATCGGTGACAACTCTCCCGCCGACAAGCCCACTCGTGGCAATCAGGGGCGTCAGCAGCAGCAGGAAGAACAGGACGACCAGCACGACTTCTATTCGCAGTTCGGTAGCGAGAAGACCACCACCGGTATCCGCATTGCTGGTAACGGTCAGGGGATGAGCAAGGCGGTTGCCAACCCCTACAGCGTCTTCGACAAGGATTCGGGTTCTAGCAACGCCCCCCAGCAACCCAAGTCTGGCTACCGCGGGAACAGGAACACCGACCACTACAACAACTAAGTTGCAGAAGAGGTCAGGATGATTCGATGAAGTGTTGACGAACTTCAAAGCTTCATCGAGGTGTTTTTTTGTCTACTAGAAGGGTGGAAACGGGGCATATCGGGCGAATCACATTCACTTCTCTGTTTGTTGCTGCGGGGTGGATTTTGTTACAAAAGTTTCTATCTTTATGCCGCTCCATCATCTGTGCTGTTCCATTGATTATACCTTTCCTCCGTCACCCACTGTAGTTTGAGGCGGGGTTTTTTTTTTCTTTCGATTCTTTCGATTCTTTACTTGTATTTCGTACTCTAACCAGCTTTAGTTTTTGCGTGCTTGTATGTGTGTATGGTCAGGGATGGGGGGCGGGGTGTTGGAAGCGTTTCTTTATGTCTGTCGAGCACTTGAAGATATCTATTGCTGTTGCGGATCTTGGTTCTCGTTGTCGTTCGTGTGATGTCGTGCCATGCCATCGTCCGTATAACAGGGGTACCGCCCAACACTGTGATATGGGCGTCTGGTTGTCATGACTGATCACTCGGTGTTGTGTTATGACCATAGAATGTATCGCTCCGTTATTTCATCAATGATTAAACCTTAAAAAAGCTCCATCATTACCGTTGGAAGAGCCAGTAGAAGATCTTGTGGGTAGAGAAGTTCATAAGGAGACGGAGGAAGGGGAGGGGGCAAGGGTAGTGTTGACTGCGGTTGGCCGTTCGTTGGAATAATGGATCCTACTGGTAGCTCATCGAATGGAAGGAAAATCTTGAAGCTTCAAGCCGCCTCTTCTCTAATCGGTACTATTCTAGTCCCTTGGAACTCGGGGCAGTCATGTAAGAAAGAGGACAGCGTGGACGCATCGTGGAGTGGAGGGCGCGGACTACTAGGTATAACTACAGTAAACAACGGTATTACCGGTCTATACTATCGAGTCATGTTTCCAACTCTACCTCGAAAATAATGCTCGACTACTATCCCCCAGGCAGTACATATATCCAGTTCCATCCTTCTAGCTTCCAACCCACTACTCTACTCTACTCTATACCCACCCCCTCCCTCCGCCATCTCCTACCCACAACCTACCCCCAAAACGCCCTCCCCTCACTCAAACAAACCTCCCACAGCACTCCCAGATGCGTCGGAAGCTCAATGACGTACTCGCCCTTGGCCCCAGAGAGCGTCATATTGCCCCTGCCCATTTGGCTGGGACCGGCGGGGGGCGGGGGGTGCATGGGGTACGTGGGGTGCGAGGGCGAGGGGGTGCAGAGGGGAGTTTTTATGGGTGGGGAAGAAGGGGCTGAGGGGATGGGGATGGGGAGGGGGCGGGGGGGACTATGGGGGATGGGGAGGGAGATGGGGACTGGGACGGGGATGGGGTCGGGTGATGCGATGGTGCTGCCGATGAGGGCGAGGAGTCGGAGGGGGAGGGGTGATGCGAGCGTTCTGCTGAGGAGGGTGAGGGCCAAGAGGCCGAAGAGGGTGAGCGGGTACATGATATGATTTTGTAGGTATATTTTAGCCAGAGATTCTGGAGATGAGGGTTTACCACTTGGAGTCGGGGGATGGAGGGGAGGTGAGAGACAGCTGGGTGAGGGACGGGTTATGAAAGCGTGGGGAGGAGGATCGAGTTGGAGCTCTTCATGAAGGTTGAGACTTGAGTTACGGGTTTCGAGACGGACGAATTTCTGCGGCAGACTTGGAGCTTGCCGCGACTGGGGTGGTTGAAGAAGCGGGTCTGTATGAGTTTCGTCATCTTGAGTGGGAGTGTCTAGGACCGGTTGATATGCATGGGATTCCTACGGCGAGTAGCTGTGGATCCGGTAGGTTCGATAGGAGGATGGGTGGGAAGGTAGGTGGAGAAAAGGCAATTCGGAACGAAGCTGGCAGCTTCGATGACGGTAGTTAAAGGCAGTGCTTTGGTGGTACGTATCTTTACCAGTAGAGGCGAGCACGAATGGCAGTCACCGGAAGTTCGGTCTGAACCTGGCAATCACTGGGGGCACTTGGAAATGAGCGAGTCTCTTTCCAGGTTTCTTGAGAGCCAACGTACCGGAGCTCACCATGTTCAGCTCAACGGTTAACTCCTGAGGCTTGGGCTTTAGATTCAGCCCTACGTGCTCGATGTGCCCCACCACTCTATTACATACACAAGTGACGAGCTTCTCTCGGTGAATCCCGTGGAAAAGCTTATTCCAACCGAAGAGCTGTCCTCGACGTGGTTTGCGGTAGCTACCATCTATCGATTGTGTTCTCACGTTTTGTGTATAGTACCCTGGATTAGCAGCAGGGTAGGGGTTTTGGGGTCGCTATTTGTTCTCCAGATCGAATAGATCGTCATATTGCGATGCGGACACGGGAGGGCAGCGGCCAGCCCCGCAAGATTTCCGGTGGTTGTTTGTTCAAGATGCACCGAGGAGATGTGGTCAACGGTCATCGTGGTCAACGGTCATCGTGGTGAATTCTAGACCCTATTCGGGACAGGCAGCTTGGCAAGGAGTTTTGTGGCGTCGAATGGATCTCCATGGGTTGCCGGTCGGTGCTCTACATTGAACGCGCTGGATGCTGCGGCTGGGTGGTTCTCGCATGGGATTCTGGGGGCACAAGAAGGTTGATGCCATTATAGTTAGCGTTTCGGGAGAAGCGGAAGGCGAAGAGCACGAAGAGAACGAAGAGGGGCATCGCGAAGATATACCGTAGGTGCCTTGCATGCCTACATCTTAAGTATGTAGCCAAGACGCCTCCTGCCACTCTGCACTCTACAGTTGGAGTGGAAATGACCTCAGGCACGCCGCTCTTTCTCTTTCTATGTTATTTGTTTGATCGTCATGGCAGTCGACCTTGCTAGATCACGGCTCACCAGGCACGCTGCTCATCATCTAATATAGAGTATGCTTACTTGTGTTGGCGAGTGCTGCGAACATTAATGACCAGCAACAGACGGCAAGTATCATAGTAAGCAGCGAGCACATGCCGCAGGCGAGCCACCTATTTGCATGGTAGTTGTGGAGAGCGAAGTGAAGTCTACTAGCAACTGGTAGCTGAGAGTCTGTGCAGTGGGCCCACGTCCGTTGGCTCCCGATTGCCTCTCCCAAAGGCTTGGAAAGGGATCTACCTGGTGCTAAGGAGACTGGCAATGGTGTGCGTGCGCATAGCTCAGAGTAAGATGTGTCAACTACATGCCGTATCTCTCCCGTCTCTTCCTCTTCCCACATCGTTGCCCCTTGGTTCGGATTCACCGTCGTCGCACTCCCGCAGAACGCATCACGAGCAACGAAGCGAATCAAATCGACACTGCGACATCGCCTGCCACCGCGTCCCGCCTCCAGCTTCCGCTTCCGTTTCCGCTTCCATTCGATCGCAGATCCCGTCCTCAATCGAACAGACCGGTCAATCCATCCCACGGTGCCCATTCGCATCAGCGAGCGCGAGACCACCTGGCAAGACCGTATTGCCGCCACCACCGCCACCACCGCCACCACCGCCGCGCACAGAGTCGAAGGGAGAGCGCAATTCAAAAGCAAGGGATTTCAACGCGTATACTGTCTTTACCCAGAAAACAGCCTGGTCGCACACTTGTTGATCCGACGCGTCCGGAAAAAAGCGCCTGTGTTACCTGAATACCTATTCGAAGCTCGCATCCGTCTTGGCAAAGTCGGTTGGTCTCTTGGAATCGCTGCCGCTTCGGACACCAGCTGTCACTGTCCGTCCGGTTTCTGTCCGGTTTCTCTTCTGTGGTGGGTGGATGTTCCATGCTATCTGTCTTGTTCTGTTTTCATCCGCTGCCTTCCGATGCCGATTTCCGTCTGGCGAACGTAATAATCGGCCCCCTCGGACGCTTCCCCTGTTGTTTTGTGGTTGGGCCGTGTCGTAGAGTACGTACTTGGACACTCTGTGCCGCGATGATCTGGAGCAGACACCCCCGACCCAACCCTGCTGTGAGCGGGATACCCCCCGACCCCCTCCCTGCGAATTTCCCCTACCCTCCCCTCACATCTTCACAAAACACAACACAGTACATAACCCGTTTCCACTCTCTGAGATCACACAATCCTCATCTTACTCCCGCTTGCCGCATGCGGGGGCCGTTCCTGTTCGTTTCTGCTTTGCTTTGCAGCCTTTGAAGGTCGGAATTCAAGGGCGTGGGTGGGGGAACAGAGACGGTCGGAGTAAGCTTGCAAGGGAGGTGCCGAAGGCTGAACTCGTGTTGCGTGGTAGTAATAGGTGCAGGAGAAGGCGATTGCTTGCCAACCCAAAAAAAAAACACCCACACCCCGTTTAAACTCCTTCCGCAGTCGTGGCTTCTCTAGGACGCGCCCGTCGCCGCTCTACCATCGGTAGCAACTCGGGACCCCCTGACCTCAACTTCCACCCGCCATCGTCGTCGTCCATCTCGAGTGGCACATCGCAGTTGCAGCACACGCTTCCACCGATTCCACATACGCCCATGGGGAACGGGTCAACGTTCTGGGGTACGGACGGCGCCGAGGGCTCCCGATCGGCCTCTCCCGCGCCGGTGCTCCCCATCTCTCGCTCTCATTCCCCGGCCAACAGGGCCGCGACGGGCGATGGTTGGTCAGCAAAGTACGGCGGGGGCGGGAACGGCTACGCTCCCGGCGCACGTAAATTCCTGGGGAAGCATCTGCGGAAGCTGTCCACCTCGTTACCGAAATACAATCGCAATCCCATGTCACCACCGGTGGGCTTCACGCCGACGACCCCCTACGGTCGAGGTGGGGGTGGATTCTTCTACCGGGCGAGGGCTACTGTGTCCCGGAGACCCCGGCTAACGTCGTTCTTTCTGCTGCTCGTCGGATTGCTACTGTGGACGTTTTTGCGCCTGCATCACAATCCCTTATCGAATCGACTGCGAGCGGCGAGCGGTGGCTCCAAGTTCGTTATCATCTTGGCCGCGAATCAGGGAGGTGGTGTCATGACGTGGAAGGGTGCCAAGGAGTGGGCTGTGGAGAGGGATTCCATCGCGAACAAGAAGGCCTATGCCGAGAGATGGGGATATCACCTCGAGATCAAGGACATGAGCACCAAGAAGCGTTATGCTCACGAGTGGCGAGAGAGTTGGGAGAAGGTCGATGTCATCAAGCAGACCATGCGACAGTACCCCAAGGCTGAATGGTGAGCATCATCTCGCGCGAGCAAGCACCGGCGGCGGCGGCAGGCGGTATTCAGCAGCTGACTGGTGGGACGGGGAATATAGGTTCTGGTGGATGGATCTGCACACGTTCATCATGGAGCCCTCGATCTCGCTCCAATCCCACATCTTCAGCAACCTCCAGAACGTCACCTACCGCGACATCAACGTTTACAATCCGTTGAACATCACTCACCCCCTGCCAAAAGACGAATTCTTCTACGTCGACGATGTTTCGAGGTCGCCGGTCGGAGATGACAAGGCGGAGAGCATCAATATCATTGTTCCCCAGGACTGTGGTGGTTTCAACCTCGGCAGCTTCTTCATCAAACGATCCGAGTTCAGCGAGCGACTGCTCGATATCTGGTGGGATCCTGTTGGATACGAGCAGAAGCACATGGAGTGGGAACACAAGGAACAGGACACTCTGGTAGATTACCTCCGAAACAACGTTTCGTGCGAAATGAATCGGCAGTACTGACACTACACTAGGAATACCTCTACGCCCACCAGCCCTGGATCCGAACCGGCACCGCTTTCATCCCCCAGCGAATGATCAACTCGTTCCCTCCCGGCGCGTGTTCCGACACTCCCAACGACCCGCGGATCTTCTACAACGAGAAGGATCGAGACTTTGTCGTCAACATGGCCGGCTGCGAGTGGGGTCGCGACTGTTGGGGAGAAATGGCTAGCTATCGCAAAGTGAGCGAGAAGCTGAATCGAGGGTGGTGGAGCCGGCACTTCTGATTTGAAGTGGTGGTTTTTGAAGTTTTTTTTCTTTTTCTTTTCTTTTCTTTCTTCATTTCTTTTGTGACTTTTTTTTTCTTTTTCTTTATTTGTGTTTTAAAACTTTTTTTCTTCTGGTTTAGGATGATGCTTTAGAAAAGCCGAGAGAGAGACAACAACAAAATAACTGCTGTGTAGTTTGCAGCGTAATGATGACCACGACGCTTACTTAGTCAGTTAGCTACAAGTAGATTCGGGGGCTCGACTGGGCTGGGCTGCCAGTTTGTTTATATATCTCCTGTCTACTCATGGGACGGTATGATCTGGTATCTAGGGGGGACTCGGGAGGGAGAAATGGAAGCGGCTTCAACTTGTTCTTTTTCTTTCGGCTCTTGTCTCTTTTTAAAAATAGTCGGTATACGGGCGGCGATCGGGGCGGAATGGGTTATTACTATATAGATGGCGAGTTGGTTTTGTGTTGGGTTTTTGTTTCCATATTGCACGTGTGCGTGCGTGTGTGTGTGTGTGTTGTGTTGTGTTGTGTTGTGTCAGCATGGCAGAGTCATGAAGAGTTTTGGACGGAGGTCGGTTCAAGACTCAAGAGTGGCGGTGAACGAGAGAGAGATATTATTCTTCCTCAGTGCTCACAGAACACGCCGCCGCCATGCCTAAATAAATCCACGTGCAACGTTCCTTTACAAACTAGTACCCCGTCCCGACTCCCGAGCAAGTCTCGACTGGAATCTGAAATCTGAAATCTGAATCTGTAACGCAAATTCGAAATCCTGGGCTGAAAAACTTGAAACATGAAACATATCCGATCGCCGGTGGGCTATTTTGGAACTGCGGCTGCAGGTTACAACTTGTAGGTATGATGTGCAGCGATCCACCAGGAACGCTTCGGGAATGTGAGGGGTCGATTTCGCGTCCTATCTGGATCCCATTTGGGCAGTGCAGGCGTGCGCATTGGGGGGAGGAGGGGATGAGAGGGATGAATGAGGGGGATGAGGGGGATGAGAGGATGAGAGGGATAGTCGTTGCTACATACCTACGACGTAGCATACATAAGGCATCGCACCTCCCACCTACCGTAGGTACCTAACGCTATGTAGAGTACCGGTACGAAGTACACTACGTACCTCCAAGCGCACATCGTATCGCACGGTACGTATGCTCCGACCCAGCAGACAGGCACTTCGAATTCGCTTCATAGAATCCGCCTCTTGGAATCTGGTCGTTGCACCTGTAGGCGCGGAGAGCTCGCTCGTTCCGGGAGGAACCTGAAACACCCTGCCAAATGGAGTTGAAGATGTCGACGTCGACCGTATATAGCTCGGACTCCTAGCTAGCATGGCGCTTAGAGTATAGAACATAGACCATCCCCAGCCACAGCCCGCACATCGACGTCGACGTCGACGTTAACCTTAACTAACGTTGACGCTTGCCGCTGGGGCAGGGCAGGGACAATGAAAGCCTCTCTCTCTCTGTCGGGGCGGTAAAAAATCCGCAGCGGTGGCGGTCGCTCAAGAGTCCTGCAGAAGTCAAAAGAGCGCTGTCGCGCCCCCGTGCTGCTGCCGGTGGTGGTGTTGGTTCTCTTGGTTCTCCTCTGTTTTGTCTTCTTTCCTTCCTTCCTTCGTGCTGCCAAACAAACGGGTTTTTGTTTTTTTGTTGATGTCGACAGCTGTGGTCCTGTCCATCTCCTCACCCTCCTCTCCCTTCTAGTCGCTCGGATCGACTTTGTATATACACTTCTTTTTCTTCTTCTTTCTTTTCTCGTACAGCAGTTTCGGCAGGCCAGCTCCTCCGCCCGATTCATCTCGATCACACGCGCACTTGAAGTGCCCATTACTACTACCCGAGATTCGGCTTTAGCTAGTGATTGCTGTCGCTCGAAATCACTCGACCCAACCCATCTCATCCCATCTCAGCTCACGAGGGCTATTGACGGTCCGCGGCATTCGGTTCGTTTGTTCGTTTTCCTTCCTCCTCCTCCTTCTATTCCCCGACGCACGGAGGAAACATTTCACCACCAGCGATCTCCCACACTTCCTTCCAACACCACCAACCTCATACATACACACGATGCCGTCCCCCTCCCCCACCGCGAGCGCCCAAAACGACCACCACTCAGAGCAACATTCACCACCACCGCCACAGCGACGGCAAACACAATCGCAACTGTACGAAGACCTAGAAAAAGAGCTCACGACGACGGCGACTACAGCACCTACAGCACCCACAGCACCCACAGCACCCACAGCACCCACAGCGGCGGCGGCGGCTGCGCACCAGCGGATGTCGCAATTCAATTTCGGCTTCGAGGCTGGCAGCGACGCCGGCGCACGTCGAACCAGCAGGAGGGAGGAGTCCACCACAGCCCCGGCCACGGCGACGGGCTACCTGCACGCACCTCCGCCCGAAGAAGAACATCCCGAGGAACTACCGCCGCCTTACAGCCGCTTCGTTGAGCCGCCGCGCCTGCCCTCGCCGCCGGAGGCAGCACGGTGGGCGCCCAGACGGGGAGTGTTCCACCACTACCACCGCAGCGAGCCGGATGTGGAGGCTGGAGCGCGCAGGGTGAGGATGAACACGGTGACGCTGGACGACCTGCGGGGCGAAGCTGCGGGGGAGGAGGCGCGGCGACGACACGAGGCGCGGCAGCGGCGGTGGGGCTGGGGACGGTTTCTTGGGCTTGGGGGAAGAGCAGGTATGAGCATGGAGAAGCGGCACAAGCTCGACAGGGCGCGGCGGTGGTGCTTCATCGTCGTGCTGGTGGTTACGATTCTTGTGGTTTCGATCGTGGGCGGTGTGGTGGGCTCACGGAACTGGAAGAAATCCGTGAGCGAGAGCGCGAGCTCGGGTACGGCCGCGGAGCAGGCGGATGGTGCGGATACGGGGCCGTCGCTGCCGCTGGGATCGGTGCTGGTAAGACCGTTCCGCGGCGCGGATCGCCTGTCGACGTGTGTGGCCAGGTCTTACCAGTGGAGCTGCGCCCTGCCGCCCGATACACGGGTTCCTACTACCACCGCATTGAACGACGACGTCAGGGTCCCCGAGTTCCGGTTCGTGATTAAGCGGCGCGACGCCACCTCCGAGTCCGGGCCGGAGAGCGACTGGATCCCCGTGCCGCGCTCGGCCCCCAACACCACCGACTACGAAAGCGTCTCCTCGGTCGACGGCGTCAGCGACGCAGGCGAGGACTCGGACTTCTACATCACGCTGATCACCAAAACTGCTTCTAACACCAGCACTACAGCGAAGCGAGAAATCATCCGGGAGGAATCGCACATGCTGCCGTTCGCCGTCGCCAACCAGCCGCTGCGACTGTTCGACCGCGGCCTGGAAACGGAGCACTTCGGCTTCCACGTGTATTTCGACAAGACGGTGCAGTTCGCCAACGAGTCGCGGCTCGCCAACAGCCGCGACATGGGTGGCGTTGCCGCCGCGGACTCGGGTTACAGGATCCAGTGGAGCAATACCCGCTTCAAGGTGTCAATCTTCACGAAGCAGACGGCTGGAAAAACTGTCGAGACCGGAGATGACTTGGCAGAGCTGGACCTGCCCGTCGATGTATGGGAGGACCGTGTGGGCGGGGATAAGTTTGGGCGTACAGTCACGGCGTGGGTGCTGGACGCGGATGGTGCTCCCGAGCGGAAGGTGGGGATCGCGGAGAAGCGGGGGATTCGCACGGAGGAGAGGGGCTGCTACTGCCATTGGTCGAATTATCGCAAACCTTAGAGAGCGGTGGGGGGTGCGGGACAATACGAGATGATGCAATGTATAATAAGTATACGCTTTTCAATGCCTTTTGCGGCCGGGCTTTAGATATTCCGCTGGTGGTGGTGGTGGCCGGGCTTTACATATTCCGTCGGGCAGGATTTTAGATAACCCGAAGGCGGAGACAGACTCTAATCCAGCCTTGCGTATGACGCAACACAACACAACACAATCCGACAACAACAGAGATCATTCTCATGTGAATGTGATAGCACATAACCATAAGCTTAACCATATCCGCATTGCCGGTATGTATCACATCATCTGTGCCCCACCCACCCAACCCATGACCACGCCCTCAACTTCCGTGCTCAATCCAACCCATTCACACAAGTACCGGTAAGCATGTACCTACCAGGCTCCCACAACGCTACCACAACACAACACCAACAAAAAACACCCAAACATCCATCCATTCCCATGTGATTCCTAGCCGGCACGTAACGACGGGTTACCGTACGTAGCAACGGCCCGCCCCAGCCTACCCGCCCCCACCCCCCCGGTAACCAACGCTGCTGCTCACAATCAAGGCTTACTAGTTTCCTCACAACGTCCGCCCTATTCTTCCTCTTCCCCACGGTGATCAGCGATGATTACGCCCAGCCCAGCCAGCCCGCCAACGAGCCAACGAGCTAACGAGAAGAGTCAGGACATCCGCATTCCAGCTGCCAGATGCCAGGAACCTTACTCTCGCCCTGAACACACCTACACACCCACCCACCCCACCTACCCTGACTACCTACACGCCGAACACAGCATCAGATGTGATCTGCAGTAAGCCCTGATCTCGCCTCCCCCGCGGGCCCTGAGTCCACGGCTCGGGATTCAACCGGACGGTCAGACGGGATAACCTTTTTTCCACGCACGGCTATGCCGGTTTGATGCAGATTTCGTGGGGGGGGGGGGGGGTGGGGGGTGGCGAATGGACGAGTGAAGCCCTATTCTGGAGTAGGGGGGGGATATATAGTGAGGCGGCAACGCGGGTTGTGATGAGGATGGGATGGGATGGTCGCTCACGGCATGTCACTCGGCAGACCGCCCTGTTTGAGGCGTGCTGTTTGGCTGGCTCCCTCCTTCGAACCCCCACTAAGACGATGACCCAGATGACAATGGTTTAGATTACGTGCGAACTGATGGGTGAGTACACCAGCAAATAAACCAACCAACAAACTAAGCCCCGACCCCGACCCCATCCCCCCGTCATGGCACATGGCACATTGCACACAACACAGCTCGGCCTCGTATCCCGCTGCGAGTAATTGATCGCCCGCAGGGCCCACTTGGCCCACAAGATCCGCAGCGACCGGCCAGGGCTGTCGAAGCCCGTAGTTCCCTCCCATCCATCCGTACCGGCAACGGAGCCACCAAAGCCTCTCTGCCGGTGGGTGCGGGGGTGCGGGGGTGGGGGGTGGGTACATATTCCCTCGCCCTCTCAGCTCTTGCTGCTGCTGCTGGTCCCGTCGGCCGCGTCGGCGACGGACGACGATGCTCCAGCTCCGGCTGTGATATGTGCGATATGTGCGATATGTGGACGGCGGATGTGGCTGCAGATGCTAGATGCCAGCTGTCAGCTACGGACCTGCGGACCTGCGGTCCTAAGGTCCTAAGGTCCTGCGGAAGAATGCCATCTCTGACTGACGTGGTCCGGTTAGGATTGGGATACGAGATCGAAGGCTGCGAGGGCGAAGGCTGGGTGGTCGATGTGGTCGATGTGGTGGATGGGAAGGGGCAGAAACATGTGAGAAAGACGTGTATGGCATGTATGTAGGATGCAGGTATGCACTGCTGCTGACGGTTGGACAGAGTCACGCCCCCCTCCCGGCTGGCTGGCTGGTTGGCTGGCTCGTGGGGCAGATGCAGCAGATGGATGGACGGGACGGGCGAGGTACACTGGCTAGCTGGCTTGTGGAGCGGATGCATGTGGAGAAAGTGAAGCGGATGGATAAGTGAAGATTTCAATTTGGTAGTACGTATAGCTAACATGACAATTTAGAGAAGAAGAAGAAGAAAGAAGACGTACACGGAATTCGAAATGGCAGGACCAACACACAATAACCTCCAGCAGTAACAAATATCCTCCCTCGGTCGACAAAACAAACGCAACAGGAACGAATACAAAAAACAATAAACAAAACAACAGTCAAGAAAACTTTCTGCGGACTCGGATAGCACTGGTATCTGTCAATGTCCACAGCTGTGGTTGTTGTAGCCACACCCCTTAACTGGAGGGAGGCTGATGGTGATAGGGAGAAGGAAAAGAGTTGAAATATCTTCGACAAACAAATTCGACCGAATTCGGAAAAACACATCTGATAAGTGGTTACACAATACGAACTGCCCTTTGCCAACGAAGGGTACTTTCCGGCAGACCTGCAACGAGTGTATGTGGATTGAGAGAACAGTGGTGGTGGTGGTGTTGACAACTAGGTGTTGCCAGCTCTGGGATCATTATTCTTTCTCTTCTGCTCGTTGTCAGCTCTCGAACTGGGAATGGGAGTGAAGAAGAACCAACGTTCTGTTGCTCACTCGCATCGTCGAGGCGTCTGTGGTGATGCTTCCTTCCGGATTCCGCTCTCTGGCACCGCCGGCGCTCATGCTCCATGGTTACCGTATTGCGGCGCTCGCCACTACACACATAATCATCTCCGGAATCCTCTCCAGAGAGCTCTTCGAATCGAGGATGAGGGTAAGCCGCACATTCCAATGGTCCAGCTACAGTTCCCAGGAGGCAATCGACGAGCGGGTTGTCTCGTGGAGTTGCAGGAAACTCGGCGGCGCCGAAGCGGGCGCCAGGGTGGAAGATGCGGCCGTGAAGGTCGTGCTCGCTGAGGTAGAGGTTCAGAAGATAGGGCCTCTCTTCGGCGGTACGAGCCAGGATCTGTCCGGTGGGTTCAGGATCCTAGACTGGGCGTCAGTTGACCGGACAGGCAAGGAATGGGAGGTGGAACTCACAGCGCGCTGGCTGGGAAGGGGACGAGCCACTGAGAGTGTGGCCCGAGGGATGCTTCCCTGTCTATAAGGGTAGGGGTAGGGGGGAGCATTGTTCCTAAGCTCTGGGTTGTTCCCGTCAACGTAGAGGAGTCTACGTTGGCGGTGCGGCTGCTGCTGGTGGTGGTGGTGGTTTTGGCGGTGATTGGGCGGTTGATGGCCGTAGAGAGAGCGAGATCCGGTGAGGTGCGGGAGTTGGCGAGACATCTTTCCGAGTGGATGATTTGGGATGAAAAATGAAGGGGGAGATATATGTTAAAACCAAGTAGGAATGTATGGAAGTAGACAGGTATGTCTATGTGCGGTAGGATGTCTACGGGATTCCGTGGAAGGAGAGCAAAACGCTCGAGATTCAGACCAGATTATATAGCCCCGGAGAGGCAGAAAAATTACCGTAAGCAGCACGGTTGTACGAAGCAAACCGGACGCAGCAACAGTCAGGAAGAGCTCACTGCGGCAAAACACATTCCGTGTGGATTCACAGTAGCACCACAGCCTGGTTTTGGACGGCGTTCAATCAAGTGAAATGCGGAAGGAGTGGGATTATGCAGCTTTGCACGAGTGCCCCGATGGAATTCCAGTGGGGGTGGTGGTTTCCGGAATGAACAGCCATGGGAGTTTTTTTCCAAATCCCGGTACGGACGTCTGGCCGTCTTCTTCAGGAGGGCTTGCCGGTTCGCATCGAGTGCGCACCGAAGAAACCAGCTAGCCTGAGCGGTCCGCAATGTTTCGAAGTGCGCACCGATGAAACCAGCCTGCGCCAGCGCATGCAATACGTACCTAACCTAACCTATCATACTTACGTGGTTCCGCCACCCATCGGGGCAAAAGTGATAGGATCGAGTGCGCGTCAACCGTCTGGAAACTGATATGCAAGGCAGCTGACGACAAACAGGGTTTCTTCGAGAATAGGAAAGCTGCCGAAAAAGTTGCGGAAAACAAGCGCCGGAAAAACGAACCACTCAGCACTCGCTGAAAAGCCCCGCCTAAGCCCGGCGCTGCTATGTATGTGGACTGTGGACTCGAGGCGCATGTGTATTATGTGTGTGGGTGTGTGTCATCCTCTCCCATCCCCCACCAGATACGCACGCCCTAACCCACCCTCCCCCAGAACTCGTGCGGAAGTCGACCGGAGGAATGCAGGCAGACAATGTTGAGGAAAAGCATGGCGGTCCGGACCTCAGGCTGTGCAAGTCCAAGCCAATCCTGACTGAGCAACCAAACAACCAGACAACCAAATAAACAGACAACCAGACACACCGAATTCGGACGCAGCAGCAATCAAACCATGGTCGAGCACACTTGCATTACATGCCATGCCGGCATCCTCCGCGGTCTCCCATCACTGGAGGAGCTCTCGTCCGTCGCGGCCTCGATACGCAACCTGGAATATGGGGGCGAAGGAAGAAATGGATGCCGTCCATCGATCCCCACCTCCAAATAACCCGTAGCGCCCTCAGACCCCCGATTTCGAGTCGCGAAGAATCCGATGCGTCACATTACAATTCAGCGTGTCTGCGGTTGCTGGTATGTAGTAGGTATACATACCCGAGAACATACTCGCATATCTGCGTGCTTATGTACCGTAGGTAGTTGCTGAGTGCTTCCCGCTTGTGCTACCATATTGCCCCACATTCGCTTATGGTAGCGTCGGTGACCTCCGCGTGGCAAGCTCACACATCAAGTCGTGAATTCACGATACCGCCTCAGAACCCATCGTCAGCTTTCTAGGGCACCAGGCTCGACTGCACCCTGCCCAAAGATCTTGGGGGTCTCCGGAGACGAGTACCGCCAACTAGCTGGCTATTCGTCACGGAACTCGATGCGAACATTCATGTGACGAGCCGGTCGTTCAACTACGTATACCATCGGCCAACGTCGGATCCGCGGATTTCCAACACACGCGTGCTCTTCGCTGGAGCCGAAATTTTTCCCCTCTTCAGCATTGCTCCCGCGGCTGAAGGATTCGTTGCTTACTCTATCCCGTGCGCGCATCGTTCGAGAACTTCAACATCCAGGTGCTCCTCCGAGTGGGGTCCCCGAATCCAATCTACCTATCGCGAGAAATCATGTACACTCGCGTACGTGCATCTGTGTGTACCACCAAGCACGGCTCTGAGAAGCCAATCCGCGTTCTTTACTTTCCGAGGAACGCATGATTCCCCACGTCGAAGAAAAGAATGCATAGTGGCCAGCATAGCCATTTACTTCGTTCAGAGGACTGGATGCCGCGTTCTTTACTTGCGGTGGAACGTCCGGGTCCCTACGGTTGCTCTTCAAAGAAAAGAAAGCATGACAGAAAACCATTCCCTTCATTCAGAGGACTGGACGCTGCGCTCTATTTTTCGTATATACGTCGTGCATACACACCTACATGCCCTATCACCCACCGTATACACCCTCCATGGCAGTGCAGCTGGTGAAGGAAAAAAACGCAGCCCGAACTTCGAATGGGGAATAGCACCGTGAAAACACGGGGGAGAATCTGTAACGATATGCACAGTTTGCAGAGTATGTGGACACCCTACCTACTGAGCACTGCCTTGCAGATAGGCAGAAAAGCGAGGGTTCGCGCGCGCTGCATACAGGAATAAGCAAGTAAGTAATCGAGCAAGCAATCGAATAAAAAAACAAGCCGATTTATGTGCGTCGAAACCTGCCAAGAATCACCGTGGGGATCGGAGCGGCGCCGGACTGAGTTGGGCAGGGTCCCGGTCTGGATTGTCGGGACCGATGCTCGGCTCTCAAGGCTCACTGCTGGGTGGTATATCGTGGTGTAACATCCATCTCTGACAGACTGACAGGACCAGTGCAACCACCGGGAAGTCCCGAATAGGTAGTTTGCGTTCACACTTCTTTGGACATTTGGTCAGTCAGCCTCGGACTTGGTATGTACTCGCTCAACAGAGACGTAGGTACATACGTAACCACACATCTCGAAGCCGTAAGTACTCATAAGCAGTAAGTATTTGTGCTGACGAAGCCAAACCTACTGTCGAACTCTGGGGTCTGCACTAAATGCCGCCGGCCTTTTGTTATCCGGATATTTTTATTGGTGCTGTACCCTACAGACTACAGTGATCAGAGTTTAGACAGTGTATTCGGTCCAAAGTCCACGTGGCAGCCTGCGGGCTGTTGGACATACCGTCTGAGTGTAGTTGTAGCGTAGGTAGTACACGAGCATCATACCCAAAGATGGTTTTCTCAGCTTGTTCCGAATTAATCCAATCCAAACATCCATGCTCCCCGCAGTCTGGTCCTCGCCGTCCTCGCCGTTCTTCCTCCTCCTCAGCCTTCTCCCTCTGTCCCCGCCCTGTTTTCTGCCTATATTAGATTGAAGTTGATGTGTGCAATCCTCATCATCCATCATCCTCATCATCCTCGCCATCTCTCGCCATCACTCCGCTTCTGCTTCCGCTTTAGGCTTCAAGGCTCAAGCAACCAGGCCCCGACTTCCAAAAAACCGTCCTCTGAGTCGGTGTTGGCATCGTACATATGTACACTTTCCCGACCGTATATACTAGGTATACAAGCCTCCCATCATCCCACCATCCGGCATGTAAACGCACCGTGACGACATCGAGTCATCGACCGTGCAGAGTTGATCCACTAGTACTGGTATATGTCGGCGACGAAACCACCCTAGTCCACGAGGTGCAACGAAAAGGACCATCGTTGCGCTCACATCGAGGTAACCGTACCGAGAATCCGAGGTATGCTGTAGGTTGTAGGCTGTAGGTTGTAGGCTGTATGTAGAGGGCATACTCTACATACAAGTGCTGTTCGTGGCTACCAGTGTCCGCTGTCCGTGGGCGGCGAGCGGGGGGCGGGGGGCGGCGGGGTAAAAAAGCATTGTAGCCCAGTCCAGCCCAGCCTATGTAGCACAGCACAGTCCCAAGGTGCAAGTCTGTGTGCAGGTCTGTGTGCAGGTCTGTGTGCAAGCCAGTGTGCAAACCAGCGGCCTGCGGACCCCAGCACTCGAAGAGTGTCGATTCCGGGACCGGCGGACCACGTGGTTGAAGGGCCGGGTAGGTATGTAGGTATTTAAGTACCGTCTCATCTGTAGGAGTACATGTGGCATCCAAGATCCGTGGGCTCGCTGTGGCTGCTGCTGCTGCTGCTCCCGGGGCTCGCTGTGACTTGAGGGAGGGCGGAGGGCGGAAGGGGAGTGGTTCCGCATCATCAGCTCGCATTCGCATCTGGCCACGGCCGATGATGGCGGCGGTTCCCAGCGCGCCAAAAATCCTGGCACCCCCAACTTCCAAGCGCGGGTTTGCGCCGTTCGTGATCGCTCCGCGCGCATGGCGTTCGCTCACTCGCTCACTCGCTCACAAGACATTACTTCCCCGAGCCTGAGCCTGAGCCTGAGTCTTGAGGGTTACATATTACATACGGACCCACCGAGCAGAGGTGGTGTCGTTTCAACTTTTGCGAGGGGGCAAGGGGGGATACCTGCACGAGTTCGCTGCGTGCTGCGTGGTTCTGGTTGTGTCTGCCGCCTGCGGCCTGGTGTCTGGTGCCTGCGGCCTGCGAGTCCAGCGGAATGTATTGATGTAACTACTATCTTTGCTCAGTCTACTCTACTAGATAACAGTTCCTGATGAGATTGTAGGTCGGGTATATAATATCGCGTAAAGGGCGTCTATCACAAGCAGGGTTAGTTACCGAGTCTGGATCATGGAAAGCACTCGGACACGATCGAACTGAGTAACTGCCAGTATCGTAATAATTCGTTTCCACTCCAACCGACCGCTTTCCACAGGGGGACCATTCTTTCAAGAGACGTATTTGATAGAACATTGAGTATTGGGGGCCGGCCACGATACTTCATAACCGCCGCCGTGGTCGACGGCTAAGAAGTAAGAACCAGTGACACGCCGGGAAGCAGCCGTTGATGAGAGTGCACTGCAGTCCATTAAGCAGATATATAAAGTACCAGGTCAAAAGTTTTCGTACACCTCCCCAAAAGCGCCACCACACCACAGACATACATCTCTATAACACAACAACCACAATTAAGAGAGTACTAATAATTGGCATATATCATGAATATATACTAATAAAGCTTCAATGAGATTTCCAGCTCGCTAGGCGGATTATTTTATGCGAAGTAGAGTGGCTTGGCGGATTTCCCTTTCACTGAGGTAGGTGATTTCCCGCCATAGATACAGCAACTATAAGGTAGTATAAAAATATGTGGACCATTAGAAGGTCTTCTAAATCAGGTAGAGAACCTCGATTGAAATCGGCGCATAATTCTAACTGGTGGTGGTTGAGTAATGCGGTATGGGAGAGAAGTTGGTGTTGAAACTGGTTGTCACGCAATAATTTTGTATGGGGGCCCATACAGAATCTGAAATCACTCTCCAACCCGTGCACAACACCGTACCAAGCGCCACCAATTCGAAGTAAAAGTTGTCAGACTTCTTATATGTGATGCATCTTACGATTCTAAAGCTTCTATGAAAGACTCGATTTTTTTTCCGCCACGTGAAGGGTGGGTTTTGGTTACTTGAAAATGGGCATTTTTGGTGTATTTTGGTGTAAAAAGGCCATCGTACGAAAACTTTTGACCTAGTACTTTATCATCCTCTCGCACAGCGGCCAGACTCCAGAGCAACAACATTTGACGTCGGTCATTTCCGTCACCTACCTTGTATGACCAGGAGGACAGACCTTTGATCTCTCTCTCTCCCAGCAAAATTTACGCCGCTACATAGATATATAATGTTAGAGAGCCTATTTCTACTACCTCACACAAGTTGCTCTGCGGAAGAGCCCACTTGCCGGATGGATGCTTTTGATATCACTCGCTGCCTTCCTTTCTGCAATAGCCAAAAAAAGATTGGGTCAACCTTAGTAGGGAGGTGTAACAAATGTACAAGCGCCAGGCATGGAGGGGATAGGGTGGAGAGGGGGGTGGGGGGGACATCAGTCTATTATCGCATACGGCTTGCCGTAGGTAAGTATTTTATTTTTGTTTAATCATCATTGTATTCGACATTGACGAGTGAGCACCCGTGACAAGCACCAACTACTATTTATATCCCCAAGACATAGCATTGGAATCTGCGAGACAGACGGCAACAGACTCACGTTCCATATCTCGATGCAATGCAAACACGACTTCTACATACAATGTAGTACATACATCCTGCGCACCCATAGCCCTCTTAAAGACACCAAGATTTCCCGAATCACGACCAGAAAATTCGAAAATCAAAGCTAATAGGTTCCTAAACCATCTCTCTACTACCAGTAGATATACCTCGTCGTAGATCCCCTCGGTCCCGTCCGCCTCATCCCTTTTCCTTTTCCTTTTCCTCTTGAGCCACTCGACAGACCGGTATCCATCGTACACCCTTTGCATCATTCTCCATATATATTTCTCCAGAACTTTCCGCGGCAAATCCTTAGAGCTCAATAGAATACCTACTTCCTAGCAGACAAAATCAAGACAGAAACCAGACAAAAACCAGACAGACCAGACAGACAGAAACCACAGAAACCACAGAAACCACAGAAACCACAGAAACCACAGAAACCACAGAAACCACAGAAACCACAAAACCAGACAAAAACCAGACAGAAACCAAAAAACCAAAAATTCCAGTTGCCAGTTGCTTGGTATATGGTATATGGTATAGTAAATCCAGACTAGAACGCAAACACATACGGTATAGACCGAACCCAGAAGAAGAACAAGAAGACAACAATTTCATGGCGTGGTGGTTGGGGAGGAGGAAGAGGGAGGAATGATATGAATCCAGCCAGGTGAAAACAGAAAAGGTAAACAAAATAGCAAAAAGAGCAGGCTCGAGAAAATAAAACATAACACATTACGACGTTGTCCCATCCCATACATTAAACGCAAAACCAAAACCAAAACAAGACGGAACGGAACGGACGAAGAGGAGGGAGAAAGAAGACCATGTTGTACAGAAGCAGAAAAGAAACCACCCGTACAGAAAAGAAACCAAGCCAGACGTATCCGCGCCCCTACGCCCCCGTACCAAAACCGACCTCACTCCCACCGCCCGGAATCTCCGTATTTGCCATTGACACGCCCGCTCCGCGCTCAACATCGTAGCGGATAGTAGTAGCCCCCGGGAAGTGTCCGAGCGCACTATCGGTGAACATCTCGGGCGGGCCGTCTCTCCTAACGCGTCCAATCGTCAACTCGACCTTGTAACCAAAGATCTCGACCTTATCGCCGCTAGTATCCTTAAACAGCACGAGTTCGTCGCCGTCATAGAGCCGACCCACGCGTTCGCCACCGCCGTATTTCCGTCCGTTGACGTAGACACCGCAGCGTCCGGCGGCCTGGAACATTACGACCATGTCCGGCTGCGGCCTCCACTCGCCGATGCGCGACTGGTTGGGATCCATCTCCCTCTCGCCCAAGTGGTTGATCTGCAGCGCGAAGTGCCACTTCGAGATGCGGATGTCGTCTGGGCGGATCGTGCAGCCGGTTCCACGGCCGATGCTGACGAGCTGTTCGACCAGCGCGATCGGCTCCTGTGAGACGCTCCCGGGGAGCGGGAGGAGCCGGCCCCACCGCAGGAGAGGGACGCGGAAATGCGTAGTCGACTCTTGCGAGCACACGGACTGTGTCGCCGGGAGTTCGTCATCTTCGGGTTGCGGGACGCTGTGGAAAAAAATCCTGGGTTGCGTGTTGGTCGCTGCAGACGATGGTGGTGGTGCCCGTGGTGAATTTTGTGTCGATCTCGCCGACTGGTGCCCCAAGCTCTCAGGCGAGAAGTTAAAGTGCGCATTGTTAGCAAATGAGAATGGCGATACCGTGCTCTGACCTTGGTTGGGCTTGACTGAGGGTGGTGTGCATGGCGGCGCATTGGCATTATTATTGAGCGCCAGCCGCGAGAACTTATTCTCTGTAGCTCTCCGCCGGGGTGTAGTCATGGTGGCTTTCGTTCGTCGAAAGCCCCGATATTCGAATGCCTCTCCCAGACGCTGGGTCAACTGCGACGACCCATCATCTTCGCTATCCGAGCCGTCAAGCCCGCCAGCAGGGAATACGCCAGAGCTTCCTTTGAGAGAAACATCGGCCTTCGCTCGCTCTATGACCGATATGCCGGTTTCCCCCTGCGTAAACTCCTGGCGAGAATTGATGAGACTTTCAAACACCTCGTTTCCAGAGCTTGCATAGTCTGAAGATTGCGAATTGGCGTGGGCGTCGAACATATCATCTCCCTCCACCTGACTAAAGCTAACCCGCGACATGCCGCCTTGAAGCTCGGTCTCAACGCGCTTGTCAGCAGCACGAGGGGTTGGTAGACTACTGGTGTTATCCTCCTCGTCAGAACATCCCGCAGGTGTGTCTTCGCCCGAGTCCTCGGCATCTTCATCGTCGTCCTCGTCCCCGGCCGTCACTTGACGAGCGGATGGCTGAACTTGTGACGAATCGTAGCCGACGCCAAGGACCTCATCCTCATCGTACTCCATCGAGGCACTCTCGACCAGATTCTCCTCAAAGATCCACGGATGGCGCAAAGCCTCGGTCTCCATGATGCGCATCTCGGGACGAACCTGCAGCAGCTTGCCGAGGAAATCGACACAATTGTCGTTGTCCGCTCCCACCATGCTCCTGAGCTTGGTCTCGTCGAACATACCGCGGGTTACTAGCCGGCACATTTCGTCTTGGTTCTTGCCTTCGAACGGTGGGCTGCCGCACAGAAGACAGTAGATCACACAGCCGAGCGACCACATGTCGACTGCCTGGTTGTACGGCCGCCGATTCTTCTTTCCCTTCGGGGGTCCAGCCTCGTCCGCCGGGAGTCTCTTCCGTTTGATGTTGCCGTCCAGGCCTTGCGCTTCAGCCATCATGGCGCTCATGTATCCAGGGAAAACTTCAGGCGCCAGATAGAGCATAGTTCCACAGAACGTCCTGAGGAATGTTTGCTCGTTGTTGACCATCTTAGCAAGACCAAAGTCGGAGATCTTAACGATCATCGGGTCCTCTGAGGCGATGAGTATGTTGTCCGGCTTGAGATCTCTGTGCGAGATCCCCATCTCGTGGATATACTTGAGACCTCGTAGCACCTGCGTGACAACTTGTTTGGTCACATGTTCGGGCATTGTGCTGTGGTAGTTCAGGTAGTTGTTGAGATCGCCATGCTCGATAAACTCCATCACCACATAGACGTGCGTGTCATCCTCGAAATAGCCTATGTACTCGACAATATTGGGCTATTTAAGCCAACCATCAGCATATGAACGTTCTCGGCAATATGGGACGAAAACCACGGTACCCAGCGTCGTTGCGGTTGAGACAAGGTTCAAGACAAAGACAAGGCAAGACTTACGTGTTTCAGACGTTCGAGGATATCAATCTCCTTCTTCACCCCCAGGTTTTCCTTTCCTATTTGCGTCGCAAACGTCCTCTTCGCGATGGATTTGACCGCCACGACATTTCCGTTCTGCCTCTCGTACGCCTTGTTGACGGTAGCGAAAGCGCCTTTTCCGATCTGCGAGGCGAGCATATACTTATGATCACCACCCCACGATATGGATCCTGACGGCTCGCGGATGGTATGAACATCGCGAGTCTCGATCTGTTCCGGACGACGATGGGCCTCATCGGGGCCTCTGCCCGCGTTACGCTTGAGGGCGGCCACGTTACGTTGCTGAGGACTCTGAACAAGCCCAGGCGGGGCATCGCCGACACGAGGCAACCCCACGTTCGGTGCGGGACTACGATTGGCGCCAGCGAGACGCTGATTCAAGTTCATGGAATCGGGTCCTTGGACTGGCTTCAACCCCCTTCCGGACTCCCTTGGTACCCGGACAACAAAGCGGACCAATTCGTCATCCTTTCCGGGGCAGATGAAGATGACGCTTCCAGGGCTCAGAACTCGCTTTTGTCCCCACCTGCTGGTTTTGGAGAGGAGCTTGTCGTCCACCCAGGTACCGTTCGTCGACTTGTCTTCAAGCATGAGAGCACCCCTAGCGTTTACATATATTCTGAAGTGTGTGTTCGAGATACGGCGATTATTTGGGTTATCGATCATCAGGATGTCGCATTTGAAAGGATTCCTACCGAACAGGAAACCCTGCTCTGGATCCTTCGGTCCTGGGTCATGTCGAAGAGCGAGGTCGATCGTAGTGCTCTCCTCATTGGTCTCGATCTGGGTGGGCTCTTGGTCCTGTGGGTCGTCGGCGGTGGATTCGTCCGACGCTGCTCGTCCTTTCGCACCATCTTCCGGCACCGGCAGCCGCACGACGAGTTTCCCGTTGGTGCTCGCTCGGCGGACTATCGCAATGGCGGCTGGCGAGCATGGATGGAGGAAACAGACAACTCCTCGGTAGTCCTGTCCGTCCGATGGGGGGATGCCGTTGTGCGGCGGGAGTGGCTGGGTCGCTGGTTGGGTCAACTCTTCCTCGTAACTGTCGTCCATCGTTGCTGGCTATCCGACGTCAAATCGCAGTGGGAGTAAAAGACAACTAGAATACCCGATGATGGCTCGGTTAGTCTTGTTCGAGGACCCGTCGGTGGAGGCAGTGAATGGTTAGGATGTCGAAGGAAGGCAATTGATGGGGAGGGTCGGGGGGTCGGGGAGGATGGGGTATATATATCCACTTACATCCGTCTGAAAAGTGAACCAGACAGGGAGGAAAGAATGATTGAATTTTGTTGGCGAACGACTGCGCACACTCAGGAGGGAATTTATCGCCTATAGAAGCGATCTGGGGCTTCTGGATACCGCAAAGTAGGGCGACCGAAACGGAACGATTTGAACACGGGCGGTGATAACTCGATAACTACAAGCACTGTTGGCGTTGACTCAGTCAGTACACCTGGAAATGGCATCGATTACGGGGGGAAGGAAAGTGAGTATGTACGCGTCCGAACCCTTACGAAGACATAAAAAAAAAACTGCACTCCTCGGAGAAGGGACAACCAACTGGGCGGCCCTTTCAGGCGAATTGCACGTCGACCTCGCGGGAGTACTCAGTCCCGTCACCAAATAGGTGAATCAGGGTTGCTATGTATCCGCCTCGTCGTCGTCGTCGACTTATGTCGCGCGGGTATTTATATGCAGCGTAGGTAGGCCTCCAATATGTATGTCCTTCCCGTCCCGGTCGCCAGCGTCCAACAGCCCTTTCCTTTCCTTTCGTTCTCCTCCACACGCACAAATCTCGTCCGCGAGATGATGGTGACTACGATCGTTCCGGGCCCGGGGCGCGCGAGAAGGGGACTTGCGAGAGCGAGAGGTGCGCACGCAGAAACGACACGCAACGCAGCTGGGCTTGCGCGGTCTGTAGGGAGAAGCGGGCAGGCAGGGCGTATAGAGTATGTTTTGCACGGCGCGCGCGAGGAGTGGATGGATGGATGGATGTGGAGTCTTTTTTTTTCGAAGGAAGCGAACGTGTGTGGTACACCGGTGAATGGAGGCACGCACGCGGGATATATTTTGTGACAGGGAACGGATCCTCAGGGCGACAGAGAAGGATGGGACGGACCAACAGAAACGAGATGGGTCGTTCGGTAGTTATGCGGATGAGATTCGGAAGGTGGGGGGGGGGGGGGGGGGGGAGGGGGCAGGTGTGGGGACAGAGACACAAACAGACGCGGTCGACACCACTTCACGTGGCTTGGACGCGTAAAGTGTATATGGTCGGGCTTAAGCCTGGTGGTTCGCTGGACGGTGCTGGTGTGCCTGCCTGCTGAAGGAAAAAGTAGACAAAGCAGGCTACTGGTAGAGTAGGTAGATAGATGGATCATGGGGGGGGGGATGGCCGGGTCGATAGATCCGTCCCCTGCCTTAGTCCGCAGCGAGGGCTCAACCGAAGCTGACGAGCTGCTTGACGAGATTGGAGCAGATATATTTCCTTGCGTCTTCGCTACCTATGGGGGTTCCGTGTGTGCCCACAGGAGGCATGGAATATCTCGAGGCAAGAGTTCTCGAGATGCGTGGGGACGTGCCCGAGTCCATGGTGAGCATCTATGAACTCGGTAAGATCCTCACACTACTAGTACTTACATAAAGTACTGTCATGGCCGCAGTTGCGCCTTGCGATAAGAATCATTCTTAAACGAGCTTTCCCAGCCCTTGCTAAGCCCAAACAGGCATCGCGTTGATTCTTCCGTAAGACAATGGTCATGAGCTTCCACGAGCTACATATGCTACGTGCCACGATGACCTCCCCCATTTGCTGCCTGACGCCACAATCTCTACATTTCAGCCTTCGACACCATATTCTTCCTTCGACTTCGACTTCGACCTCGACTTAGGGCTTGTTCTTTTGGGACCAGCTGATGCCATCTGCGCGTGCTACCGGCACCGCAACATTTCGGGCAATACTGCCGGAAAACATGACGAGAGCTCATGGAAAGATGGAGGTGGATCACCATCACAAGATACCACCCACTAATCAGGAAAGCAACCGACCAGAAAGAAGCCAATGCCGAAGCCCTGCCCTCCGAGGGTTGCGATCTCACTATCGATATCATACCAAGCAGTAAGACGGGAAAGCAAACCATCACTGGCCGCGCCATCACCCTCTACATAGTATGAGGACCGCAAACCACGGTCCGTTCCTTCCATCTTAAGAAGGAGAGGGAGGGACAGGCCTTCCGGGGGGTTTATTGGTGTTTCTTGATATAGCGTTCGAACTTCGAGGTGACATGTTTTGGGTGGGATAAGGTGGTTTTATGTAGGTACCGTGGGAACTGGGAAGCCTTTAATATGATAACAGTAGACTTCTGTATATATAAACTCCACGAATGTAGACGGCTCGGGCTCGGGCCCGGTAGATCACGATCCCGAGAGCTATTGATACTAGTAGTAGGGATATCCTTTCGCCAACCCAGTTCAGGTCTGTCATGTCTGTGGAACCATCGAACTCGCTACGCTGCCTGTCTTCTTACCTACCAGACTGTCTACCTGTCTCAACTAATTTTCCTGCACAGGTGCCAGGGCATGAAGGCAGCCTTGCCTTGCATTGCATAGGCAGGTAAGTAGAGTAAGTAAGCAGTTACCTGAAGGCTGGCAGAGTAGTTCGAGCACACCATAGCTGCATATCCTTCGTGATTCTCCCGGATTCTTCAAGATTCCTCGACGGGGCCCGGTGGTGAGGTATGATATCGTTACGACCTAGCACCGACCGGTTGGCCCGTTTGATACCTACGGTACTGCAACACTGTGGGCAAAAGAGGTGGTTGTACTCCTCGTACATACAGTAGATATCAAGAGGAACAAGAAGTACTTGATCAAAGTACAGTATTATTTCATCTCCCTACCAGCTTGCTCCCTACCAGCCCACCAGCCTGCCCACCAGCCTGCCCCCCGCCCTCCCCCCACCCCACAATCTTCCTCCCCATTTGATTCCAAGAAAAACTAAGCACTGGCAAGAAAATATAAATCACAAACTCTTTCGCATCCCTCCCCGGCACCGAGGCCTGCAGTATAGAGTAATAGGTGTGTGTATCTGCGTAAAGGCAATGCAAAGGGTAAAGGGCAAAGAAGAGGACGTAAACTACGTTTTAAACATGTATGATCATACCCCATAGTAGATCCAAATGGTGATGGGGGATGAAAAGGACAGCTGGGAGGACCAAAGTTGAAGATTCAAACCCAATGTTGAAACCTTAACGGCGGGCAGGCCGCGTAAGGATAACTACCGTATAAACGACACGCCAAACCACCCAACCATTCCATCCCATTCATAAGTAACCACCACCAGCACGATCAATCAATCAATCGCTTCGGCCCGTGCGTGTACATTTGCCACCCGCGTCTCCCGTCTCCCGTCTCCCGTCTCCCGTCTCCCGTCTCCAGTCTCCAGTCAATCAATCAATCATCATAATCATCGTCGTCATCGTCGATCGTCATCGTCAGGGAAACTACAAAGACATTCTGTTCTGCCAACATATAGAAAGAAGAAAAGAAGAAAAGAAGAAAGAGAAAATAAGTCCCACCAAAGGAGAAGAAACACCCAATCCATCCGTTCAATTCCGACCAAATCAACAAAAGGCCAACCAAAGGGGGGTTAAAACGGGAAAGAAAAAGAAGAAAGAAAGAAAAAAAACGGGGAAGAGGTAGAGGATAGCTAAAAGGGAACAAGAGACATATGTCACCAACGGATACAGGAATCACCGCTGTCCATTCCACTCCAATTCTTGTTTTGCTTCCATTTTCAGTTCAAGAACGCCTCCGGGAAGAAAGAAAAAGAAAAAGAAAAAGAAAAAAAAGGTAAGGCGAGCCCTCCTCCACCCACTCCACAAATTTTGATTGATGATGACGATTTTGATGAAGACAATTAACGACCGACGACACTACCGCGTTGACCGATGCCATCAAACATGCGCATGCGTCCCTGCATGAGTCCAGTATCCTCTCCGTACTCCGTTGGTGGCATGCCGATGATGCCTCCGGTCTGCATACTTGGCGGAACACCAGCGGCAGCAGCGGCACCCTGTCCGGCAGCATTCGAGGGCCTTGACGGCGAAGCTCGGCGTCTCTGCTTGTCGTGAAGCGCATCCAAGGGAGCACCGAGGATCCGGTACTGGGACCACTCGATCGGAGGACAGCGGTATATCTCCTGCGGCTTCGGGAGCTCCCGTCCGGTAAAGAAGTTGGGTTTCTTGTCGGAATCCCTGGACGATGAAGCCGAATTTGGACGGCTGCTACGACCAGTCTTCTGACTCTGAATGAATTCGATGAACTCTAGCGGCTCCCGCAACGCATCCTCGCGCATCTCCTCGAGAGTGTGGATGTCGCGCTTAGCGCGATCACGTTGCAGCATCAGCAGACGGAGGGTGCTGCGCAGCGCGATGTTGTCAGCAGAGAGGCTAGCGGTGTCGGAGCTTGTTGTAGCGGAGCTTGGCGGCGTCGTGGTGGTCGTGGTGCTGGTGTTTGACGGTGCTGGTGGTGGTGATGCGCGTTCCCGCTTCTCTCGCTGCAGAGCCTCTACCTTTTTTTTGAGCTCGCGAATTTCTCGCTCGCGGTCGCGGAGCTTTATGGTGGTCAGCTCATTGATGTCGCAGTCGCTTGAGGGTCCGAGCGGAGGAGATGGGGGTGGCTTCGGAGACTGGCTCGGGGTCGAGAGCGGCGAGTAGGTTGGTGACGGCTCCAGGTCGAGAGTAGGGGGGGATGGGGGGGCGAGCGAGGCGTGGACTCCGGGCGGTGTGGGCAGCATGTTTGTTCTCGGGGAAGGGGCGGAGGCTGTGGTCTTCGAGGTGTGTTGAGCCAGGGGTGAATGTGGGCGTGGGTCGGGTGCGCGGTGCGGGAGCGGCAGCGGGAGCGGAGGAGTGCGCGAGAGAGAGTTGTTGATAGGGAGAAGGGGACGAGGAGTTGAGGTGGGACGAGAGCGTTCACCAGATTGGTTGTTGCAGGTGCGGGGATGGCGGGGGGAAGAGGCGGGGTGAGTGGGTAGTGGGTGGTTGTGGTGGGTTGTAGTTGGTTGCGGTGGAGAGGGAGTTGAGGTACAAAGTGGTTGGTTGCGTGGTTGGGTTGGGTTGGGCTTGGTCTTGGATTGTTGCAGCGGTGGTGGAGGTTGCGGTGGTGGAGGTTGCGGTGGAGGTGGTGGTGAAAGGGAGGTTACTTGCTAGTTGCTGCTCAGGATAGGTACAGGAGGCGAAGGTGGACAAAGCAAGCAGAGCTAACTATGACGATTCAAGCGCCAGCATACAAGCAGCGAGCGAGCGAGAGAGAACGGGAAAGAAAGAGAGATAGCGACAGAGCGGCAGCGAGAGAGAGAGGCATCCCGAGCCCGCCAAGCAAAGCAGCCTCGCGCAGAGCTCCTTCTACGTGCTCAGGAGCTACATTGTTACTTGCCTGGGCGCCGAAGGTATATCTGTGAGTTGCGGTAGGCAGAGTACAATCGCCCTTTGTCTCCAGCCCGCGCCTTTCTGCTCTCGCTCGCTCAACAACCGCTGAACTGCTCTGCTGCACACCATCGGCTTCTTTGCAGCCATCAACTCTTGGCTTCCGCTGGGCCCTTCCTTGTGACTCAGCCCGCGCCGCCGCCGGACAGCATAATGTGAGTACTCACCTACTAGCAACGCTTCGCATGTCCACGACTCCACATGTACTCTTTTACACACATACTACCACTGGACAGCTGTCGCAGCGCCACCGGCATCACCCCCGCCCCGCCCCACGCAACGCAAAGCAAAGCATAGCATGAAGCAGTCCGTGCGCGGGACAAAGCCCGCGAACTCTGCCCGACCAATGGATCCAAGCGGGCTCCCCCCATCACCCATCATCATTCCAGGTAGCGTTCTTCGTCGTCGTCGTCGATCCAAGGACGGACGGCGGGCGGGCGGGGGCCATAACGAGCTCTCTCTCCGTCACTCAGACATCACTGGGCAGTTCGTTCTCTGCTCTGCGGAAAGATGAGGAACCAAGCACCAACTTTTCGTCTGGATAGAGTCCTGCTTTCTCTCTCGCACGCGCGCTCTGCAGGCGGGCGGGCAGGCTGGCTGGCGATCTAGGTACATACAAGGTACATATACTTCATGCATTTACAATACATAAATTAGTGTCTTACCATCACCAGTAGATAGGATGTACAGTACTTACATTGCTCTACCGACTCCGGATTCACCCATAGGAAGGTACTCACCCTGCCTACCTACTCTATGTTGTACATTCCGAACAGGCAACCCCAACCCAACCCCGTTTCACTTTTCACTTTGCTGTGGATCCTCAATCGACACTTTTGTGCGGTGATCCGCGTCCAGTTATCGGTCAAGGGCCAAGGCCACTCACTTACATACTTGCAACAGAAGACTCAAGGGAGCCTGGAGAGTGGTGTAACATGTTTTGTTTCTATATTCATCTCGATATAGGTATCATATGTACATTGTAGGGCTCAGGAGTTAAGAGTCAGGATTGTCAAATCTCAATGGCAAACGGAACGCTCTGTCAGGGCTACCGGTACTAGAGTAGTAGTTAAGGCGGAGCGGAGCGGGGTGGGAGGCAGAGCTCATCGCAGGCTTTTGCGCTCCAGAATGCCGGTAGGTACGTAGTGGAGCCCTGAGTGGTCGTGAGTGGTCGTGACATCCGGTGGGAAAAATTCTTCTTTGTCAAGTGGATCTGCACTCTCCCCATACCTGGATTCCATACCGGTATCCCGTCTATGTATCTTGACTTCCCACCCACATACCTGGTAGGTACATACCGCACCCATCCACCACCGCCCGAACCCCGAAACCTGACTCTCCGCCCCATTCCATGCGGGGGGTATGGGCAATCGAGCACGGCCACAGCCGCCCGGAATCCCCCAAGCTCCGACGAGAAATGTCCAATCATCCCGGCCCGGGGATCTCAATGTCCGCAGGTGGTCCACCGGCGCTCTACACACACAGTGACACACACACACATTGCCTATGGGGGGGGGAGGGCTCCCTGCGCCCAAGCTACAGAGGAGGGACCCTCGTCTTGTCTCGAGGGAGAGCTTCCCGGCGAGACGAGGGAAGCTGTAAGCTCTTCTCGGCGCTCGGGAGATGTCCGTGATTGGTTACATAAGTACGATCGCGAAGGTTTATAACCCTCCATGAGTAGCTGAAGGGAATCGGAGCAAGACGTCATGGCCGAACCTACATACCTAGAGCTTGGATGTACCGCGGCCGACCACCGCAGCTGGCTTGAACCACCCAGGTCCCACAGCCTCCCGTTCGTATCTTTGTAGATTACATAGCCACTAATCCCCCCCCCTCCTTCTCCCGGCAATCGGGCTTGGCAGCCTTCGCCGTTCGGGAGATCTATCATAGTTACCGTCGTTACCACACTACCCTAGAATAGAGATTACGGCTTCCCGCACACTCATCAATTTCGGCTCTGCTGGTGGGGCGATCCCGCATCGAAGTTGCAACTTACAACAAATGTTGGGCCCGTATATATATAGTGTAGTGTAGGCACCTAATCGTAACTTACTCTACTCTTCGGGATCCCCAATCCATCTAGAGTACTTTTTATCACCATGCTGTGGCGGGGGCACTAAGCACCGTAGGTAGTGTTCAAGCTGTGGCCATTGTCCGTCACCAAACACCCCACACCCCACACCCCACACCCCACACCCCACACCCCGCCCTACCGATAGTCTCTAATCACCGCAGAGGTAGCCGTGTTAACAGTGGTGATATGTATCCAGATTCCACGCATTCTTCACGCCACAAGGAAAGCCCGTTGATCTCTGATTGAAAAGAAATAGAGTGCCTAGTTAGGTGCGTACTTCGCACAGCATACATACACCCAGAAAAAAACAAATGAAAACAGTAAAGTAAAAACTAATGTCACAAAGTTGGCAGAGAAAAATTACGCACAAGAAACACACAGCCATTGCCGAGAAGAAAAAAAATGAAAGAAAGTTTTCAGAAAGAACAAAACACCCCTGGAAAGAAAATGGACAGATCCATAGGCGGGGAAGCCGGTGGCGGGACATTCATGACCTAATCGCCTAATTCACAATTGATTCAATAGTCCAGCTCATCAACACCCTTCCTTCCTTCGGTGGCATCCAGGTCTTTGTAACTCTTCACTGCTCTTCCCATAACTGCCAACTCAGCATCAGGTCCGCCTGCGACCGGTAGTCCGGCCCCTCCTCCTCCCATTGCGGCGCTGATGCCACTCAGCCCTCCAACAGGTCCGCCGCCGCCCACCTTCTTGGACTGTGCATCCCTCATTTCCCTATCCCTCTTCTCCCGCTCCCTCTCCCTCTGTGCACGGTCCGGTCGAGCGTAAGGTTGACCACCATACCTGGTGCCGTCTCTCCCCAGTGGTAACCCAATCCCTCCCCCGCTGGGGTTCCTAGAGGGACGTCGGATGGGGCCCACGCCACCTGGAAGGGCACCATTACCATTGGCATGGATACTGCTCGAGACCGCAGCTTGCATGAATGCAGCATTGAACGGGAATCCCGGAGGAGGAAGCACACCCTGGGGGAATGACATCGGAAGTATCGGCGGATTCCGGGTTCCGCCCAGTCCGCCAGCCTGGAAATTGCCTTGTGCGTTCTGCTCAATCTTGGGTGGGTGCACGCGGGTGGGGTCCGACACATATGTGTTGATGAGCGCCGCATCCAATTCCATTTGCTGAAGCCATTCCGTATGTTTCTTGTCCAGATGCTTCCTCCAGAAATCCTCGGCCCTGAACAATTTCGTGCAGCCGCTGACCTTACACCGGAATTTGCCCTCATCCTCTTCTTTGACAAATTTCAGAGTCTCCTCTTTGACTGCCTCCCCAACCGGCTTGCCTCCGATCTTCATCAACCGTTCGGCGTAATCTTCTTGGCCCAGAACCGGAGGATTGACGAAAAGTTCGAGTTTATCCTGCCATTTCTTTGTCCAATTTACGGTTCTCTGATCAGCGGCATAGTCAGAGGGTGGTGTTGGTCGACGGATGTGGCCTCCGGGGCACTTCCTTGTGAGCTCGTGGATCGAATCAGAGGATGAGACACAGTACATGCAGAAGTTGAACGCGCGTCGGAGGTATTCAACTCCAATATCGATTTTCTTCTTCAGAACCTTCAATTCCACTTCTGAATCAGCGCCTTCTTCTCCCTCTTCTTCTGAGGTTTCTCTCTTTTCCCTCTCAACGCTGCCCCATGCCTCAACTTTGTCCTTGATAAGGTTCCAGCCGTCATAATCGTCGCCTTCGCTCTCCACAAGCTCCGATTCAAGTCTCCGGATGCACTTTTCCACGAGTTCAGCCTCCTTTTTGAGGTTTTGTGGCATGCTCATGTACTCGTTGAGGAGTTTTTTGGCTTTTGGATTGGTTGGTCCATTGTGGATACCCACGTGACAGACAAAGTCGCCGTGGTTTTCGTCATGGATGGATTTTCCATTGAGAAGCTCCACGGTGGACTCGGTAACGACCACAGGCTCCGGGTTCGAGCCGTCTGCATTGTGAGGCTGCAGGAGGATGAAGCCAATGCGGTGGAATTTCTTGAGAGGGTTGGGATCCGAAAGCGAGACGAAGTGGAAATTAGGAAGATTATCCGCGGCAAGCTGAGAAACAAAATCGTTAGCCAAGGCCTCTCCCTGAGTGACTAGATCTACCAGCCTTTTCCAATTGGACTCTGCTGACTGTCGGACTGATGGTCTTGATTAACAACACCGGCTTTAATCCACCATCATCGACGCCACGATTGACCTCCTCTACGACATCATCACCGCCCTCGACTTTGACGCCTAGGGTTTCCCGATCCACGTCGTCAAAAGCCCCAGACTCCAATTGAACCTTCCATTTCTGCCAGAGACCCCTCCGGTACTCCACAATCTTGGATTTGGTGACTTCCTTTTCTCCTGGCATGTAGCGTTCCTTGAACCACTCATCATTCTTGTGTGCCATAACAAAGATCTTGGCCAATCGTGCATTCAAATCGTCCTTGTATCTATCATACGCGGATTGCACCTCGTCCTTTGTAATCGATTCCTTGTCCCGAAGCTTGCCATTCTCTTGGTAGTACCACTCGGAAAAGTAGGTATACGTGACTGAATAGTCAAGTTTGTGCGGATCGGTGAGCATTGCCAGAACAGTACCACCGGGTCCGCCTTGCGGAACATAACGATCGATCGACCCGGGGCCGCCCAGTATGTTACGGTTCTGAGGGTACGACGGATGGAATCTACGGGGCGGAGAGCCAGAACGGCGACGCGGTGAACCCGGGACGTAGCGATCGATGTTGCCCGCGGGAGGAGATCTCGAACGACGGATGCGACGTGGCACTGTTCGCAACAATCACAGTCAGAAACAGTCATAAAACGCCCCAAGGGGCAGTATGCGCGTTCTTTTTCATTACGTCGTAAATAGCGAATTTTCATCCCTCGTGACAGCGCATAGAGTTCATGGGCGCGATGGATGACTTACGTGGACTTCTACCCCGGCCTCTGCCGGGTCCATCGCGATCGTTGCTCAGACGACCGTAGGAAATCTCATAAGCGCCACCCGGACCACCAGGACCACCGGGACCGCCAGCGCCGCCCTCGCGCTCCCGACTGCCTCTGCTGCGGTCCCTGATCTGATCTCCACCGTTGTAACGATCCAAGAACGACATTGTTCAAAAGCTGTTTCCGACCGATGAGTCAGGTAAAGCGATAAAGGGAGGTGTTCGTTGGCGCGTTTCGGTGAGGAAACGAGGAAGTAGATCTGCGACGCGAACGAGACATGGCGATTGAGTCAAAAACCGATCAACCAAAAACCGAAGCTCCAGACGAGCCAACGAAGAGAACAGGAGAAAGAGGAGGGAGAAAAGGGGGAAGCGAAAAGGAGTGCAAATAATCGCACGATCAAGAAGTAGGAGGTAGATAGGTGCTTGTAGTAATAGTAGTAGTAGGTGATCGTATCATGGGATTCTTGAGGGGTGGGGGGGGATACGGTTTGGGGGGATGGAAATAATGGTTTGTAAGGGGTTTGTCGGCTGGAGCAGGTAGAGAGTAAAGAGAAGAAGAAGGCAACACACGAGAATAGAGCTCGCTTTCCGTTAAGCAAGTGGCCGATGAGTAGCCCGAAAGAGGACTTCGACTTTGAGAGTCGAGTTTAAGAGGAAAAGGCGACTTTTTGTGAGATGTGTCTGTCGGGAATGATGAATGAAATCCGAGGAACGAATGTGGGTTGGGTTGGGGTGGCGGGTGGTAATGGTTGTGTTCGGAGAGGAAGGGAGGTCGAGCGATAATGGAGGAACCACTAGGAGATGGCCGGCTGCGTCGGCCGGACTCTGACGAGTGAGTGCCTATGATTGCCGTTCCAAGCAACTCCATAAGCAAGTAACCAATGTGATCTAACTGCAGCCAGAATACGTTAGGTAGGGAGGTATACACTGTGCAGAGTATTTGGACCGGAGTGCAGATATATTGCTCGCCATCATTGGGCTTCCCGAAGAGATGAATAGCACCGGCCATTGCCGCGGTGATGGAAGGATGGGATAGTTATTCCCATGGATAAATGGGTGGGTACATTTTCCTCACTTGTCCGGCATGCAGCGTGACAATGTGGGTATGGGTCTTGTTTAAATGATAACCTAGGTAATCTCTAACTCGGGTACATGGACGGACACTCTGCCCATATACTGCCCATAGAGGGCCATCAGCTCACAGCTACTATTTACATACCTATCATGTCGACTGCCAGAAATACATACCGTAGAACCCATATCCGAAGTGAGTCTGAATGCTTTCCACACAACCTGGTGGATCAATTGAGATATTACTGGCCTTCGGGATTTCCATCCATTCCTCACAATCCTCGGAATGGATTCCCGTCTTGCGTCGGAGAATACTGCAGAGATCAGATATCACTCCCCAAACCAGGATTGGAAACGGTCCGAGACAAGGATGGCTCTCCGCACTCCATCAACCATCCATCTCGCATCTCCTTCGAGCTCCTTTCGTATTAACCTCCCACTTCTGCTGGCACTGCTGCCGCCGTCAACAACTATTTGCCTAAAGTTACTCCCCAGGCCAATCAAAATGAGGTCCTCAGTGTCATGTTCAAACTTGTCGCATGAGCCGCCGCCGCTTCCAAGCACATGACCCTCCGCGAACTCCTCCTGGGCTAGATATGTACAAAACTTTCGCAACACCTACTCTATATACTCCATCTGCACTTACTAACCCTCCTACTCGCCGATCCAGTTATGTTTCGTTCTGATGCTACCGTTGGGTACATTCCTAGCAGCGATCACTGAAGGATTACGACCCGAATGCGTCCGATACTCTTCGTTTTGCGGAGTCGAGAAGCCCAAGATCAAGCAGCTTTGAACAGTCGACAGTTGGGTTGACCTAAGCGGCCGCAAGTGTCCAAGGTCGTGTAAACGAGGATTGCGGGGTTGGCTGGTAGAGGATGCATAGCCGCACCGGGGCAAGTGGTAATCCGTAGATAAGTCGATGTTTGGGCCGATGGGGTCTGGATTACTGCTATGTATGGTTCTATCGTACGTGGGAGACCAGCATGAATGCTCAGAGCTGAGAGCTTTGGAGCAGATGAGATACGTTTAATGCTCTAGCTATCATAATAACTAGTAGAGGAATCAGCTCACGATATGGCTGACGAGTGACACTTCCATTTATTACACCTGGCTGTAACAGACTTTTCTTTCGAATTTCATTAATCAGTATTCGACATTCCTACTGGGTATCTCACTCGTCAAAGCTCATTGGCACTTTACAGAACACGTAGATAGCAAAAATAGCACAATCACATGCTGTTCTGTCGTTCGTTTTATGTTCGGCTGAGTGCTCGTACTCTAAACGTAGAAGTAAGCTTGTCGCGTTCAGTTCGAGAACCAAAAATTTAAGGGCTGGCATGCGGCCCAAGGAAAACAAAGATCAGCCTCAACACGTCAACCGCTTCCCTCTCTCGCGACAACTATCTATCACCACCACCAGCCCCAACGCCCCAACGACCTCACGCCCACCTCCACGCACAACCCACAACGCTCCTCACCACTTTCACGCACAACCCACAACGCTCCTCACCACTTTCACGCACAACCCACAACACTCCCCCCTACCTTTCTCCTCAGTGCGCGTATCACCTTCCACACCATTCTTTCGCGAATCTTCCTTAGGCGACGAACCAACGCACCACGAAGCTACAGGAAACAATGACTTCCAACGGTATCTCTATTCCAGCGACGGCTCGCGCGAAGGAGCAGGTCCTGGGCGACGAAGAGGCGGGCAAGGAGCTCAAGCTTGGCGAATTCAAGGACGCGACGGCTTTGACGCTCTCGGAGGCGCGCACTCTCATGACTGTTATCTTCGACCACCGACGGGATGCGGGAAAGTTCAAGGTCCCGGACGACCCGTGAGCGCTACCTACCTTTTGCCTACGGAAACACGTGGGACTGGGTTACTGACGTTTGTGCGTAGCATTGTCACCAAGACTCAGGCATACCTCGAGGTCTTCTCGCGGTTCAAGACACAGGAGACTGCTCAGGCGGTTGAGCGTATTCTCCTCAGTCAGAAGGACCTGTCGTCCTTTGAGCGCGCGCAGCTGGGTATGTGATCGCTTGAGACTCCCGTCTAGGGATACACTTATTGACAGTGGTCGCTTCCGCTGCCAGGCTCCCTTTGCTGTGATAATGCGGAGGAGGCGAAAACATTGATTCCCAGTCTAGCGGACAAGAGATCCGACGATGACCTCAAGGACCTTTTGGACGAGGTATAACCATCCTTTCCGCTGACTTCCCAGGCGCAATCACCTGGTCATGATGTTAACAATACATTCGTCGCGGCTTAGATTACCAGACTCCGCCAGTTCCTGTAAACTGTTGGTAGCTCGAGGAACGAACCCCTACTACCAAGTTATAACACCGCCTACGTTACTTCTTCATGTCTTTCTATCCGATGTAGCGTTCGTCGTTACGCTCATGCACTCCTAAATCCACACACCCGCCCCACTGGCGGCGCATTTCCACACACGGGGGTTCGAGGTAGCCGGATAGCTGGCTATGAGATACGTACATATGTAGCTTGGTAGACAAACACAATCACCAATTACATCCCCACCGTGTTCTCTCCGCTACTATGACCATCATGTTTGGGCTGCAAGAAGATCTGAGAGATTCGATTCTATAGACAGCAAAACCATGACCTACCTAGTGACGAGTGCTCAAAATGAGGTATCATCTCCATTGCTATGTTCTCTGGGCCGTGGAAACGCGATGTGTGAGCTTGCATGCCGTTTCTATCATAATTATGTCCGTAATGATAGCAATCTTACTCTATCCTAATGTAGAATCAAAGTTCGTATATAAGAGAGAAAAAAAAACTCGGGGGTTCCTAGGCAGGTGAAGCAAAAAAAAGTGGCCAAATATCTAGCAAGTATAACATTCCGATATGGCTGAATCCGGCGAGCCTCTGTTCATCCTCATTTCGAGTAGCTACGGGAGACAACTGAGGCCATATCATAAGGAACTATCACTGCAAAACGTGGCAGTCGGTGAAGTTATGGCTGCTGATGACATTGCATTTTGTCCCGAATGGTGACGCCGTTGGGCTCATCACTCGTCTGTACTAGAGGATACAGCAGCCTAATGCCAAGGTGGTACGGAAAACTGCAAACTCGACGAGATATTCCAAGGGAAGAAAAGGCTGTGGTAATGCTCGCACGTGAAGTGTGACGCGATTTGTCACTTCAGCCAAGGATGAAATTTTGAACAAGGCATGATGGTTTGTGATGGCACGTGCACACGAAGAAGGCAAGATCTTGGGAATTGAGCTGAGCACAAAGCATAGAGGGAGTAAGGTCCATACAATCGATTGTAGCTATATATAGTCTCTTTTGTGTGTAGCATAGCAACTGTCAGTCTTGATACACTGGAGTTCGTATTCTATATCTATCCGTCATGAGAAACCGTGATTTGCCAAGACTCTGCGCGACTGCAACGTCTCCTTCGACTCTTCAACTTTAACGCCATCTCATCCGCCATCGTCATTCCACCCCTTCTCGCGTCAAACTCCTTACAAGCACAACACAGGCACCACTACCACTCGCGACTCAGCACTCAGTCCGTCCTGCTTCCAAGACCGCACATCCTACCCTCCTAAAAGCTTCTCAACTTTCCGAGGCGACGCCACGATGTCCGACTCGGAAGGAGAAATCATCGTCCAGTCGGTTGTGCGCCTTCCGTCGCCTCAATCTCCACGCGCGTCGAAGCGCAAGCGATCGCCACGCTCGCGATCCCCATCACCGCGCCGTTACCGTTCGCCTCCCCGAAGACCCGCCCGCCACAATCCCCACGTCGCGCCGACACTCCCCGATGTCGATCCGCAACGCGCCCTGGAGCGTGAACGCCAGCTCGCCGAACGCATCCGCCAGCAGGAAACTGAGGCCGAGAAACCGAAATTTGATCCGAAAGCAGAGTACGAGAAGCTGTTGAGCATGCGGTCCGGCGGAACATACATCCCCCCGGCGCGTCTGCGGGCCCTGCAGGCGCAGATCACCGACAAGTCGTCAAAGGAGTATCAACGGATGGCATGGGAGGCGTTGAAGAAGAGTATCAACGGTCTGGTCAATAAGGTCAATACATCCAACATCAAGCACATCGTTCCCGAGCTCTTTGGGGAGAACTTGATTCGGGGCCGTGGACTTTACTGTCGATCGATCATGAAGGCGCAGGCCGTGTCACTGCCGTTTACCCCGATCTATGCGGCGATGACAGCCATCGTCAACACAAAACTGCCACAGGTCGGCGAACTTCTATTGAACCGTCTGGTTGTGCAGTTTCGGAAGGCGTTTAAGCGCAACGACAAGGCCGTCTGCTTGAGTAGCACCACGTTCATCGCGCATCTCTGTAATCAGCAGGTTGCGCACGAGATCCTGGTAATCGAAATCTTGATGCTGCTTCTCAACAAGCCCACCGACGATTCCGTTGAGATTGCGGTTGGATTGGTGCGTGAAGTTGGTGCACATTTGGAAGAGATGTCACCAAAGGCAAACAACGCCGTGTTCGAGCAGTTTCGGACAATTCTGCACGAGGCCAATATTGACAAGCGTGTTCAGTACATGATTGAGGTGTTGTTCCAGGTGCGAAAGGAGAAGTATAAGGATAATCCACCAGTGAGAGAGGAGCTCGATCTTGTGGAGGAGGAGGATCAGATTACTCATAGGACTGATCTGGACGATGAAATCGAAGTCATGGACGGTCTCAATGTCTTCAAGTTCGATCCGAACTGGGAGGAGCATGAGGCGCTATATGCGAAGACAAAGGCCGAGATCCTCGGAGAAGGAAGCGACGACGAGGACGACGACGGTGACGACGACGAAGATAGCAGCGACGACGAGGATAACGAGGTGAAACAGGAGGAAAAACGGTTGGAAATCAAGGACCAATCGAACACCAATCTCGTCAACCTGCGGAGAACCATCTACCTCACCATCATGTCCTCGATAGACTTCGAAGAATGTTGTCACAAGCTCATGAAGGTATGTTACCTTGTCTATAATAATTCAGGATGAATGTGGAACTGACAACTGCACAGGTCAATTTACCAGCAGGCCAAGAAATGGAGTTGTGTTCTATGATCATCGAATGTTGTTCACAAGAACGCACGTATAGCAAGTTCTATGGTCTTACTGGCGAGCGATTCGCAAAGATCAACCGCCTTTGGACGGAGCTCTTCGAAGAGTCCTTCCGGACCTATTACGATACCATTCATCGCTACGAAACCAACCGTCTCCGCAACATTGCCAAGTTCTTTGGACATATGCTAGCCTCGGATGCCTTGGGCTGGCACGTATTCTCGGTGATCCATCTGAACGAGGAAGAGACCACAGCTTCGTCCCGTATTTTTGTCATGATCCTTTTCCAAGAACTGTCGGAAGCAATGGGCATGAAGAAGCTCGTCGAGCGTCTCAAGGATCCCTACCTGCAGGAGGCGTACTTGGGAATGTTCCCCAGGGACAACCCCCGCAACACCCGCTTCTCCATCAACTACTTCACTTCGATCGGCATGGGTCAAGTTACGGAGGACATGCGCGAGTACCTGAAGGCGAACGTGGCACAGCAGCAAGCAGCTATCGAAGCCGCCGCGGCAGCAAAAGCAGACGCCTCGGACTCCGAGAGCGTCAGCTCCAGGTCCTCATACTCCAGCTACTCCTCTCGCTCCCGGTCTCGGTCCCGATCTCGGTCTCACTCGCGGTCCGTCTCCCGGTCTCGGTCCCGGTCCGTCTCCCGGTCTCGCACTCGGTCCGACTCCGGGTCCCGGTCCCGAACCCGATCTTGGACTCGGTCTCGCTCTCGGTCCGGCTCCCGGTCCCGTTCCCGTTCCATTTCCCGGTCTCGCTCTCGGTCCGACTCTCGATCCCGGTCCCGAACTCGATCTTGGACTCGATCTCGCTCCCGATCCGGCTCCCGAATCAAATCCCGAGCACGGTCTCGCTCCCGGTCTGCGTCTGGGTCTCGCTCTCGATCTCGCTCTCGGTCCCCCTCCCGCGATCGCGGCCGCCCCCCGAGACCCGTGGCCGCTCCGTATCCCGCTCGCGCTGCGGTGTCTGGTGGTAGGCGGTAGTTGAGTGGTTGTAGTAAATAGTGAATTTCGGGTGTATTGTAGTGTTTTTTTTTGTGTTCATTATTCTGTATTCGACCATGCCTGATGATGACAGTAATATATATCCGAATCCTGTCTCCTCCGGGTCTCCACCTAATGGTGGCTATGTATGCCCATATTCGCCAGTGTGAAAGTGACATGAGAGATAGCAAAAGAAAATCTCGCACTCGCGGTCTTCCTGCACATCCTCCATTCATGACGATTCGCTCGCCATTTCCGCCCTTTTTGTTATTTTTTGTTTAATCAGTAATTGCTTGCGACCTAAGTAGATCATGGCAATATATGTACACACTCCGATTCCCCGCCACTATCCGACCTGACTTTCATCGAGTGGCCCGATGTGGCTTTCCCTGCCCACCGCCTCGGCCTGTCCCCGTAACGAAAGTAGAGCGCACCAAGGAAAAAACATTAGGAAAAAACATCTTCCGCTCCCTCTCCCTACTCCCCTCCGCCTGGTGCCTCTTCCAAAAGGGATGCCATGAAGGAAGGTGTGGGGAGGAACAGCGGGCCTGAGCCCGGCTCTTCAACCTCAGCACCCTCCTCCTCCTCTCGCCTCAGTTCCGCCTCCCTTTCTTCCTGCTCCCTGAGCTCTCACTCGGACACCTCACTTTCTGTATCTTCCTCAGCGGTCTCAGGCATCCGTGCCATTTCCGCCCCTTCCTATTCCTTTTTAAGGCTTTGGGGCTTTTCTTCCGACATCCGTGCTCCTAGGGGAGTATCCTTGCCAATCGACAATGCAGATATATAAAGTACCAGGTCAAAAGTTATCGCCACTCGCCCTTACGAGACCACCACACCACACATGTAGACCTCTCGAACACCACAACCACACAATAGAAAGTAATACAAATTTGCATACAGGATGATTAGATACATGTCCAGCTTCGACAAAATTCCCAGCCAAAAGAAAAAAAATCCATATTTTATGTGAAGTTGTGAGGCTAATCCAAGTCCCATTGTTTCAAGACTATCCATTTTCAACCACAGATTCTGCATCTCAAACACACTCTAAAAAATATTAGACAATCGGAGGTCTTTTCTAACAGCGTAGGTGATCTTATAAGAAACTGGCTCGCAAATATAAGCAGTTGTGGTTGAGCAATGCTGCCCAGGAGAAAAGTTTGTGGTTTTCGCTGGTTGTCGTGCAACTTTTTGTATGGGAGCCCCATACAAAATGCGAAATCACTGTTCAAGTCATGTACAAACCACCACTAAAAACCATCAATGTTGACTAAAAGCGGTCAACATTTATATATACAAGAGGGCTTATGATTTTACGGCGTCTGTGAAAGACACAATATTTTTCGGTCAGACGAAGGGTGGGTTTTGGTCGCGTGAAAATGGCTATTTTTGGTGTAAAACGGCCCCCTGGCGATAACTTCTGACCTAGTACTTTATGTACACAAATCTACAGACTTCTCAAATACACCTTACGCCCGCACTAACTCGTCATTGGTGAGGCAAGAGCGGTATATCTGAATCAACACAAGCCCCACTCCAAGGAGTGCCGCCAGCCCAGAAGCACCACCTACTGCAGTCCCATAATCCCTTGGATTTTTCGCCAACCACACCGCAATGAACCCTCCACAGACGAAAACAACCCACAACCAACCAACAATAACTATCATTGCCATGGACGGACCATGAACTGCCTCCAACCCCCACACCGCAGGCTCGCAACTCGGTATGGGGCCATCAATACGCTTGAGGATAAGCATCAGATGCTCGTTGGTATTGCCCACACAGTCGGGATCATTGAAGAGGTGTTTCATGCGGTCCGCTTCAATCGGTGGTGGAGGCCTTTCAGCGGCATATTGGTACTTTCTGCAAGACTTGTTGGGGAGTGTTTGCTCATTAGAACAATAGAGCCTACTCTTGCCATTCGGGAAATGATCGATCTGTGCATGTAAGATATAAGCAACTGCGCGGATACAACTGGACTTACCTTCACAAATTTGAAGTAGAGAAGAGCTTTAAATGTGAGGATGATCGAAACCCATGGACGAAGCCTGCAGTACTCGATCCTCAAGCGTCGGAAGAATTGCCCGTCCGTTCGCTGCAACGAGCCTCCTGGCGTTTCTTGCGGCAGTTCTACATGTCCGAGCTTTCTACCTCGGTGAACAGTCTCCACGCATAGAATAACATAGTCATATCCGGTTCTAGCAGGGTCAGTGGGTGTTCTACCCACTTGAGGGGGCGGTTGTTGTCCACCGATTGGTAGCGGGTAACAACCACAGGTTGAAGGTTGAGGCGTCTCGGTGGTGGCGGCTCCGATTCTCGGCGATGTTTGGGATTGTATAACGGGCTCCTGGGCCATGTTCGGGCTTTGGCTTTGGGTAGCACTTTGGTTCCCATTAGAAGCGGACACTGTTTGGAAAAAATCTTTCCCGCAACGCTAGGATATCGTCAACATACATCCTGGGATGGTGATTGATGGTCTTACACATTTCCACTCTGTTTTGATGAATCCCGCGGAGCAACCCCACGCCCGTCGGGGGGAGGGGAGAGGCCACCAGGCGAATTCAGTCCTAAAAATGTTCTCGAACCATATTTGCAACACTTCCAAAGCACTTCTTGGTGGCTCTGGTGTTTCGCCTTTGGTTTGGGGTATTTCCGACCGCGAAGAGTGGGGAGCGGAAGCTGTGATCGGGACCATCTCCACAACCACGATGTCTTGTATAGGCCCCCCCTGCATATCGGGACCAGAACCATAGTTCACGCAATATCCAGGTTCAATTGGAACTTTCGGGAAAGAAGGTTGGGAAGTCGGCGGGTCAGGATCGTCGTCCTGTTTTATGGCTAGCTCCACCGAGAGATCAGCTTCATGGATAGCAATCTTGGGTGAGTTGACAGATGATCGGACCGGGGGGGCTTACATCCAAATCTGCCAGCTCCGGTTAGCCAACCCTAATATCACATTGAAGCATACTGTATAGTGAAGGGGGGTAAAAAATACGTTTTTTCCGTATCGGTACGGTCAAAAAGCGTATTTTTACCCCCCCCCCCCTCACTATACTAAGTAGTCATCGTTTGGCAGAGTCGAGGAGGGCCACTTACCCACTACCAAAGAAGATCTGTCCACCAAGTATTGTCCCCCCCATGAACTCGTCGTACCCGGCGTCCTCGCGGATCTGTACGTTGGCGTAATTTCTGATACTGGCCATGTTGGGCTCACGGCGGTATTCGTCCAGGAGTTGCGTGTTTGATGCTCCGGTTGGACGTGCTCGTCCCTAACTACATCAGGCGAAAAAGTTGGAATAAGGTCCAGGCACCAGATCGTGCGTAGCAGAACTGGGTGAACGAAGGTGCGTGGAATACGAATTTCAAAGGCAGGTTACGCTTCGATGGTATGGCACTATGGTGCGTTGGAACCCAGAGACGCGGATGTGGAATGGGACGTTGATAAGGACGAGAAAGTGTGTAGGAAAGAGGATGAGATTCTATCGAGTGCGGCTGCTCGAGGCCTCTTTGTGATGCGCTGTTGCCCTTCGGCGAATGGAATGGGATCCCGTAGTTACACATGATTTTGTTGTGTGGTATTGTGATATCACTCGGTGTCTGTAAGCTAAGGCGCTAATGCATCTAACACACGCTAATGATCTAACACACGCTAATGCATATAACAGAGTGACCCGCCCCGGGCTCACCACACAAAGTGATAGTAGAGTACTCTACATATGATGCCTGCAGTCTAGAAAGTTACAGTGGTATTTAGCTCTGCACCTGGGAAGTTCAATTGTTTACATACATGGCAACAGCCGGCCCACCAAAAAAAACCCAAAAAAAGAACACCTGACAACTCTTAAAAATGCAACTTCACCACCCAGCGATGACTACGGTAGTATACACCTGTTCCTTTCTATTACGAGGATCAGTCGCTGTCAGTGGTTGATTATGCATATCCTGGGAGAGACGATCTGCTGGTAGAGTCTAGATGGCGGCCCGTATTTCGGATGGTAGTTGAATAGCTGAGTTCCGGGTCCGTTCCTACTCCAACCGAGTACATGTGACCGCTACATTTAACTTTAGAGTGAAAATCAGTCGCCACTCGTGAGAGTTTGGCGCACTGGAGCTTGACTTCCATACAAAACCCGATGTTTCATCTTGCAAAGATCTTCACACCAACATCGGACTAGGAATCTAAGGGTGGGGAGAGGTACTCGAGCACATAACCTGTGCCTTTCCCACTCCCCATCATTTATATCTGCTGCCGGCTGCTAGCTAGCTTGGAAATAGAACCGCAAAAAGATGGCCCTTCTAAATTACAGGCACGATACCTGCTCCACCAACCTACTACAGTCCCATAATCCCTTGGATGTTTCGCCAATCCACACCGCAATGCCCCCTCCACAGACGAAAACAACCCACAACCAACCCACAGCCAACCAACAATGCATCAAACCTCGACATGTCTGTCTGACCGAAACCTGCGCCATCAACCATACAAAGTCTCCTATACTCCCACCTCTTCAGACGATGATTCCCACCCACAGGACTCCACATCTAGCGTAAAGCGACCATCTCAGGGCAAAAGACCGGCGAAACAAATCGAAAATCACAGAAAATCACTCGCCCGCACCCACCCACAAAACCATGAGTCTTCTGTTCTAGCTACTTGTCTCCTCCGTTTCCACCTCTTCCACCGCTAGTAGCTCCTCCTCCACTTCCACCCCTTCCCCTTCCTCTCCCTCTGCTTCTTCCTCCTCCTCTTCCCCTTCCTCTTCCATAGGCGAACAGTGCTGCACCCAGTGATCCACTGTCTTGACTCTTCATTTGCCTTCCTGGCTAGTTTACCAGCGTCTGCTCCACATCTCGGAGGGCTTGAGATACAGAAGCAATGGTATCCATGCATTGCCTGCCGGCAACTTCTGCACAATGTCGAGCATGGGTTGGACACCGTCCTGCTCACTACTCAGAAGTTGTGAGGTAGGTAAATATGGTATAGGTAGGAACTTTTCGTCCGATGTACCAGAAGCTGCCAATAAGTGGTGCCTCACCACCATTACGAATTATAAGCACTAGTCTATATAAGGAGTGTACTGAGCTAGATACAATGAAATGAGTGAGTAGTTGTGACTAAGTTGTATGGGGGAAAACCTGGTGAGGCAGCACTTACCCTTACACCCGAGTACATAGCTCCTTCCGTTCCGGCTGGCTAGCTGAACTCGCATATCCTCCAGTCGGACTCGGGTGAGATATGCTGATATGCTCTCATCGGGTTTTGGACGGGCGTTTTTGATCGTGACACGCCGGCCAAATGAGGCCGCACTGCAGTCTGCCGAGTTCCTTCGCAAGCGTAGGTGGGTGCAGGATAGTAGGATAGCAGGATGGCGGCGGCGGCTAGAGCTTGTCGCTTTTTGAAGCTTTCTCGTTTCACGACGACGTTCGTAGCGGAGTTTCCGATCCGGCAGGCAGGCAGGGCGTTTTCGGTTTCTTCGCCGGTATCGAACGATCTTGAGTGCGAGCATCGCTGAGAGGATTGCGGATATGCGGATATGCGAGGCTTCCGAGTATCGTGATTGTCTCAGGATGATGGTGGGTAATGAGGATAGGTAGGTGACTGAATTGGAAGATATTGTTTTGATAGAGCTGGGCCGGGCGCATAACCCGTTGGAAAGTATGAATGAATCGGAAGAATCTGAAGGCCTCGAGAGGACATACAAGAAGGTTGATAGGTGGCTAGTGTCCGCCGCCGCCGCCCTCAGGAGTCAGGACCGAGTAACCACCTTAGAAACGACCGCCCAAGGAGTGAACGACTCGATATCACAATACCCACATTCGGCTCCCTCATCTCCTCCTTCATCGCCAGCCACCTTCTCGTTCCACCCAACTGAACCTACGACACCTTCCCACACACCACAATCTTCTCTGTAGCTGCAAGACCCTCAACGTTTAGCCCCTGATCCGGCCCAGCTTGATTCGACGTCAGAAGGAAATCCCCGATGTAACCGTGGTCGTGGTCGGCTAGGTAGGTAGTGGAACTTAAAACCTTGCTTGATCGGCTTGCTCGGTGTCTTGTAGGTATCTGCCGAACGTCCTGTAAGGAGGATCTTCGCGAGTCGATAGCAGTGTTTGTTGATGGCATACGATACTTCGGGCACTGGACAGACCGATGCTGTGACTGAATTGGAGCGGCTTGGACTCGGATATGTCATGGTCGTCTACCGGTTGGTAACGGTTTGGATTCCACCTGAAGATGCGTGGAGGATATCTCTTTATCTGCTCGAACCGGGCCTGACTCGTGTACTCACTCGTCTGGTGAATCCGTTTAAGGCCATCGTGTCTCCAGTATGAAAATTCCGTAAGGCGAAGAAGCACCGTATGCCCTCAGTTCAACAACCACTACCTTCGACCCGCGCCGATCCTCCTTACAAGACGTTGGCTAGACACCTACAAAATGCCGAGCAAGCCCACCGAACAAGGTTTCAAATTCCACTACTTGGCCGGCCACGACCACGGATACATCTGGGACTTCTTTCCGACCTCGAACCAAGCAGGGCCAGAGCTGGTACCAACCGTCGAGGGTGGTCTTGTGCGTGCGGCGATATCGTAGATTCAATCGGGTGGAACTCGAAAGTATCTGCCTGGCCCTTCTGGGGCGACGGGGGCGGCGGGGGAGCAAAACGTGGGGAGGGGGCGCGGGCGAGTGATTTGCTGTGATTTGCTGTGGTTTTGTTCCGCCGGCCGTTGCCCTGAGATGAGTCATCGTTGGAAGATGAGGGAGCATAAGAGATCTTGCGTGGTTTGTGGCGCAGGTTTCTGTCAGACAGACATGTCGAGGTTTGATGCGGGCCTCAAACGCTCCCGTTCTCAACCGCTATTTATCGTCCATCTCATCGGCCAATATTAACAGGCTTCAGGTGTGGGAAGTCAGTATGAAAGACAGCCCTTTAACTCTCACTTTTTTTTATTATATACCTGGGGCAAAGTGTGTGCAGCCACCGAAAAAGTCCGGAAACTCAGTTTCTGCGATCTTGGGGGGGGGGTACGCAATCAGAATTCGTAGCCGGTATCCAAAACGACACCAACTATGAGGGTACATGATAGTTGCCAAGTACTGTATACTTACTTGCTACAATGCTTCACCAGCCTAGCACCGTAGGTACCATATGCAACCCCCAATCCTGTGAGAGAGAGAGAGAGAGATTTTCCTGTTTTATTGCACATGTAGCCTATCTAGACTATGACGAAAGCAATCCTGTGCGATAATATCTTCCAGATGCCAACTATACCGTATAATCTCGGATAACCGTCCGGTCCGTTTGAGCATTTAGCGCTGTTACACGCAGGCTTGGCGCGCTTTTTAACTGGCTTGCGCCGTTATACGCAGGTTTTGGAGCGCTTGGCGCTTAGTCAGTATCAAAATTACTAGCGCAAAATCCCCGTGATGTTTCTACACATGCAGAGCATCCAACTTCAGACCGATTCTTTCCAACAGACTTCCATAACATCATCTTCTGTATAGCTAATGTTAGGAAACAGCTCTACAACCAAATACTGCCTACCTACTCCTCCAGTCGGCTACTTCTCCTGGCTACTACTGGTTCAACTGGAACGCGCATGTTTTCCCATGCCCGCTGAGAGAGTGACCGCTGAGCCTGCTGAAGATGGGTCCACTGAACCTTCCACGGGCACGCCCAACGAATCCGTCAAGAGCACCCCACTTAACCTGCCGAGAGCACATCCGCCGAGCCTGGCAAGCACGCGTCCACTGAGCCTCCCACGAGCGTGACCACCAAGACTGCTGCTGAGGACGCGTCAACTGAGCCTGTCGAGAGCGCACCCACTGGGCCTTGTAGAGTAGACATCTTTGACGAGCGATCAGTCCGATATTGTTGTCTTCATCGCTGTCGTTGTCAGGAGCATCTTCAATCGTAGATGTGAGAACAAGAGCTGCGAATTCCAATATGACTGTGTCGGCGTGTGCTATTCTCGTAGGAAAGGTGATCTCGTTGATCCCCATTATGGTTTCCGTGATTTCTAGCGACTTGATGTTTGTAGGGTGCACTGCAAAGCTCTGCATCTACCATTCCCACGATGCTTCAGGAGGTTCAGCCTCACCGACCTAATCAGCTGATGTTCTATTGCCGCGCCGGCGCTAAACCGATTAACGCTAGTGAGCGCTTCATGGCGCTAAATCCATTTCACCCACCGGACGGTTATCCGAGATTATACGGTAGTTCAGGTGAGTGATCGCGAGTGAGGCTACAGCAGGAATGTCGTCGTCGGCGCGGTCAAGCCGCCATCCACTTGACCTCTTCAATCAGTTATCGAGAGTATAGTATGTGATGCCAGTTATGTGCAGTATCTTTGGTACATACCGGGCCCTTGAGACCAACATTCTTGCAACACGTAAAAGAAGAAGAAAAAAACTTTGAGAATGAAACGACACAAGATTCACCTACTAGTAGAGCCTTAATTCGATTATATGACGAAATCTACTCTATACTTTACAGGAGCCTAACATCTAGTTCTATCCATCACGTCGTCTCTTGTCATCCATTCCATCGTTCGTCGGGTCTGGGTGAGAATCCATACACCTCTGGGAAGGCCGTACATGTGATTGCTAGGGCTACATTAACCAACTACCCTATGTACCGGATATCCTCACCGGTATCCCAACCGTGCCATACGAAAGTGTTGGAGGTTGGAGTCTAGACGGTGACGTTTGTTTTGGTTTGTTTTGATTGTTCGGCATTGCTGCATGCGTCCACAACTGGAAATGGCAGAACTTATAAGGGCATCGCCTTACATCGTAGCCCTCGCTGCGTGTGACTGGCTTCGGGTTCAACCCCCCACGCATAACACACACACCTTGCTCGCTCTCTCCCTCTCTCCCTCTCTCCCTCTCTCCCTCGCTCCCTTCCTTCCTCCCATCCATCCATCTATCCATCCTCCCATCCTTCCTCTCCACTTCTCTACCTTCCCACCTCCCCCTCTCCACTTCTCTACCTTGTCACCTCCCCCCTCCTTCATCCCATCCTACATCTTCCTCCTTGCTTCCATTTTCTCATTTTCCCCCAGCCCTCCGGGGCATATATCACCCACACAACATGCCTTTGAGGCAGTACCCGTGACCAACAAGACAATTCCAACGCTCAACTTAGATGAGCCCGTCATCATTCCTCTCTTCGGCATCTACCACCTAAGAAGACGACAATGCCAACCCTGAATCTAGACGAGTGCGACAGCTCTTCGGAGGTGTCCTCCACGGGTGGTCTGCTGTAAGTTCCCTGTCCCTTTAACCTTGTGAACCCAGCCGCACTAGAACGCTATGCTGACCTACTCAGGATAGACCCCCGGGACTTCGACAACCTCCCCAGCATGAGCATTGGCCACTGAGGTATGTCTACTACTCCCTTCCCCGCGCATCATCATTGGTTGATGATCATGCTGACGGGATTCACAAGAGGCTGCTCGCAGGGCGGAAGAGGGCTACGCCCAGCTCGATGAATCTCCAAGCGGCTTCGGCACCTGCATCACGAGCTTTGGTCGCACCATTGCCCGTGTGTTGGACGGACTGGTGAACCTCTCCAAGGATACTTTCGGTTGTTTCCAGGGAGTTACCATGTCTTGTTTGGGGCTGAGGTTCCCACCGCAGCTGCAGCTGCCGTACCGGCGGAAGCAACAACAGCAACCGCCGATATGGCTGGTTGTGGTGGTTCGTCCGGAGAATCCGGCGATCCATTCCACCTTTCGTTTCTTCCCCATTCCACCAACCGACGACTCGATATCCGCTACAAAAGCTCCGCACACGAGTCCTCCTCCGCAAACGAACACGATGAACGGCAGCAAGATACGCCGGCACAAACACTATCTACGGATGATGAGCCCTGTGGGGGAAGGAGGAGGATGTAAAAGAGAAGAGAGCCGAAGAGAAAAAGGAAAATGAGGAGGAGAAGGAGAAATCAATTTGTTTTTTTTTTGTTTTATTCATTCATTGATTGCATGCGAACTATCTAGATCATGGGAGGATGAAAAAGAGAAGATAACCGAAGATAAAGAGAGCGCAGAGGAGGAGGAGGAAGAGGAGGAGGAGGATATCAACGAGGAGGAGATGCGTTCGAGGGACGGCCCTCGGTTTCGGGGAGGGTGAAGTAGCTTTCTTTGTGGGGCAATATGTAGCAGCAATGTATACTGTTCAATGTTGGGCTCAAATCGCGGGTGTTGCATGGTGTTGAAACTTGACCGTGAGAGCCTTCGCTCAAGCTTCTCCGACATGCCGGTATCTCCAGAGTCTACCGCTTCGCTCCCTCCTCACACGAGAGGTTCTCTATTGGCCGGCTGTGTGGCATCAGAATGGATATGGAACTTTGTTTGGTGGTTCCTCCATAACTTGGAGTGACGACAGAGTGCTACTAGAATAGCGAAGCTTCTTGTCACATGGGGGGATTCGGGAGGCGAGTGATGCTATGAGTCTATGATCCTGCAGAGTGCAATAGGTAATGCAAGTCGCAACAGACTCCAGAGATTGCGTTGCGTTCTTATTTTCCAATCTATCATACGAAAACTCCAAGTAAGTACTTATGCAGTCACCAGTGAATCAATTCACCATACCGTAGAAGCGTGACATCAGATGCGACTAAGGGGTAGTTATCTTCGCAGTATTTTAGTGGTTTATCACTCGCGGCAGCTCGACGAATCTGACCAAAGCTCTATGGTATCGTAGGTATTTGGCACAAGTCAACAATAAATTGATGTTCTCTGTCTTTCGTCACGAGTCAGATCAAATCTCTGAAACAAACTATCAAAGCCCAACTGCCCCAACAACCGGCCAGTCAACCTACAAGTATCACGAACCCCACCGCCATATCACATCCCACCACATTCCACCACATTCCACCACATTCCACCACATTCCACCACATTCCACCACATTCCACCACATCACATCACCTCACATCACGAAATCACGAGCAGAACATATAATTACAACGCAAACAGGTTGTTATTGTTATCGGCATGTAGTACGGTAGTGGTATGGTAGTGGTATAGCAGTGTTAGCGGTGATCTGTACGATCTATACCTAGGAACTTTTCGCTGTAGATAGAAGAAAAAAAAGTAGGAAAACCCGCCCCGCTTATGACAAGAGAGAACAGAACACACAAACACCATTACAGTAAGAAAAAAAAAAGGAAAAGGCAAAAAAGCTGAAAAGCTGAAAAGCACTTAAAGCAAAATATGAGGTAAAAAAAATGAAGTAGACAGCGCCGTAATCAAACACAATTCACCTTACACACTCGAAAATGGGACACAAATACAAGGGCACAAAAATACAACACAAATGGTACAGTTGAAATGCAAGTGATGAAACGAAAATGATGAAATGACCCAAAACCCCTATGAGATACACATGAAAAAATGGAAATGGAATGCAAACGAAATTGTGATCCAAACGCAGACAACCCAAGGGCCAAACCAGTGACAAACAAAAGGCTAAGGAAATGGCAAAGTAGATGCGGATCATCGGTAACCTTGCGGTTGACCAGTCGGTAATGGTCGTCGGGCCGCGTTTGGTGGTGGTGCGAGTCGATTACCAGGGCCGTGGGACATGCGGTTGTTGGGGATGGGCGGCGGCTGAATCGATACCCGTGGGTGTTGTCTCATCTGCTGCTGGGCGGTGCGTAGCTTTTCGGCTGCTGACTCGTGCTTCTCGCGTTCTGCTCTGGCCTTCGCCTCCTTGGCCAAAACCACTTGACACCATCCGCGCGAGTCGGGAACGTGTCCGATCGTCTCGCCGAGGATCTTGAGCCAGTCCCGCTTCTCTTGGGCGGAATCGGCGTAGAAATCGATAACCTCCCCGTTTGCGAACCTAACACGGAACCCCTCCTCGACGAACATGTAGCCTTCCTCGTCTTCCGAAAAGCCCGACTTTCTCCTCGTCTTGCCAGGTCCAGCTACCGTGTTCTCGACAAGAGTACGACGGTCGTCGATGAGTTTGACCGCTTTGCTCAGGTTGATGGTGGCACGGGGCTGGCGAGTGGCTTCGTGGTAGGCCGTTAGGCGAGCGCCCTTCAGCTTAAAATATCTCCGACGCCAGAACTAAATGCATATTAGAATACAGTCAAAACGGATGAACGAATGATTTGGAACTTACTGGACAGTCTCCTCCCTGCTGCGAAAGGTTGCCTTCCCATTCACGAGTCATGATCGACTCTGCTTCTCTCAACTCCCTGATGGCGGTGTTCAAGCTCTTCGGAAGATCCTTCTGTGAAATTGTCAGTGACCAAGTCCTATTCTCATTACGGGTGGAGATACTCACATCGGACGATCCCTTTGGCTTCGGCACGAACAAAAGCTGCACTTCCAGTTTTCCGATCTTGTAGGGAGCCTTTCTCGCGGGCTGCAAGCCGCCTTGCATCCCCTTCTTTCCCTTGATGCTAGCCGTGTCTACCGCCCACTCGTTAAAACAATGGATGTCGGTGGTGAGGGGCCTTCCGTAGGCCCGGCTTTCAAAGTCCTTGAGAGAGACGTAGGAGCGAGCAAAAGAACCATCACGGGCAACCAGACCATGGAGCAGATCCCATGCGGTGGCAGGGGTCGATTCCTGACTCTGTTGACGCTGCAATTGCAACTGTTGCTGCTGCTGTTGCACTGCCTGCTGCTGTTGTTGATGCTGAAGCTCGAGCTGCTTTCTCTTCTTGGGCGTGGAGAACACTTTGCTGAAGGTGGACTGCTTCAGCTTGGGGACGACTGGAGCTTTCGTGGCGGTCTTTGGTGGCAACTGCGGAGGCTGCTCCAATTTGGTCTGCAGGGTCAACTGGAACTCGAGATCGTTCAGAACGACACTGCAACGTTGTTAGTTTGGGGATCTAGATAGGACACTTCAGAGGGAAAAAAACTTACAGTTCGAATTCCTGGCCAATCGGGGCATTCTTTCCAAGCTCGAGCCACGAAGTGGTCACGCAGTGCAAGCCATTGTCCAAAGTGAGGCAGAAATAAGTCGGCTGTCCTTGCGGCAGCGGAAGCGTAAGGTCTTTAACACCGAGGACTTTGACGAATAACCGTCCCCTTTCCACGTTGTCACCCTCAACCGATCCCATACTGCTGGATCTGGTAGTCTCACTGACGCTCGCGAGTCGATTGCTGGTGGTGACACTGCTTTCCCTTCCAGGCAGCGGCGGCACGGGTCCCCCATTCGAGGGGCGCTTTCGCAGACTGGAGTCACGGTGACTGCGTCTTCGGTTCGATCGCCACGGCTCAACGGACCAGGACTGACCACGGGCATGACCAGGACGATCGAGAGTTGGGACCTCATCATCGGGACCTCGTTCCGAAGCATGAATGACTTTGGTGTTCTGCCTCATCAGATAACCACGCTACAAACACGACAGTTAGCCAAAGCCTACACGCACACACATACGACTAGATAATACTGTACCTTCTGCTTCTCGATCACACGGTCAAACTCATCGTTCAAATCATCAAGCTTGAGGTCAAATTCAAACTCGCCCAAGGCGGGAAGCGTCGAGGAAATCTTCCGTCTCCGTGCGCCAGAAACCCTCCTGCTCACTGTTTCTCCGTCTGACTGACCGGCCGCAACACCTGCAGAGTCCTCGCCACCACTGCTGTCTCCGGTCTCACTGTCGCCCTCGCTCCTATAGCCATTGGGTATCCGGGGAACCGGAGGGGGGTTGCGATGGTCGCCGCTCACGTGTCGTCGCGCTGCCGCCATCGACGCAATATCCGCCGGTGTGGCACTTGCCCTCGTCTTGAGTTTACCGCCAGGCGCGCGAATAGTCGCGATGGACTCGGCAACTGGAGAAGGCGACCTCGTGGTTGGAACCCCGCCGTTTTGAGCATCCTCATCGGAATCTTCATCCTCATAATCCTCATCATCGTCCGAGTACTCAATCTTGTGCCGAATAACCGAGCCGGTGTCCGACTCTTCGTCCGAAGGAGCGCGTTCAGACATATCCTCATCGAAAAACTCTCTCGCAGTGCTGGTCGACGGTCCCTCGACTGCCTCCTCTTCCTTCTCCTTCACCTCCTTGGCCGCAACAATCGCCGGAGACGCGGGGGTCATGTACTTTCCAAGTCCCAATCCATCGTCTAATATGGACGAGAAATCCGGTAGGCTGACCCTCTTGTTTTCCTCATTATCTAGATGTAAGTCCATAAGCTTATTCTCCAACGCCAAAGAAGATTGAGTAGAGTCGGTGGCAAGGCTTGCCGGACTACCAGGAACAGGAGTGGTTCCTTGACGCGGGGTGTCTGGCTGCTCCTCCTCCTCTCCCTCCTCCTCAATGATGTCATGCGCTCCTTCTTCTGGGACACTGTACTGCGATTCCTCGTCGTCGCCATCCTCGTACAAAGACGCTTCCGACTCGGTAACCACATCGGTATCTGGGGATCTCGTAGCAAACCGTGAAGCAGGTCGTACGTTACGCATATCTGGGGGCGCATACATATCCCCCTCCTCGTCAGTGGTGGGCTCGTCCTTAACAAAGCTTTCTTCGTCGTCGTGTCTGGACTCCGAGGAGGAGTAGTAATAGCGTGGACTCTCGCGTCCGCCCCTCGCATGCTCCTCATCCTGAGCGTGTTGGTGTCTCCGCTCTTCCACTTGACGGCGTATCGACTCGCGTGTCAGCTGTGGAGGCTCGTAGTCGGACGCCGAAGCCGAAGACTCGTACTGACTTGTAGTCACGATGCTCTCCGAGTCGGGTTCACGATTGGAATTTGGTGACGATTCGTCGCGGTCGGATGTACTACATTCCGCCATCCGCGTCGCGTTCCCATGTTCCAGCAGGAGTGTATCCGTGGGTATCGTGTCAACTCCGATTCCTAAGCCATCGTGAAATTCGGTTCCTTGGCGAGACCTCCTTCTGTTCGTTGGATCCCAACTGAGTCGCCTAGTGGGATCGTTGCCCTCCATCATACGCCTCATACGTTCTTCCATGGTCATCGTTGATTGGTTCTGCAGCTCCGCCTTCGTGAGTGGTGGGTTTGGTAACGGGCGTGCACCGGACGGGCTTGAGCTGTCGGACCGAGGGAGACCGGGGATCGGCGGCAACGGTCTGCTGCTACCGTTGGGCGAAGGGGTCGAGTATGCTTCCTCGCGATCGTGGACAGGTTCCGGTGTTGGCCTCCATCCATCCGGCTCGATAACGGGCGTATTTTCCAAGTCATCCTCCTCATCCTCGTACCCATACTCGTCTGAATCGTAGTCGGCGCAAGGCGAACCATCCACCGATGGATCAGGGGTGACCAATTCGTATTCCAAAACATGCGGCTCATCCTTATCCCAGCTCACGGACTTGGGTCGGCGGACCGGGCTGCGGTTTGGTTCACCATCCTCGGAATCGTACGAATTGGATTTGTACGAAGAAAGTAGCGATGATTTGGTCGGCGCCAAGCGGATAGGGCTGTGCAAGATGCCTGTTAAGGGGGGGTTCGTGGGCGGCGTCGATGATCTCTGGATTGACTCCGACTTCTTGGACTGGGGCAGAGGAATCCGTGACCCGCCGCCACGTTCAGTGGTATTGCTACTCGCATTACTGGAGGTGCTGGCGATAGATGTGCGAACGGACCCTGCGCGAGAGAACACGGGCGTGAAAGCTGGAGGGACCTGAGGGTAGCTGGTTGGCCGTACTGCTTTCGCATCCGACTTGTTGAAGAGTTTGCTGTTGTTTTGCACCCGCGAAGCGCGCTTAAGTCTCTCGAGCGACGAACGACGGGCAACACTCGCCGAGTGGTCCTGGGCACCCTTCTGATCTCGCCCCTGCCACAATGCTCTGGTAGAAGCAGTCTTATTGGCACCGTTGACGCTACCGTTGACGTTACCGCTACCAGTAGCGGTGCCAGTCGACGAGGGACTAGGAAAGGGGGATGAGGAGGCAAGGTCGTCGGTATCACCGCCAGCCTGAAGAGTTTCGTGAATCAGCGCAATACTCGGAGTGGCAGCGGCAAGCGCGCCGAACGAAAAGCCGCTCGCGGCAAAGGGATCGCGGAGGGGAGGAGGGTTCGGGAGTTCGGGAGTTCGGAGAGTTCGGGAGAGCTTACTCTGCTGTTGGTGCTGTTCCGTCTCCCTTCCATAGGACTGATATCTGCTAACGGCTGTCCCAACCTCGGAAGCTCTAACTCGGATTCTTGATCGGAGATGCTTCCTTTGAGGATGCGCAGAGGAGGAGTGATCTGTTGTTGATTTAGCAGCTCGAACTGCGGTTGCGTAGAGGAGAAGGTTGTGTGTGATGGTGGTGGTGGTTTGGTAGTTTGAGGGGGGGGGGGGGGGATGGGTGTGTGGTTGTGGATGGATGATGGGTGTGTGTGTGATGGATGGGTTTACTTACATCGAGACTAGACGCCGAAGGCATAGTGTCTGTGGGTTGTGGGATTGTGCAGGCACTGGCGCCACCTAGCACTCTACTCCGTGCCTAAGTTACTCGAATAATCGCGCTCTCTCTATTTCTCTCTTTCTCTGTCTCCGCCACGTCGATGCGAGCAGTTTGTAGTTGGTGTTTCTTCTTCTTCTTTTTTTTAGGGTTGTTCTTGTTTTCTGTTCTTCTCTTCGCGAGGGGGGAAACGTACCCGCGTTCTCACTCGCGTGGTGTGTTATGGAGACGAACGAGAAGTAGTTATGAAAATGAGTGAGAAGTTGTGGGGGTTAGTGATATGGGGGCAGTGGGTCTATGTGTGTGTGTTTGGTACGTTTCCGTCGTAAGACGTTAAGAAATGAGCGACGGGCGCGGCGTGTCGGCGTAAAGACGTCGGGAACGGATAGAGTGATAATTCGAGACGAGAGATATCAGGCGTCAAGACAACGAAGAAAGAAACGAACGAATGTATGTAGCAGCACGTATGGAGCGGGTTCGTATGTACGGATTGCGAAGCCGAAGTGATGGGTATTGGACGGAATTGGGATGAGATGGGATTTCTACGCCAATAAGGGAACCCAAGGAGAAAGAGAAGCGCGATGGGAGGGTGGGTGGGTTTTTGGTGGGTGGGGGGGGGGGGGGAGGGGGGGTCGAAGGAGCAGGAGGGGGGGTCGAAGGAGCAGGAGGAGGGCGACGGGGGGTAGGGGGGTGGGGGGGGAGAGGGAGAGGGTGGAGGTGATTGGGGAGAAGGGAAGATTCGGGGAGGAGAGAAGAGGTTCGCAAAGAGTGGAAAATTGCCAGCTAAAGATGACTTTATGAGGATGCTCTCTAGAGCATTTTGGAGATTCCTTCGATCGCTGGGGCAGTCAATCTCGGTAAACAAACAACTTGCGGCAGCAATGCCCGCGCGTTGCTCGGCAACCGAAAGTGGTCCCGCTGGCTGGGGACAACCTTGAAAGACACGAAAGCAGAGAGCGGAGTAACCTCTTACTTTACGAAAGTAGTCTCCATCGATGCTAGATATGCTCTACACAACAATCTTCTTGCACGCAACTCTGCCCCCTCCGCCCCCCGCGTCCTGTCTGTCCCACCATTGCGCCTCTATACAAGCACTCTTAAGACCCCGATTCTGCCATTCTGATGTGTATTTTGCTGTCTTTACCATCACTAGCATTTATGAGGGGGTCGCGGCGGCTTCTTTGTGGTTCTGCAATGCTGCTGCATTACTGCTGCAACTCTGCAAATGTGCAGATCACTGCCCTAACAGCGCCCTTAGGCGGCCAAAAGTCGAGCGCGAGAGCGCGAGAGAAAGCCGCAAACCCTGGCCTCTTGATGTCATTAATTGTTTGGGCCTTGCGCCATCGTCATTTGCCGCTGCGATTGGCCACCACCGTCCGCCCGCTGCATGGGGCTAAACTCCTCCTCCGGGAGATATCTCCACTCTATCTATCTTAGGTACATGTGAATCGAACGCACATAACTAGATACCTCACTGCAGAGAGGCTTTGGCTGCATGTGCTGGAATCGTGTTTGGGGTCACGCAGGATCGGGACTGAACATCAACAACATCAACAACAACAACAACAACGACCGATGGGGAGGGAGAGAGAGACGGAGAGCAGAAGAACCTGACGGTGATCATGGGAGAAAGAGAGTGATCGGCCATGAGCGTGAACGCAAGTACTCATGAGACCTGGGTGAGTACCTTAAGTACTTGAGCAACTACATGGCTACACCCGACGGAAGGTAAGTAAGTGCAAGTAGGCAGACACTCCCTCTCCTTCCAGGCTCCATCACCCTCCCGACTCCTCTCCTCTCTCGCGGTGTTCCTTCTCTGTTTGCACCGAGCTTCCGAACTAAGCACTTCGGTTCGGGCCCTCGCCGCAAGGGGGGGAGGGCGGATGGGCGGGAAGGTGCACATTATATCGAAGGGTCGAAAGAAAGAGGGAAAAAAAGCGAGTATGTAGCCATGCGACCGGCGGCCGCTCGCTCGACCATCCAAATTTCAACACTTCACTTCACTTCAACTCTCGAGCCCGCGTTCTCGCGTTCTCGCCATGCGCGGACAGCCACAGCACAGCACGGCGTTTCGTGCCACACCATGGAAATGGAAGTGGGCCGACATCGTGGTCGCCAATTACCACCGAGAATCAGAGCCTTGACGGCCACGCCGGGGTCGTGCAGTAGAGTAGGAGACCGGAGCATGTAGATACTGGTAGAGCATGTACTCTACTTACATACCGGTACCTGTGCAGCAGCCTGCTGCAAGCTGGGAATCCGACTGGCACTGCTTGCTTGCACGCACGCAAGGTAAAACATCCCAAAACAATAACAGTCCAGGTCAGCGGCGCCGCGCGAAACCTCCTCTGCCTGGCCCCCGCCCCGCCATTTCTTGTCTCCCTTCGTTCGTTCTCGCCTCCCTCCCTTCGCTCGCTCTCGCCTCCCTCCCTTCGCTCGCTCTCGCCTCCCCTTTGTCGTCCCGTCCAATCGGCTGCAGCCTTTCTCCCCGTCCGTACGCGTCTGCCGGGTGTGGCCTGCAACTGCTATACTGTAATATCCAATATCAGATACTCTACTACCTAGTATGATACGCAGAGTAGAGTATGGACGGACACTCGAGGCCGCCGTCGGTCATAACAATCATAACAATAACAACAATACTATAACAATAACAAAACCCAAAACAACAACAATCGGGCCCAGGCAAACGCAGCAAGCCGGGAACATGTTCGTATCATATCATAGTCGGAGTCTGGAGTAGAGTAGAGTATGGAGCCTGCCTAGAGTAATACATACGCCTGCACAGTGAGTGCATGCCTCATGCGGACGCATCGCGAGTTTCGCGTCAATTGTAAAGCAAAAAAAGCACCGGTCGGTGTGCCTCTTCAGCCTTTGGGAAGGGGAGGGGGAGGGGAGGGGAGGGGGCATAGGGCAGTCATGCACTCTAACTGTTCGATCCATGCCGGTTCTGTTACACCTCCTACCTAGATACACACCTAGACGGATTCGGTCCAGCCTGGCCTCTGGGATCACGAGTGCTGGATCATGCAGATCATGTGCTCGACCTCGGGTGTATGTACTCGACTCGCACCATCAAGCACACGGACGCCAAAAACCCGGCCGGACCGGAATAACCATCACCACGCGCGAACCGAACGCTATTGAACCCAGACCAGACAGACCCCCCATAGCCCCGAGGAAGAAAGGGAAGGGGTACTTTGGCCTCCAACTTCCACTCGTCCGTCCGATTGCACGGTTTGACGGACAGACGGCATTGTTGCAGCCGACGAAGGCCAGGCCAGGCCAGGCCTCCTCCTCGAAAGCAACGCGGCTTAAGGCTTGCAATGCTTGGTGCCAGCGGCGTTCCACGGACTGCCCGGAATGCACATCTTACGCTCCTTGAAAGGAGTCGCTGGGGATGGGTTCGGTCGGGCCTTCTCACCTTCCTTTGCCGCGTTCGAAGTCGCTGCCCGGTGGGAAAGAACTCGGTACTCTAGGTACTCTAACTGCTCTACTCCTTTGCCCTGAAGTACTAGCTATACTCCACCGCGGACTAGCCTAGGTACTTGGGTATGATGTTATCGAAGAATTCGCGTTTCCCCACAAGTGAGTGTTCGATTGGCCATGGACCTAGGTAGGATGCCGGATACCTGCCTGCCTGCCTGCCTACCTACCTCCTACTATGCATCCACAACATTTCGCACATTTCTGCAGGAATCATCCTCGCCATTTCACCGTGCGACGGAGACGGAGACTCAGAGAGTGGTCATTGGCAAACGAGGTGCAGGCAGAAGGCTTGCATGCGATGAGGTGAGGGGAAGGAAGGAAGTGCACATCCCTTTGCGAGGATTATTTCCAGAGTTCCCAATCTTCGTCTTCCTCGACTGCGAACTGTTTGTTTACATACATATAGCCATCATCATGAATGAAAAAACGCATGGGACGCCTGCCACTACTCACTCAATCAATCACTCACTATCTACTACCACCCATTGGCGTGCTTGACATTTAAACCCAAATTTCACGGAACCCATACGTGTTCATATGATGTGATTCAGGGAGCCCAAGTACCGTACTTGCTCTACCGTACTCGGAAAACGTGCCGAATTACCGTTCCTACTCTAGATACTCTAGTTACCGGGCTTGTGGGGCGGGCCGAGTTACTCTACATACCCAAGGTACTCCTAAGTAAGGACCTACACATGTATGTACTAGCACTACATACATGTATGTACAAAGTGCCGTCGTATGGATTCCCCGCCGGCGCTCAGGCATCATCATCAGCATCAGCATCATCAGCATCATCAGCATCATCAGCATCACGAACTTCCTTATAGTAAAGCCGGAGGTTCTTCCTTACTCTACGTTACATAGGCACATCATAGGCACATCCAGCTGTATGTAACGGCGGGTGCTTCGAGCTCGATCTGACATCCCCCTGTCGCGTGTGCCTAGAGCCTGCTACTCTACATCTGTATGGTACAGGCCCAGCTGAAGTTTGCTCTCCGTAAAACGACGCTTCAGCACCCTACCCTACCTCGCTATCTGAGTTTCAGCTGGATCAACATCTTTCTCGTCTTGTCGGGGACTCGTCGGTGGGGGCGCGCTTGACCACAATCGGCGGGGCGGAAAAGCAATGCAAACCAAAGCAAACCAAGAACTCGCTCTAGATCGCTGGTTACGGCGTTGCATACATACGGAAATACATACAGGCAGGACGGTGACCTTCTGCCTACGGCATTGATATCGGAGATCCCGGAGGATCTGTGTACTCTAGCTATCGACAACCAAACCACGGACAACCACGGACAACCACAACCACGGACGGCGAAAAACGGCGAGGCCGACCGACCGTGGATGGAAATAGAAACATCGCAAATTAATCGTTATGTATGCACATGGGGACCGACCATGGGACCATGATGGGGGCAGATTGGCCCTTGGGGTGGCGTATGTATGCAACTGGACTGGCGTTCGTCCGTCCTTGACTCCTTGGCTGACGCACAAACACTTGCATGGAGCAGCAGCAGAAGTTAACTAGATCGCGCGCATGCAGGCGGCTGCGCTGCGCGAGCGAGCATGGCTTTGGCTTTGGCTTTGGCTTGGTGCGGGTGCAGTAGAGTAAGTGGGTTTGGTGTCGGAGAGCCGCACCGCGGGACTCGGGAGGACCGGAGGCAAAGAGAAAAAAAAATGATGGGATGTGGAGGAAGCTACTAACAAGACGTGCTCTACACTTTAGCTAATCCATGAATTTCGCGATGCGCACAATCGTCATACAACGACACCCTCCGACGACACCCTCTCCTTCCACCTTGGTATGCTGTTTGCACCTCGCGCTTCTTGTTTTGTTCCACATGACACACTCACTCGGCCGGGCTGCTAACCGGTGACAAAGATTGTAGTCTTCCCGCAGCAGCCGCGATAGATCATGCTGCGCGCCATCTCATCGCGATGTCCGCGGTGCCTGTCCGCCGCCACCACCGGTCCGACCACAAGCACGTTCGTGCGATACATAGCTCGCGACGCACAGCGGAAGCGTCCGCAGCGGCTCATACTCTCGACGGGAGTTGCCCGGGGCGGCGACGGCGGCCGCGGAACTGGCGGCCGCCGAGGCCGAGACGACTTCTCGCCGCCGGGATTGAATCGCACGACGGCCAACATCCCCGCCCACATTCTGGCCAAGAGTCGGCAGCCCGCTCGGGAAGCGGAAGATGATGACAGGAGGAGGAGCAGTAGGAGCACTATCGATAAAGATGGCAGGAAACATAAGCCAAAGGAGCCCCGCGAGATGAAGCACATGAAGATGCGGCAGTCGCTGGCGCCCGTGTCAAGGGTTACCAGGACCGTGGCGCACCAAAAGGTCCAGTCGGTCGATTCGTTCGAAGACTTTGGGTTGTTGCCTGCTACGCAGGAGGCGATTCTGACCAGCGCACTTGGCGATCTTGAAACCGTTGCGCCAACGATGGTGCAGAAGCTGGTCATTCCAGCCTTGATGGGGAAAGGGCCGACACGGCGCCGGAGGTACGCTGATGAGGCGGCTGGCACAGAAAGTTATCTCATTGCCGCCGAGACCGGCTCCGGAAAGACGCTGGCGTATGCTATTCCGGCTGTCGACGCTATCAAGCGCCAGGAGGCGGAAGAGAAGGAGGCCGCGCGCCTAGAGGAAGAGCTAAACCCTAAGCCCCCGCCCTCGCCCAGTGACATTGAGATACCGACCGTGGAAAAAGAAACGCTCAATGGCAGGCCCAGGGTGGTCATCCTGGTGCCAACGTCGGAACTGGTGTCGCAGGTCGGCGCGGTCATGAAGTCGCTCTCGCACGTGGCCAAGTTCCGCACCGTGGTCATCTCCCGCGAATTCTCCGCCACCGTCATCAGGAACCGGCTCTTTGGAGGACCATGCGATGTCGTCGTCTGCACACCCCATCTACTCAACAGCTTGACGGAAACAAACCCGGCGCTTTTCTCCAGATGCACTCACGTCGTGGTCGATGAGGCAGATTCACTGTTCGATAGATCGTTCTCGCCCACCACAACTGCTGTCATCGGCCGATGCCAGAATCTCCAGAAGCTGATCCTGTGCTCGGCCACGATCCCCCGCTCGCTCGATACACGGCTGCGCGAACTCTACCCTGACATGAAGCGCCTGGTCACGCCTAACCTGCACGTGGTCCCCCGCCGAGTGCAACTGCATGTAGTCGACGCGGACAGCACGTTGTATCACGGGAACAAGAGACTAGCCTGTGCGGATACGCTCTACACTATTGCCAAAGACAACACGGAAGAGGGATTCATGAAGAAGGTGATCGTGTTCGTCAACGAGCGCGAAACGACGACCGAGCTCACAAGGTACCTCCGGACCAAGGGCATTGACGCGATCGAGTTTGCCCGCGACACCAAGGACCGCATGCACACCGAAACCATGGAAATGTTTACATCGGGCAAGACAGACGTTGATTCCGAGCTTACGGGGCGGCAGCGGATGAAGGTATTGGTTACCACGGACATTGCCAGCCGTGGCGTGGACACGAAAACGGTCAAGAACGTGATCCTATACGATAAGCCGCACAGCGCGATCGATCTGATACACCGCATCGGCCGGACTGGAAGGATGGGGCGCAGAGGTAGGGCCATTATATTGGTCGACAAGTACACCGACAAAGGCTGGATCAAAGACATCAAAACGTAAGTCCTCAACATTTTGCTTTTCGTCGTCATCGTCGTACAGCGGTCCCGGTGCTGACATGAAACACAGGAGCATGCATATCGGCGGACCCCTCATCTAGGCTGAGAGCGGGGAAAGGTGGCATTCGATTGGTCACGATAGATAGCGAGTACCATGGGAACCCCTACTTGATTCCCATTGTTATCAACATATGAAAGGATATGGGCTTGTTTGAGGTTGCACGCTGTCAACATGCCTCTTAGCGGGGGGAGGGGAAGGGAGGGGGAGAGGGGGCAAATACCAGCCATCGAATTCACCTTGTTGTCAACCTTACCGCCGGACCATTGTTAGGTATCGATATGATTCAATGTAAAGCTTGCTGTGTAAAATACGCGCGCTCCTCTCTCTAGTTTAATCGCCAATTTTGCCACCGTGATGTCTTTGGCCGCATTCCCTGGCGCCCTAATGACCGAGTATTATTGCATGATCCTGAGCCACAGCACCACAGCACCAGGGAAATTCCGAGTTTACGCGCGCAACCGATTGTCGAATTGGCAATATGCGGTTGGCGGCCTGGTAATAGATTCGCGGTAGCCGAGACAACACGCCTCACCCCCACTGGTGGCGCTTTTTTTCTTCTTTTTTTCTTGTTTGTTTTTTTTCTCTCTTCTAAACGAGCAGCAGCAGCGTGAGGAGGAAGGAGAACGGCAGGCGTGGAGCAGTTTGATCGTCCATCGAAGTCCGGAGGCTCTTCCCCGTTTCGGGATCGACAGGTAGCCCTGTTATTGCTTGGCAGCGTTGAGGCAGCGTTGTCCCGACAACGCGTTGTTGGTTATTGACGCCCGCCCTCTCAAAAGTCACGCACCCCATCCAGTCTGGTCTTTCTCCTCTCCAAACAAACACTTCCTCCGTCGCCGTCCGATCGCCAGCCACCGCAACCGCACCCGCAACCGCAACTTGCCTCCCCTCCACCCCTCCCCCCCTCCCCGCCCCCCGCTATACCCGGTGTTGCCCTCGTCACCGCCAACACTACTCCCCGCGTGTCGTGTCTTCGATCACATACCCTCGTTGGCTCTCGATACCCAAAATATACACACCCATACCCGCCCAATGTCAGTCCGACAGTTGGAAGCCCGCCTGGCGGGCACGCACCTAAACGAAGAGAACGCGGTCGTTTTGCACAAGTCTACGAAGGTGCGCTCTCCTACCCCCAGCACAAGTTGCAGGCAGGGGCTGACATAAACGCGCAGAACACCGTTTCGGCGGCGCCCCAACAACAGCAGAGCCACCGGCACCCACTGCTGAAGCTCGCAGTGCACAACCAGAACCAGAGCGTGCCTACATGGCGATCCGAGATGCCGCCGCCCGCGTCGCCCGCGTCGCTGCGCAAGGGCGACGCCGCGGACCTCCGCGATCCGCGGAACTCCCACAGCAGCGTCGTATCGATCCCCGCGGCGGTGCAGCCGACCCGCGAGTTCCACCTGGGGATGTTCGAGATCGGGCGGCCGCTGGGGAAGGGGAAGTTCGGGCGCGTGTATCTAGCCAAGGAGCGCAAGAACGGCTTCGTGTGCGCCCTCAAAGTGCTCCATAAAAATGAGCTCCAGAAAAATCAGGTCGAGAAGCAGCTGCGGCGTGAAATAGAGATTCAGTCGAACCTTCGCCACCCTAATATCCTCCAGCTGTATGGTCACTTCCATGACTCGAAGCGCGTCTTCCTCATACTGGAGTTTGCCGGCCAGGGGGAGCTCTATAAGATGCTGCAGAAGGCGAGGCGCTTTTCGGAGCCGAGGGCTGCTGAAGTGAGTGATGCCCATCCCGCCCCCCGCTGAGACTACCGAATGATACCCAGTGTACTGACTCTCGTATAGTATGTAGCTCAAATGACGGCCGCTCTCATTTACCTGCACAAGAAGCACGTCATCCATCGTGACATCAAGCCGGAGAATATCCTAGTCGGCATCCACGGCGAGATCAAGCTTTCAGATTTCGGCTGGAGTGTTCACGCACCCAACTCCCGGTAATTGCACCCTTTGCAGCAGTATTCGTGTGTGTGTAGAGAAAAGTAAAGCTAACGGATGGCAGGCGCACAACGATGTGTGGAACACTGGACTATCTGCCACCGGAGATGTTGAACGGCAGCTCGCACCACAACGAGAAGGTAGATCTGTGGTCTCTCGGCGTGTTGATGTACGAGTTCCTTGTGGGCTCGGCACCATTCGAAGATACCCCGCTGGAGACGCAAAAGAGAATCGTGCGCGGTGATATGAAGGTGCCAGACTTTATCAGTCCCGAGGCGGCGGATCTTATCCGGAAGGTTTGTTTCTCTTCGTATTGAATGTTAAAGGGAAGAACGGTGGCTGACATGGTCCGCATAGCTCTTGGTTGTTCGACCCGATCAGCGGATTCCACTGCAGGATATCTTCAAGCACCCATGGATCGTCAAGCATGTCACTGGGAAAACGAAGCGCGAACGCTCGGGGGCCGAGCGCAGTTCCCGAGAGCGAGAATAGTTGTGGGAGATTGAGCTCAGCATGGCTTGGCTGGAGTTAACGGTTTCGCGCGGCGGGCAGCACTCCTGCGATCTGACATTTGTAGTATGCAGAGACGGAGTTGTACGGCCATTTGTGTTTTTCTGTTCTATTCATCGTCGCTGTTGGGTTATTGTGGTTATTGTGTGGCTTGGCTTTTTTGGTGTTTGTTTTGTTTTGTTTTTCTATGCTTCGAGTTCCAAAAACCATTGTGTTGTGTTGTGTCCTGATTAGCAAGCGAGAGATTGTGTGTCTATATGTAGAACGCAGGACGATCCGCAGTACACAGAGTTCAGTCCCGTCTGGTCTCTGGGCTCTTTCTAATCGTCTATCATAGTCTTTGAGGTATCATACAGTAATTTACATAACCGTTCGTCCATCGGTATCAGAGTCCAATTCTACCCACTACCGGTAGATCTCCCGGAACGGCCTCGTGTCGGCAAAACACGAATCGAAGACCGAGTTCACCACCCGGGCCGCGTGCTCGTCATCCTCACATTTTGGGTGGTTGCGTACCGACAGCGTCGCTCGCCGTCTCACGCAGTCCTGGTGGTGCTTGGTCAGGTCCCAGATGCCCCTCCCGAGGGTTTCCCTAGTCCAGCGACACTCTCCACTGAGCGACGAAGCTCTGACCTATTCCACGCCGCACCATTAGCCCCCACGCCCATCCACACCCACCACGCAGCCGCACTCACCTCGGAGCAAGCATGATGCCTGAGATCATTCCAGTCCACATCGAAGCGCAAGTGGTCATAAGCATGTACCAGCTCATGCGCCAGCGTATCCTCCATGTGGCTGCGGTCGATAAGGCGGTTCTGGCACAGCAGAATGCCGTAGTTCGCGTCGAACCCGCCAGACTGGAATTTCCCGCACGGGAGGCACCGGATGTTGCTCTTGTCTAGCTTGCCGTTCGCGGATTGGATGTTTTCGAGCATGAACCGGATTATCGGGCCTAGTTGAGAGGGGGGTTAGCTGGTTGGGGGAAGGGGGGGAGGGAGGGACGGGGGAGGGAGGGAGGGAGGGAGGGAGGGAGGGGCGGGGGGGAAGGCACTGTAGTTCATCAGGTAGTCGAGGTTCTTCTCGCACTTTGTGCACTGAGCCTCTTTACGCCTCTGCGCGCGGCCGGCCTCGTACTCGGCGCGCTCGGAGGGGGTCATGCCCATGCCCGTCATCTGGGAGAACATTTGGCGCCACCATTCTGGAGCTCCGCGGGTGGGTTTGGGGGGTGTGCTGGTGGTGCTGTCGCTCGGTGGTGGTGGTGCGATGGGTGTGGTTTGCTCCATCGTGGGGCGATTGTGGTGGGGTGCTGGCTGTGCTGTGGTGGGGGTGGAGTGGCCGCGGTTGAGGATGTTTTTCGTGATTCGTGATCGGCACGATAGTACTGCACGTGACTAGAACGCCGGTTGAGGCGTGTTTAGAGTAACGACACTGTTGCGGATCAAAGGAAGATTCGTGCCTGCTGTTCCGCAGCCCAATTAACCTGCGGACAGGGAAGCTGTTCATCGCGAGTGAGGCGGTCATAGGAATACCATCCGTAAAAGCAGCAGCAGGTTGAAAACAGAGAGACATTTTCCCTCCCGTGCCACCAATAGCTATCAGATAGGGCTGTTAGCTTAATTCCTCACGCCCACCGCCCCTCCCCCGCCATCCCGCCCCGGACTTCGAACTCTCTCCTCCTGTAAGTTGCCAGCCTCAGCCTTCTCACGAACTCTTGATGTAGCCTTTCAAATGGGTAGATATAGATGGCTGATAGGATCCCTTTCGCCTGCAGAGTCTCCAATCACGCACGCACGCACGAAAGAAAAAAAGCTGAAGTACCGAGGACAAAGTAGCCAGATTCCAACAACATAGCCCGCCATGCATCCGTCGACGCCCACCTCGAAGCTTCACGACCGCACCTCGCGAGACCTGAAAGGAAAGCGACCTCTCACGATCGTGATCAAGCTCGGTCAGCTTCCCCACCCGGCTACTACGCGCAGGGGCTGACAGCGGCAGGCACATCGTCGATCTGCGACGAGAAGACCCACGAACCTCTGCTGTCGAACCTCTCGCTCATCGCCGAGACGTGTATCCGCCTCCGAAGGGACGGCCACAGAGTCATCCTCGTGTCTTCCGGCGCTATCGGCATTGGCTTGAGACGATTGGATCTGGATAAACGCCCCAAGCACCTGGCGGCTGTGCAGGTAGACGCTCCGCGGTGGTGGTGACGAGTGCGAGGGAGGGAGGCTTATAAGTTACATCTTTTAGGCGATTGCGGCCGTTGGACAATGCCGGCTCATTGCCCTATGGGATGAGCTGTTCTCCCACCTACGACAACCGGTCGCGCAGATCCTGTTGACCAGGAACGACATCGCGGATGTGAGTCACCGTCACCTCGACGATGCCTCCCATTATTGGTCCTGACTAACTCACGATGCAGCGAACGCAATACCTCAATGCGGCAAATACCCTGAACGAACTCCTGCACATGGGAATCGTTCCCATCGTGAACGAGAACGACACGCTCGCCGTCACTGTGCGTGAGAAAACGCCTCCGAGTGATATACTGTGATTGACTAGAGCTACATATAGGAAATCAAATTCGGAGACAACGACACGCTGTCTGCCATCACTGCAGGAATGGTCAACGCGGACTATCTATTCCTCATGACGGATGTCGACTGCCTGTACACCAACAACCCGCGCACACATCCCGATGCGAAGCCGGTCGAGGTGGTGGAGGACATCTCGAGTCTCGAAGTCGATGGTATGAGAATACCACCCATTTCCTGTGTTTCCGGTGGCTAACGATACAGTGTCATCCGCGGGCTCCAGCCTCGGCACCGGCGGCATGTCGACGAAGCTCACGGCCGCGCGCCTCGCCACCTCCGCCGGCGTAACAACCATCATCACGCGCTCCTCGACGCCCAGCAACATCTTCCACATAGTGGCGTACTGCCAAACGCTCAAGCGGGAGTCTATGACATCTACCCCGGTGATGTCGCGGAACTCCAGCTACACGACGCTCACCTCCCTCCACCACAGCAGCAGCGGGGGCGGCCCCGACCCCGTCGCCGCCTCCGCCGCGCTCTACTCCGCGGCCCAGATGCCTACGCCGCCTTTGCGCAGCGTGCCCGGCACGCCGACACTCCACCCACCATGCCCTTTGCACACACGCTTCGTCGCGAAACCCCGCGCGCTCCGCGACCGCTACTTCTGGATCCTGCACGGGCTCAAGCCGCACGGCACACTGGTGATCGACGAGGGGGCGTACCGGGCGCTGACACGCACGGACAAGGCGGGGCTGCTCCCTGTCGGCGTGCTTGACGTGCTCGGCTCCTTCGCGCAGCAGGAGTGTGTCAGTGTCGTTGTTGCGAAGCGGAATGCCGAGAGTGAACTCGGATATGATGCTGGCCCAGAGGTCGGGAGAGCCCTCGTTAATTATACTTCCGTTGAGATTGCGAGGATTAAGGGCCAGAGGAGTAGTCATATCCATGAGCTGCTGGGGTACGCTGGTGAGTTTAAGGTTTAAACGTTTGGAGGTGAGATTGGCTGACAGATGGGATGCATAGACTCCGAGTATATTGCGTACCGTGACAATACCGCCTTCTTTGATAGGAATTTGGATACGCCGACCCCGACCATGACGCCGACTCCGCAGTAGGGCGGGAGACGTCAAGACGCGATGAGTGTTGGACAGTGTGGAAGGGAGGGTTTGCTTGCGTAGAAATAAGTACTTAGAGGATGAAGAATACGATACAATGGTATGATCAGGCGTGGATGAGGTACAGATAGGTCCATGGAAAGTGACTTCTCTAAATGAATGCGGTTCACCACTTGACTGCGAGACAAATGGAGCGGGTGTTTCTTTTGTTGCATCAATTGTAAGCTTGAATGGAACGAGAGCCAAATAGTTGGTGTTTGTCCGGAAGTTTACTGGTGCGAGTGATATCCCATAGTTACAAGTCAAGTCACAAAGGAAGCGTTTGTTCGTCATATCCATTCCAAGCAACACTTTTTGGAATCTACAATCTCGCGCCCAACAATCCAGCCAAGCAATTCTCTGAACGGAAATCCCAAATGCCCAATTATGAAAAAATAACACAAGCCGAAAGCTACAAGCACAAGACAGGGTAAAAAGCAAATCAGAGCTCATTTTTTGTTTACGACTGCTCGGGAGCGACAACCTCCTCCTCATCCTCGTCGAAAGCGGTGGGCGGGACCTCGTACAGTCGCAGGACGGGCTTGTTGGGGTCCTTGACGAGCACGTACTTGCCCTCGGGCATCTGCATGCACATGTCGACGATGGTGCGGACGATGCCCCAGCCGTTGTTCAGGTTCAGGTTCATCTGCGAGGCGAAGTCGCGAGGCTTGAAGGATACGACGCCGAGGATGACGTGGCGGTTGTTGTCCTTTGGTGTGGCGCGGGACACGAATCTATCATGATGCTATCAGTATGTGATGGATAGAATAAAAACGAGTGAGGAGGAGCATACCCGATCTTCATCTGGTTCGCGTTGGCCAGAATGCTCTGTGTTGTCCACCTGGCGAGCTTGCAAGAGTTGTTCTTCATCTCGGTGGCGACCACAGCTCCGAGCTGCGAGCTCAGCTTCTGCCGCCAGTTGAGGGCCGCACCGGCACCGGCCGCACGGTCATCGTACTCGTTCAAAGCCTTGATGGTCATGAACTGCTCGCCTCCGCCGGCCTTGGCGACAGCATCCAACTCCGTCCGGACGATTAGGTGCATGGGCTCCTCCTCATTCAGACTCAGGTCGAATCTCCTGTACTTGTAGGCCCTGCTGCCGAGGGGCTCGGTGTCCTCCTCGGGGTTGTAGAAGGGGTTGGGCTGCGGGAACTCGAATTTGCCGGCGCTCTCGTTCACGGTCTGGATGGCGAAGTTCTGGTTGATGAAGGTGGCCTCGAGCGACAGGGCCTGCGGTGCGTTCATGGCCTCCTTGTTGCCCTCGGACACATCCAACGGCGGATCGGTGGCGTTCTCGTTGACGGATACGTAGTCGATCTGCGACCCTTCACGCTTGTCGAGGAAGATCTTGTTGCCCGCACGCACGATGACGATGTCCCAGGGGTACACCGAGCGGGGTGCACACATGAGCATCGACAGAACGGACTCGGTAGCGAAGATGGTGGCTTCATCCTTTTGGGCCAGCTCCTGGATGACGGGGTCATCACTGGCAGTCGGGTTGAAGAACAGCCTATCCTGGACAGCCAGTCTCCGCTCGGCAGTCTTGCTTCCGGCAGCCTTCTCGTTGGCGCGATCGTAGTAGTGGAGGAAACCGTAGCTACCAATATCCTCGCCATCGTCGGTCTCCAAGTTCAGCTTCGCCAGCCTGTTGAAGTCGATCTCCTCAAGCATCTTCCACTCGGACTTGATCATGACAGACGCATCCCGGTTACGCTGCGGCTTATCCCAATCCTTCCAACCGAAACGGCGACCTCCACGGCCACCACCACGGCCACCGCGAGCATCAAATCCACCACGCCCAGTCTGTGCGCGCTGGAAGCCGCCACGACCACCCGGAGCAGCCCCGCCACGGCCACCACCAGTAGCCGCACCCCTCGCACCCCTTCCACGGAAGATCGTACCGCCGCCACGGCCAAAGCCCATTCTCGGCTTGGTCGACGTGCGAGTATTATCAACGACGGAGAACGACGCCTCGTCCTCCGCATGCTGGTACGAGAACAAGCTCGAAGTACCTGCACCGTAGATTTGCTGATCTATCCCGCCACAACATCATCATCAGCTCGTCGAGATCCCAACAGCTCCTGCCCGCGCATCCTCCACACACGCACCTCTGTAGTTGCGGTTGTAGCCCTGCCGGCCTCCCCGCCCGCCCTCGCGGTTGTCCTTGCCACTGTCCTGTGTCCAGTCGGCCATGCGGCCGAGTTTGTCGCCCTTGGAGTATGGTGCGTACGGCACTTCGTTCAGCGAGGAGTCGGTGGAAGCTGGGGGCCCCCATGCGCCGCCCTCGGAATCCGGGAGCGAAGCTATGAGCGATGAAAGCTGAAAAGACGGCGCCATGATTTTTTTCGATTTGGTGTTGGTACTATCGATTGAGAGTTTCGAGGGGTGTGGAGCGTAGTGGGGTTGTTGGTTTGAGGTTTGAATTTTGGAGGTTTAGTGCGCGATTGAAATCTTGGCGCGGTGGGGCATTTCGCCTCCACTTTCAACAGTCGTCACAATCACCATGCATCACCCGAGTTTTGAATACGAATTGAAATGGCTCGACTTCGATTTTACGGTTAACCTCACTCGTATGATCGAAGGAGGACTGGATTCTCCAGAGCCTTCTACCTATTCTAGTTTGTTCACCATTGCACCCTGGTGCCATATCAATTCCCAACCTGCAAAACCGGTACCAGACTCCGCAAATAAAAACACTCCATCAAAGCAATCAAACCAATACAGTCCTCCACCGTCAATCACAAGAGATGTCAAACATCGTCGTATACTTCATGAACGAGAATAATGTCAAGGGACAAGAAAACCGGAGGAACCATACCACCCGGAGGAACCAAATCAGATCGCACAAAACCCCTGGACAATAAGAAAATTGAACAGCCATTAAGCTGAAGGAAGAACGAGATATCAGGACCGAAGAAAGAAAAAAAAGCAACCCAAGGTAAATGGTAAACATTCCAACGCCATTGCCTTTGCCAGCTGAAAGGAAAATGAAAAAGGAAAAAGGAACACGCCAGCTAACCCAAAACAAACATATCTCTACAAGGATGGAGACAAGAAACATCAATCATACGGAACGCTTGATATAGCACTAATACATGCTACTCCCAGGCTCTCACCCACCCTATCACCGTCTCCCCTCGCTGCTCTTCGTCCTCTTGAGCTCAGGGGGACTCCATTTGACCCCTCGGATCATCTCCCCAATACTTCTGCTCTTGTTTGGTTTCTTCCCACCACTGATTGAATCCTCGTCGTCGGCATCGGCCTCCTCTCCCAATAGTCCTTCCTTGCGTTGCTTGCCCAACTTTTCCTTCTTCTTCTCCAGAGAGCTTCGCTTGCCTCTATTCTTGAAATCGAGAGGCGTGGATTGTGATTGTTCCTCGTCTTGGCTGGATGTGTCCTTGTCTTTCGAAGGCGAAAATATCATGCTGAACCTAGACTTTTCCTCTTTGACCGGCTGTTTCTGCGCAGCATCATATAGAAGGGAATTTTCTGCTGCAGAGTGCCCTCGATAGCCTGGAAGTGGCGAGCTCGATCTGCTGAGCGGTGATTTCAACAGCTCGACAGACGGAGTGCCAAATGCAGGTGTCGCAGTCATGGATGGAGGCAGAGGTATCATGTCCGGCAAAGACGGCAGTGTAGGGGTAGGGTTGTCGATCATCCCAGTGCTGACGTGCGTCGACAGCGGAGACGGAATCCTCTCCATGGCGTGCGACTGTAGTCTACCTGGTGCTGTCTCCTGGTGCTGTATATGAACGGGAGGTGACGGCAAGCTGACCGGTTCCGGCTCCAAACTTGATCCTTGAGGGGGATCCCAGTCATTTGTCCGAGAGTTGTTGCTGGAGATTGACACCGCGTCGTCGTCCAGCGGGAGGAATTGAGAAAGAAGCCGGGGTCTCCCACCGGACATGAACGGCTCAACCGTCGGCGACATCCTTCCATGCTGTAAGTCCAAGATATCGGACGGCTGGTTGAGATTGAGACCGAGCGACTCCTTCCGTTCCCCGAAAGCTGGTCGCTCAGGAGCTGGGGCCTTCCAGAAGCAGAGACGCTCCAATACATCGATAAGCTTGGACGGAGTCGCAGGCTTCTCCATCAGTTCGTCAAAGTGCTGCGGATCCGAGAGGTCCTTCAAGTAGCCGGTGACGGCGACGATGGGAGTGGCGGAATTGGGGTTCCTGCTCGTCCGGATCATTCGTGCAACATCCTCTCCATTGATCTGAGGGAGTTTAAATTCCATCAAGATGATGTCAACTACCGAGAGATGTTAGTTGATGCACACATAACCGCGGGAAGCACCATACATTTAACTTCGCCCATAGCATAGCGCATCGCTTCGGCGCCATTCTCCACCATGATAGTACGACACTTCAACTTCTCCAGAAGCCTCTCCATAACCATCCTAGAAACCGGGTGATCCTCACAAACTATATAAAAAAAAGGTTAGCCCAAGAGAAACAGAACAGTGAATAGAATAAGTTACCCAGAACGTCCAGCGGCCGGAATACTGGGCAATCTTGGAAGCTGATGTTCGACATCCTCCGAGCGCTCTGTCGTCGTCGCTGAACCCGAAGCAATGCAGTGCTTCGGACATCCTCGTTGTCGGAAGAGGAGGGAGACATATCGAATACCTGACTGCGCCGCTTTTGCTGTTGTCTGAAGGTGTCGACAACCGAAGTGGTCTCACTATCGGTCGAACCGACCGTGAGCGAACGTACACGTGGGTTGGCACTGGACGGAATCGGCTGCTTGTCCTGGTGGAACGTCTTGGTGGGCGAGGTCGATACCGAGGTTGGGGTGGACGGTACTGGCATTTTGTGCTGATGTCCCTGCATCTTTATGGGTGACGACGACGTCAATGACAATTTGGCTGTATTGGAGATGTGTGGAATGTCCACAAAAGGTTGTAGGGAAGAAACACTCGACTGCTGAGACAAATTCGAAGATCCACTTGCAGTTGACGCTTTTCTCTTGTCACTGGTCCCAGCAGTGAAGGACAACAGAAGCGGAGATGATGGCTGCGATACCCGAGCGGAAGAGGAGAGGTGGTTGGAAGGTGACACTGGCCGCTTCCCGCCATTCTTGGAGGAAGTCGACAAAGCTCTCCCCAGTGGTTTTGTGGAGGCGATGGGACTGACTTCCAGCGGAGACGAAGGGTTCGAAGTCGCCAGAGCAGGCGCGGACTTCAAGGCTTCGGTCTTCAGTTTCTGTATGACATCCTTATTCGCCTTCTCCAGGACAGGCAAGTTCTTGAAGGCGAAGTTTCCAAAGTCATCCTGGGCAACTGGCTCACTAAGCCTTCTGTTGCGGCCCTCTCGTACGTGAGGAGGAATCGACAATGGAATAAGTCCACGCTTATTCGAGCTGATCTCCTTCCTCACACGAGATACGGCATCATGAGGCCGTTCTGGGAGGTCCGCGCCGGGCGTGGAGCATGGTGTCGACTGATCGTCGAACTCGTCCGTGAAGGATTGCAGTGTTGCGCCTCGCGAGTCGAAGTATTCCGTGTCTTCGGGGTTCTGGGGTGTTGGAACAAACTGGGGTTCTTCTTCGAGTAAGGTCTCCCAATTGAGTTCCGCAAAGAAAGGATGCCTCCGCACCTCATCGGCGCCATTAACACCGAGTCTTTGGGTTTGGTCGCTGCACATTAGCCTGTTCATGATATCCTTGGCCTCCGGCGACGCCTCGTCCTCGTCTTCATCCGGCCAATCAATCTTCCGAGCCAGGATGTTCGCAAACACTTGCTCGGGCGTATCAGCGTGGAAAGGAGGATAGCCGTATAGAAACTCGAACAGGATGCATCCCAATGACCACCAATCACTCGTCTCGTCCTGACCAGTTCCGCTGATCGTTTCCGGTGCGAGGTAATCCGGCGTACCAACGAACTTACGATTGTTGTTGTCCTCCGGATTGAATAGGGCTAACTGAGGAGGCATCATCGACGGGGGTGCCGGCTGAACGTGACTCTGCTGGCTGGTGTGGGACGTTACGTGCTGCAGACCAAGTGCGCTGAAGTCGCTGGATGTGCTGCTTTCGCTCTGCGCATCCTCATCGCCAGTGGGGGTTCGCCGACTCGCAATCGCACTGAAGCAGTTCGGGTCGTTTAGATTGAAGTTCTGGAGCATAGTAGTCAAATGATCCGATCCACTATCGCTTCGAGGGTTCGAGGACCGCCTCAACGAACTCTCACGGCTCAGTGTGCCTTCCCGATTGAGACTGAAGTACGACGGGGTTACCAGCTGGGCGTTGCTGTCTGGCATAATGTTCGGGGTGATCGACGGCGAAGTGGCACCAGGGTAGTCGAATGAAGTCGACCGGGAGGAAGCCATTGACTTTGACCTCGCAAACGGACCTTGCTTCAACAGATCCGGAGTCGATTCCGACGATTGGGTTTGCGCTCGCTTCTGACGGCCAATCAAGCCCATTCGCGAAAGCCCGAAATCTGTCAACTTGAGATGCCCCTTCTGATCGATGAGAAGATTGTCAGGTTTCAAATCTCTGTGAATGATCCCCCGGCTATGCAAATGCTCCAAGCCCAGGACAACCTCCGCCATGTACTTTTTTGCCCATTCCTCGGGAAGTCCGCCCAAAACCTTGATGAGCGCGGCACAATCACCACCATTCAGGTACTCCATGACCAGGTAGAGGTAGTCTTTACTGGCAAATGTCCAGAAGAGCTTTGCGACGAAGTCGCTCTCCCCCTGCACCATCATGATTGCCCTCTCGGCTCGTACATTGGTGACTTGATTCTTTGCAATCATGTCCGCCTTCTTTAGAACCTTGATCGCGAAGTAATCTCCCGTCGACTTCTTCTTGGAGAGGTAGACGCTTCCGAAAGCACCCTTACTGATGGGCTTGATGATCTCAAAATCTTTGATCGAAGGCGGCACTGCACGGTTCTGCTGGGATGGGTTCACGCCCGATAGTCGAGGAGAGGAAGGTGTTCCGGATTTGACCTGATCGGACAGAGCAGCCGAAGACTGACGTCGATGGTGAAAGCCGTGGTCTGGACCCGGGGAGAAATCACCCGTGGAGAGTAAAGGTGATGTGATGGGGGTCGGTATGTTTTCGTACATGGATCCTCGAGGCTTGTTTATTCTCAAGGGTGATGATGAAGGCGCAATGCGGGCGGGAGACGGTTGCCGCTTCGGTGAATGGGAGATACTCGCGGAAGATTGGAAGGCGCTCCGTCTCTTTTCATTCCGTGAGCTGAACCGCATCGACAATTCGTGGTCCGATATGGGACTCTCGGTGGATGCGTGTCCGATGGCGGCGGCCAACGAAGATTTCGCGCTGGTATCGCTATCGGCCCCCTCGTTGTCGAACTGCATGCTCGACCGATGGCCATACCTCTTCCTGCGGCTAGTAGTCCTGTGCAAACTCTGCTGTGACTTTGGGGTCGAGCATTCCATCGGACTGGTCGTGCCCGATCCCGCAGGGGACGAATGCCTCCTAAACCTCTGTCCAGGCTCCGCCAGGTTGCTGTTGCTTCTCTGCAGAGCACCATTGAAGTCGCCCTCAAAGATGGATTCGTCTTCGGAACCGCCCGTGTAATCGTCCAGGTCCTCGATCGAAGACACCGACGCCTTCCTTAGAGCCTCGTCGATACAATCCTGCACAAGCATACTAAACTCCAGGCGTATCCTCTCCGAGTATTCTATGGTATTTCTATGTCGATAGACGGCCTCCACCTTGGCCCGAGCCGCAGCCTCGGTATCTTGGCACAGGAGAGCCAGTCCCTTCTCTTCCTCAAGGGTGTTTGTGGCGGGTGATTGCCATTGCATGACCTGGTTGACTCGGGCCTCCGACTCAGGGGACTGCGTTCGAAAGGTGCCCAATTCTACCGCTCCGTAACCCTCTTTGATTGCGGGTGTGCTAATTTCTAGGGCCGTGTCACAAAGATCAAGCAATAATTCAACGATGCGCACGAGTGGTCGACGCGGAGGACGCGATCTGGTTCCGGACGCCGAATGGTCCCTCGACCTGGGAGGTGGAGTGCCAGGGGAAGCAGTTCCCGAGGAAGATGAGGACGTTTGGGGACCGATTGGCAGTCCACGATATTCAATTGGAACAGGTGGTAGAGATTGCTCTCCCGACACTGGCCGCGTGATTCGTCGCTCCATGGCATCCAAGACCCTGACTATAGCTTGCCTGTGCATTTGCAGATTTTCCTGGCAGAGCTGAACATCGCTCTCCGCCTTGTGCTCTAACATACAGAGCTCCGAGTGCTTCTCAAACCACCATGGCTGAATCTGTCTCTCACATATCCGACATAGCACTGGCATCGGAGGTGGATGGTTCCTCGGATCAACAGCACCCTGCTCCGCGAGACTTGTCAGATACCGCGCCAACATACCCGCGCCGACGCCCAGTGATTCGACCAGGACCGGAGCGAGATCGATCGTGATTTCGGTAGGCTCGACGAAAGGGCGTACGACCCACATAGTCTGGACTCGTCAACAACACGCCATCGCAAGGTTTTCGGATCGGGGTGAAGCTCACATGGCTAGGCTCGCCAGTAGCCCGGTCGTAGATCAGAATACCTTGTCCTTCCAAAGTCAGAGTCGTCTGTTGCTCTTGCTGCTGCTGCTCGGGCATTTCGTCCATCTCGAACGCTTCGACTTCGGACTCTGTCGACTCTGCCGACGACTCTGTCGAGATGGCGGAGGCATCCTTGGAAAGCTTCGACATTGACCCCATGGCCACCGTGAATCTGAGCTTGAAACTCCTAGAATCGTCGCTCTTCATCGTCTCGACCGCTCTCTGGAACGCATCCTTATCGTCCACCAGTAGGTCCGCGATCGGCTGGCCTTGAATTGTGTCCCTGGAGGTTCTTTGAGTGGTCAAGATGGTCAGAAAAAGATCGAGAGCAAGCCACTAAACACGAGGGTCCTTCCCCCCCTCTCCGATCCCTCCACTCCACTCACCCGATAACGGTATCCCACGACGGACTGACCCATCGAACCTTGCCGTCCAGATTCAGGTCCATGATGACGTTGTAACTCTCCTCGGCCGCCTCCTTCAAGTCGTCTTTCTCGGCTCGCATCGTCATGCTGGGGCTACGCTCCATTGCTCGTCGTGTCAATTCTTCGTTGGCGGGAGGCGCGAGGGTTGCGCTGCCGCTGACGGTGCGCCTCCCCAAAAGTTCCGTTGCCATCATTTTCGGGGGGTAAACAGTGCTGGGATGTTGAGAGTAAACAAAGTGGTAGGTATAGGCAGGTGGTGGAGGGATCCGCTGAGGTGCCGACCCTACCCGTTGCTGCCTGTCTGTGTTGTCTGTCTCGATCGTGGACGTCCGGTTCCGAGTTTCGGATTCAGTCGAAGGGCGTTTGGAGTTCCGACTAGGAAGAAGAGGGATAAATTGCCATCGTTACTCAGGGAGTGAAGTAATCGCGATCACTCACTCGCGGGTTCGCGAGGTAGGTTGGAAGGGCACGTAGTGGGGGGAGGGTGAGGATGGGATGGGATCCTTTTTGGTTTCTTTTGGGGGGGTTGTGGGTTGTGTATGTAAGGTGAGGCTAGGGGGAGCTGTCTCGCAATGGATGGGAATCTGTCGCAGTTGTGGGAAGGTTTAGGTAGGAACGGACGACGAGAACGGAAGTAACCCTGTGAGGTGTAGAGTGAATGGGTGGTGGTGGGCGGGTGAGATGACGACGGACGGACGAGGAGAGACGGGCAACAATAACAATAGCAACACAGCAGCAGCAGCAACGGTAGCGGTAGCAGCAGCAACAGTCGACAGTCGACAGTCAACAACAACAACAACAACAACAACGACGACGATATCTAATCCAAAGTGGCACGCACTCCAAACGATCGGGTAAGTTGGTGTGTGTTTTCTTTCTTTCTTTCTTTCTTTCCTTTTTTTTTGCTTTTTTTGCTTTTTTATTTTTTGATTGAGGGAGGGTTTTTGAGGTGAAGGCGGGCGGGTTTGGGATTATTGCTGGGGGGTTTGGCTGGGTTGCTATGGGTTTAGCTCTGGAGAAGTGCCGACTACACCGATACGGAGCACACGCCTGTCGAAAAGGCGAGCAGGGGTTGGACGCAGAATAAATAAGTGAGGTGAGGCGAGGGAGGGAGAGAGGATGGAGGGGCGGGGTGAAATTGCTTTTGCTGCGGACGTGAGCGTGCGAGAGCTCTGTGGGGGGTGGGAGATTTGTTGGTTGGGTGAGTGAGGTGGTGGTGGTGGTGGTGGTAGTTGGTAGTAGTGGAGTGGTGGTAGTGGTGGTGAATGGGGAGCCTGAGGAAGTGGTGGGTACATATCATACACGCTCTGTCTGACACCAGACGCCGCTGCAGCAGCAGAAGATCTGCACGTCGTTGTCGGATATGCGGTATGTACCCAAGTATCTAGATTCTACCCTATGGACCCAAAATCAATTCCAGTGAACTCTATGTAGCAAAGATACTCTATCGCTATCTCAGCGGCGGGAACCACAGAATACCCACTGGCTTAGTTATGTGCTTTACTTGCTTGTTACTCACACACACCACCACAGTCGCGTCAAGCATGGCCCGCTGCATACATCATTGATGATTGATTTCGTCGAGTGCATGGACTGAGTTATGCAGCTATGGTTGGGAAGTTCATCTGATTGGCCAGGCCATCTCCGTGTAATAGCATGATGTACGGCTGGCTGGCTGGGCCACGAATAATAAGTCCAACCCAGAGTTGCCGCTCGACTGAGTACCTGAGGAACTAGTGTCGAGTATGCATACTCCTCTAGGTACCAGTATCTACCTACCTAGAGCAGCTTTGACCAAACAAAACAATGCTGAGAAACTCACGAGGCTGGGTATGTAGAAAAATGTGAGTGGCAGAGATCACTGGAATAGGTACACAGGTACACACATACCCAGGATGTTTGGTAAACTTTGGGCGAGGATTTTCGGAATTAGAGGTGGCTCACGTCAAAGAATTACATACACGCACCGTCGTCCTCGTGCCCGGACTCCATAGGCTCGCTCCACTATGTATGTGTTAACTACCCAGGTAGATGGTCCTGAAGTTGGCGGCTGGATGATGATACCCAAGTGCAGGATTTCGAACCCAAGCGGCAAATTTCACCAGATGGAGTGTTCCGTCTCGCAAACACAGTAACCACTCTATTTGGGGGGGGGGCGGAAGCAGAAGTCGAGAAGTCGGAGATCTTTCAGCATCCAGAAGTGTTTGCCCCCATCATCCATCAATGATGGGCGGTAACCACCATAGCATAACCACAACGTGACCTGGGGAACGTCAGTAATCGCCAGGATTCATCACCAGAGCGGTTAGCATCTCCGACCACCTACCGGTTCTCCCTAGGTACTCTAGACGTCGGCCGAGGTGGTACTAGTACACAGTACGGTTACATAACTGCGTGCGAGCTTACATAGAGCATGAGTATTCTAGGCATTGCAGTCTGCAACCATGCGGGTGGTGGGGGGAATAATAAGCTTTGAAGTTTCTTGATGTATCATGCTAATTCGTACAAAGCCCGTGTGTATCCGTATGATCTGTAGCACGGTGATAACGAGGTAGGTGCTCTAGGTAGGTGCTCGATGACGATGCCGACGTCGACCTCTCACAGAGGCCGGCCGCGAAAAGTGAAAGTGAAGTTTGAACACGCATCGAGCGAACGAACAGTTCAGATGATAACTATCCTTCTGGTGCACCCAAACATGATCTCGAAACAACCGCCACCCACATATGGGGCAATGGCATGGGCAGTTCAGTTAGCAGTGGGCAGTTGGGCACTGGGCAGACCTAGTCCAGACGGCCACTACTCTAGAGTAATACATAACAGCAGACTCGACCCTTTTCCACAGGCTCTAGCTGTATGCGGAGCATTGGTGGGTGCGCAACGACTGACGAGCCCTTGACTGACGATCTGTGTTCTGTGTTCTGTGTTCTGTGTTCTGTGTTCTGTGGCACAGCACAGTTCGCTGTTCGATTCGAGGCCTCCGAGTTCCAATTCCATTCCAGCACTTTCCGTGCGTGCGTTGCGTGCGATGCGATGTCGGTAAACTTCTCACTTCTCACTTGATTCATGTATATGCCGACGCGACGACGACGCCGTTCCGTGCCTCGGGAACGTGCACTTTCTTCCTCCCTTCCAAAGCGTAAAAACCCACCCACGGATCCGGATCACTACCTCGTTGCAGCATCGTCAACGCGCGGGAGCTCTGCATTCCTTCCTACCTATGATACCTACTCTATCATGCCAACTCACGGTACCGTATGTACTACATACCACCCTACGAGCTCATCACGGGATACGCCCACTGTGGCCAGAATTTCCTCCTACATATCATGGTCGATCCTCCGCCGAATCCTCCTCCGCCTCCTGGATCATGAAACACGTCGAAAGCACAGTGCTGCGACATTCCAGGCTCATCCTGACACGGGTCGCCAGCATCGTCCGACTGGCCGGTTGGCAGGCAACTACCGTAGGTACTAGGTAGCTGCTCGCTCTCGAAGTGCACAAAGTGACGCAGCCACTCACTCACTCACATGTGCTGTCAGAATTGAATACATACAAAGGCGATTCACGAAGCGGTATCCATCCATCCATAGAGCACATACGGTATGTGAGTACCTAGGGCATGTAGAGCACCTGCGTGCTCCTCGTAATTGGGGCACTCCTTCGCAGAGCTGTGTAGCATAAGTTACGACGTTTCGCTTGCGATGGGATTCGCGATGGGATTCGGGAGGGGAGAGGGGGTGGGAGCACGCAAAAGCCTCCCGCTGATCCCACAAACGGCCCTCACATGTCGGAGGTAGGGGGCGGCTTTGTTTGCTCCATCGCGGTGGTCCCATTCATCACCATCTCCTCCTGCTGCTCCTCTTCCGCAAACTTACTTCGGAGCGAATCCGGAGGGCAATGGTGGAGGGTGGCGGCGGTGGAGTGATCCCACCCGCTGCGTGTGGTGCGAATGGCGTCTAGGTAACCGGGTCATGATGTAGAGTGTGTGGAGTATGTGGAGTAGCCGTCAATTACCAAGAGCAGCTGGCCGGTCTGGGACGATAATCGAGATTCGAGATCGAGCGCCGGTTCTGTGGACTCTGGACTCTGGAGACCAGGCCGCGGTGCTTGAAGAGATCCAAATATCCAGCGGCCCAGCCTATCTAACAGTTGGTTGGTTGGTAGAGTACATAGCTGACGACGGCTACCGTACGTACCCCGATTTCGAAGCCTCAGGACACATCGAGTGATTCCAGACACCGTCTTCGTCGTTGCCGAGCGAGCCGACAATTGCATATGCACTTACCCACACAGCTATCCAGAGCAGCGTGCGTGAGTTCGTCCAGATCTCCATCAAACCCCTGACCATCACCACGACCATCATCATCATCATCATCATCATCACGACCATGCTTTCGTCCCATGCACCCGTGAGTGTGTGTGGACCTTCGCCTCAATGGCTGTCTGCCCACCTGCCTTGCCTGATGATCATCTCTACGACGAAGGCTTTGTCATGCTTGAGTCCGTGCACCCATCACCGCGCGCGCTGCTTTCTTCCGCCCGTCCCCAGCTGGGACGACCGAGGGCCCGAATCGCTCAAGGTTTGAGGGTGCATCGAGAGCATGCACCCACACACCCAGCCCACCCACCAGCCAGCCAGCCAGCCCATCCAACACACCCAAATTCCAATGCAATGCAGCCAGCCAAGTCGGCCAAATATAGCAGAGCCCATGGTTAGCGCAGGCTCAGCAATGAGCAATCATCAATGAGCATACATGTCAAGCTTCTAGGCCCTATGTAGAGTAGTTGCCTCCGCCCCGCCGCGCCTCTCAGGAGGGCAGCGATGTAGAGTACACAGAGTATCTAGATACACATGCGCTCCACTCTACAGTATCGAGGTACTTGCCTACCTCTTACCTACATTCTTACTCACATACCCACTCACTCACTCACCCCGTCACTCACTCACTCTACTATCTATCTCTGCCCCTACCAGGCCTACATATCACACCTACTCTACCGTAGTCCGCACACGGCCGTGTTGCACGACACGACGATGGCGGTCATGTGGTGCACCGCAGGTCCACAACTGCCTATTGGCTGCCAGCGAATGGATATTATTATCAGCGATCCCCGCACGCATCCCGCCGGAAATCTCGCGACCACATAAACGGCACTGGCCGGGCAGGCGTGAGCGAGCGAGCGATTGAGCCTGGCTTCAAATTACTGCGGCGGGAGAGACAGACAGCAATCCACCCATCCACCCGCCGCCTCTGCCGCCTCCCCGACCACCGCGGCCGCTACGCCACGCCACGACTACGCCCGCGACCACGACGATAAAGTCCGATGTGAGTGACAGTCACTGACTGTCGCACGTACTCTGTGTATGTGGGGTGGTGAATCCGCTCTGCTCGGCGTATGGGCACCCCCAGGATGGGGTCCTCCCCCAGGCTAACGCATGTAAGACCAACTTTGGCCGGCCGCACACCACACTGTGACACTGGCACACCCAGATATATATGTCGAGCGTTCGGGAGTCAGTCAGTCTGGACAGCCAAAAGAGACGGTATGTACATAGAGTATATATGGCGGCGGCGGCGGCGGCGGTGCTGATTGTGCTGGTGCTGCTGCTGCTGCTGGTGTTTCTGGTGCTGATGCTGGTCACAAAGCAAGATTCTTCCGTTGTGCTGGGTGCGTGGGTGTGTGTTATTCTTCGGGAAAGGAGGAGGATCTCCTGGCTGATCGGCCCAATGACTGTCATACTGTGTATCTAATGGGTGGGTGGGTGTGTCTCGGACAGTGCGCCAGGCACAGCTCCTCCTCCTTCTCCTCCTCCTCCACCCAACTCTGTATCTATATCTCCTTCGGTCCTCCAGTTGCTTACGTCTCGGAGTCCTGCTCCGCTCGGCGCTGACAACTTTGACTTTGACTTGACTTGACTTGACCACTCTATCGCCCCCGGCAAGCAGTGCACATGCGAATGGATGGATGGATGGATGGATGGATGGATGGATGGATGGATGGATGGATGGATGGATGGATGGATGGATGGATGGATGGATGGATGGATGGATGGATGGATGAATGAATGCATGAGTGTATGCGACTCTCGCCGTTCAATGCCGCATGTGCCGTCACCAGCACCAGTACCGACCGAAGCCCATCCAGGAGCATTTCCACATGAAATCAGCGCGGCAATCAACTGACTGCGGCCTGTTTTGCTATCTCCATCTTCCATCCTCCATCGACGGACTTTGAGTTGAGGGGAGGGGAGGGCATACATATCGAGAAAGCCTTTTTACATACGCTCCGGATCCCCCAGGCACCAGCGGAGTTCTATTTCAAAGCTATTCGTTTCTTTCTTGGCGTATCTCATATCTATCTACTCCGCCTACCGTATGCTATCTACATATCTGCACGGCCCGCACGCATGCACGCCTAGTTGGTTAGCAAACAACCCTAACTAGAGTATCTACTGCACCCCTCATGACGGAACGTCATCATCAGCAATCATTCACCCCACCCGCTGTTTCGCTCGCTCGCTCGCTTTTCGGCTGTTTAGGCGTCTGTTCCGCGCGCGCCCTATGTACGTATGATATGTATGATATGTATTGTAGGTATTGTACTCCTAGATCCGGCATCCGTCGTACATACCTAATGTATCACACGACGAGAGAAAAAAAAACAGTAACAGTGCTAGCAAACGTAACTACTCTACTGCCGTGGGCCATGAGACTGTGAGCCATGAGACTGTGAGCCATGAGACTGTGAGCCATGAGACTGTGAGCCATGGGACGGAACTGTGATTGCTTGCTTGCTTGCTGATGAGGAGATGAGGTGGGATGGCTTCGCGGAGTTCTCACGCCGTGCTGCGCTGTGCTGCGCTGTGCTGCGCTGTGCTGCGATATTCTCGTGCCCGTGACTGCTCGAGTCGTGGATTCCGTTGAAACATGTACAACGGCGGTCGAGAGGGTGCGGTAGGTAGGGCTGTAGATACGGCATTCACGGTAGCGAGCGAGCGAGTCCCGTCCCGTTACCGCTCCTCGGTGTGCGATGCGATGCGCCTCGCCGCGGGCTGCCAAAAGCCAAAAGCCAACGGCATCCATGACATCCATGACATCTATGGCATCCATGAGTGCGCTCGATTTCTGGCGGCTCGAGGCTCGAGCATGGGGGCTGAGATAGTTATCCGCTTCAAGTCTATCATGAGGTGGGGGGCAGAGGGGGGAGAAGGGCAGAGGGCAATTCGTCGGGATACCCACATCCGTCTCCGAAAAACCGGATGCCCAGCTGCAGTGTTATTGGTCATGGTCATGAGTTCTGCGGGGCCACATGATGTATAGTCGCTTTTTTCGTCTCCGTGTCGTGAAATCGCGATCCGTCAAGGCTTCGAGGTTGTTTCTTGGGCTCCATCTATGTAGAGTACCCACTTCTCCCTACATACACCGCTAGTTACGGTACTCAAGAGAGTCGAGAGATCCGCCACATCACGATGCTCGCAGCTCGAGAACGCGAACCAAGATACTAGATACACGTATGTACCGTATTTATATTATCCCCACGTCCGAGCCGAAGGAAGCAGACAGTCCACCGGATGTACTCCATAGCCAGCCAGTCGGTGACCTCTGCGAACCCCAAAGCCACGGGCTCCTCCGTCCACATACTTGTCACTAGCAGCATTGGTTCGTTAGCACACCTAGCCCACGATCAAGATCGATTGCAGCCATCCACCTGCATCGTAGTTAGAGTAATAGATACCCCCCCATATCCCCGTATTGGATTGCCTCTGCCCGCCCGCCGAGAAGAAAAGAACCTTTCCCTCCAGTATGTACTCTATCTACCAATCCCTATTACCTACCGCCATGGTCAGGATTGGTTCGCAAGTACTCCAGGCAGAATTCCCCCCAACTAGCGGCGGATTTTTGCGTTCGTTTGTTTGTTTCCCCTCCGGCCACTGCCGCGGAACCGCTTCGATCACTGCTGTAGAAACTTCGATCTGAATACTGCGTCCAGACATACCATACCATACCTAGAGTACCGACGTCCCGCTGTCCGGATTTCCTTCTCTGGATGGTTGGATAAGTACCGGTGGACCGGTGGTAGGTGAGTAAGATGGAAGTAGTATCTTACTTGGCCCTGTGGGGATTTTTTCTTTCGTTCGTTCTTTCTTCCGGAATACTCTATGTATGGTAGGTATGGGCCCAAACGGAACTTGGCGTTTTCACCCCGAGACCTGCAATGTGTAGTTTCCGCGTATCTATATATGTATGTGAGAGAGTGTGTGCGGACTGACTGTTCGACACCCTCTTGCACGAGCAGGCAGCGGACGGACTTGAAGCTGCAGATATGTAGAGTTGTTACCCCACCTTCCGATGGAAGGGAATGGCATGGCATGGCATGACAAGGCTTCCACCGCAGCAGCAGCAGCAGCAGCAGCAGCAGTCATCGCACCATGTCGGAAAGAAGAAGAAGCAAATCCGCCTGCCTGACTGCGCCGGCGGGATTTGAAAACGAAGCGGAGAGGGCCAATCGGCCTGGTCAGCTACGGTATCGCTTGCTTGCTATCTATCGTGTGGTGGAAGATTGCGTTTGGTTTTGAAGAGGTGTGAGGAAGTGTGAGCTGCTGCTGGGTTGTTCCCCGGTTGATGGATTGTGACGGATTGTGATGCTCCTCCCCGTGGCTATGGGTCTGCCAAGTCGGGACCGCGGTGGAATGCCTCAGTGCTTATGTTAACTTGCCTGTGGAAGAAGTACTCTACTATCCATCTACAGAGTGGAGTTGCTAGAGTACCTCTACCGTACTACAGCTACCCCAGATTCGCTCTCCTCCCCCCTCCGCCAACCCTCTGTATATTGCCTGGGACATGGTCGCTCTCCCGCCTCACTCGCCCCTCGCCCTTTCCCGTCCCCGTCCCCATTGTTTCAACCACGTCCCCTCAATCAAACAATCAAACACTCAATCGAGCAAAGTGATCAGCACCCCCATAACTATCCCCGTGTGTACGTACCTACTCCAGACCCCGCGATCTGCGGTGCACATCATCACGGGCCATGCTCTCGTCTCTCTCGTCCTGCACTGAAATGCACCCCACCCCACCCAAGAGATACCATATGTATGTAACTAGAGCAGAACAGAGCAGAGCAGAGCAGACAAGAGTAGATTGAGGCGCCGCCCGCCCGTTCTCATGGGGTAAACACTTTCGTCATCTATGCTCGCTGTGTTGCACGGCGTTTTGGTGCACTTGCACTCTATTCTCACCACCACCACCATAAGCAGCAGCAGCATCACCATCGCAACCACCACCACAATGACGAGCGATAGCGAGAAGTCACGCCCGTTTCCGGTGGCGGACTGGATCGCAATTGGAATTGGATTTTGGCCTGTGCTGGTGGGCGGAGGAGACTCCTACTAGGTACTAGGTATTCTAGAGATTGAATCGGCAGAGGCGACTCAGGCTCCATGGATTTGCAGTGCCATCTCCAGTGCGGTCAATGCCCTTCGGATCCCCTTCGGATCTACGCTAGGGCCGAGACATGGGCTCGAAGTGGCCGCCGGGCTTCTATACTGTGAAGCCTGGCTTCCATCCGATCACTGACAGCCGACTGGCAACCGACTGGCAACCAACCAACCAACCGCCGCCGTCAGCATCATCACAACCACCACCACCATCACCACACCTTCACTGGCCGACCATCCATCCGTCAAAAGCCGCGATGCGGTCCCGTCCACAGGCCCCGTCCACTGCACAGGCAAAACCGAAACGAAACGAAACGAAACGGATATGATTGGTCCGAAACGGTGCAGCGCACCCCACTCCATCCACCCCACACACAATGCTATGGTTGACGCCACTATGTAAGAGGTAAGAGATGCAACCAGATCGTCGGCAGCTGTAGTAGCATTGGCACTGTGCAACACAGGATATAATCAGAATAGCCGGTCCGAGAGGTTGGAACTTAGAACTTAGAACTGTATCAGGCCCCCAGGGAGGGTAGGTATGTAAGTAGGTAGCAATGAGGGCTCAGGACTCAGGACTTAAGCAGCGGCGGCAGCGGCGAGGCGGCGAGCCTACAGACTACAGGGTTTCCCAAGCTCGAGCTCCCTTTGGTCCTATCTTGTCTTGGTCTTGTCTTGCCGCTGTTCCGAAGTGCAAACCTCGAGCGTCCTCATCGAACTCATCATCGAATTCGTGGTTGCATCTCTTACTGTCTTCAAGCGTACTATACACACGCTCCGGTTTCGTCTATAGCATTTACCCGTCACTGGTTGTTCCCGATGCGAACGGATATTAAGGATATTAATACGGCAAGAGATGGCTATTATGCGATTATAGGGGGGTAAGGCCAGGTGAGGGTGAGGGTGAGGTGGGATGATGTGGTGCCATACCATTGCCATTGTCGTGTGTGCCCCCCCCCCCCCCCCCCCCACATCCGGGTGTATTGACGGACCACGAGGGCATCAACCTATGTGTGGAGAGTCAGGACACTTATTCGATTTGCCCGGAGCGTGTGCGTGTGTTACAGCCAGCCTGGTTAGGGGGCCGGGCCAGCTAGGGTACGGTACGGTATGTGCGGTGGTGTCGCATATATCCCTCCCGCAGCCCGCTGTAAGCTTGTAAGCCTGTAAGCCTGTAACCACCCGCTGCTCTGCCGTGGATGAGGGGGGTTTTTAGAACTATGAACGTAGAGCATGGACTTCTTCCGGCCCGTCTTCGGTACTACGTATGGGATGGGTTCATGTCAGGAGATCTGACGGCGGAGTCCTAAGCTGGAGTATGTATGAGCCTATAAAACTTGAAGGACGGGAGCGTGGATGCGGCATAGAGTGAGCACATATGGATATGGCCCGCATGTAGTATCAGACGATCCACGGGGGGTAGAAATCAAGCAAGTAACCAGACCACCTCGCCCATCCGCGTCCTGTACCTACTTTATCTCGAGATATCACTCGATCACGATTCATGACTCGAAGTCATGTAGATCCCAATTCCCCAATTCCTCATTTACGGCCTCCCCTAATCCAGCTCCAGCTCCAGGAAGAACTCCAGTCTCCCCCAATAATTCTTCAGGGCTTACGAACCGCTTCAAGGAAGGGTCACACGCAACTCAACTCAATCAGGAATTCGCGGGACACGAAGTTGCGTCACGAACTCACGGCATCATGATGACGCCTGCCTCTCTCCGCGTCAAGCGTCGTCGGGCTGTTCCACCTTCGAGCTAATGTTCCAGGCTCCAGGCTCCAGGCTCCATGTTTCAGGTTCTGGTTCTAGGTCAACATGGAACTCGAAACCTGAAACCTGAAAAAATTCCCCGTGCGGTCTGATCAGTGATCACAATACGAAGCCAACATAGTGCACTCAATCACATCACTCGTGAACCGCAATGGCGGCCCGGGCTTTGCATCCCTCGTCCCTCCTCCCTCCTCCTCGCCGTCGGGCCTCATGCCTCGAGATCTGCACTGGTTGGGGTTACGGTAGTGATCAGCGGGATCAGCCCGCCTATCAAACATGTGTGGAATGGCACAGAAAAGGGCTTGTGGGCACTGGGCGCTGGGGGTAGAGTTAGAGTTGGCCACTGCACTCCACTGTGGTACTGCACTGAACTGCACTGCTGAAGCCTGAAGGAGGTGGAGGTGGAGGTGGAGGTGGAGGTGGAGAGGTGGAGGTGGAGGTGGAGGTGGAGGTGGAGAGGTGGAGGTGGAGGTGGAGGTGGAGGTGTGCCGTATGTAGGCATAGGCAGATCTCAGAGCACAGTGCACAATCGACGCCGCCCCCGACCCGACCCCGTACGTGGCAAACCCAATCCGATCAAGCGCTGAAGATCCATCTCTCCCTGTCGCTGTTGGCTGCCTTGCTTTTTTGGCCGTCCAAGTTGGTAACGACTGACGAGAAGGGAAGGGATGGGATGGGAAGGGATGGGTTGGGAAGGGATGGGTTGGGGACAGCCCGTATTCAGGGCACGAAAGGTGCACTGCTTGCTTGTTCCCTCACGGCTAGGTTGCAAGTTGCGTAGGAACGCAAGGCAGGATTGATGTTCTCCGGAGTGGCCAGTAGGTAACCAGTAACCATTTGCGGGGAGGAGCGCGGAGCAGATCGACCCTGGATTCCCCCGTCGCCGTCCCCCATCCCCCGTCCCCTTCGCCCCCGTGGCCCCGTCTCCCGTCCCCTTCCTTCCTTCCTTCCTTCCTGCCCTTCTTCCGGTCGTGCAATCAGCGCCAATCACGTGCGGACATATCATGGGATGGGATGTCGATCTGTCCTGCAGGCAGCCAGTGATCAGCGTGGTTGCCACCATCGATTGGCGGGAACCGAACAGGACAAGACAGGACCGGACCTGGCACACAAGCGAGCGAACGGGCGAACGAGCTGCCGCACTTGTGGGGAAGGGAGTTCCGTTCAGTCAGAGACGGAGCTTTCGTGCCGTAGTGCGGTAGTTACCGCTGTTGGCCGGATGGGCGAGAACTCGTGTAGTCAGAAGTTGGTGGGCGGTGTGCACTTGTGGTAGGTATTGAGCGTTTGTTTGTGGGAAAGGTGGCTCCGCTTGGAAGTATGGTAGGTAGCTGAGAGAATAGGATATGTCACTCTTCTAGGTGCTGCTAGTGGTGGTGCTTTCTATTCGCTCGACCTGTTGGGTGGGTGACCGTGAATTTCACGGTTTCGCACTCGCACTTCCGCATCCAACGAGTCAACGATGAAATGGAACACCGTCCCAGCGTGAATGACAACGCCTGAGCCAAGCGCGACCTAGAAGCTGCTGGGGTGGCATCCGGAGCGCAAATAGGCGGATATCTCGAGGCCATATGAAGTATTTGGAGACCACTGGTTAATCATGGAAACTCACCAGTACTAGTGACTGTTTGTCGCATTAGGAGGAAACAAAGCTTGTCTGCTTTGTAGCGTACAACTACGCTATCTACTCGGAGACGCCAAAGATCTTCTGATGGGTATTTCAGCGTAGATTCCATCAGACCGAGCTCATCAGATTGTGTGCTTTTCGAGTGAAACTTTGTGATCAGATGTCCCGAAAACATTTTTTGGATTTCGTTTCGCCACATATAGATGCAGTAGGATGGTAGATTCCAGTATTCTAGAAGATTGTTTTGCGTATGAAATAGTTGAATGACTACTGGTATGTAGGGGCGAGCGACAGTGGATGAATGGATCCGGGAAGCTTGAGCCTCAGGATTTGCGCTAAACCTAATATAGGGTGTCGCGGGGTTGTAGTTCACAACTGGTGGTTCACCCGCAACAGCTCCAGCAGCTCACGACATTTCTCTCTAGACTCCCCCACGCCCCTTTCCGGCTGACCTTCTCTCTTTCCCTTATCTTCTTCGACACAAATATAATGGCTACTCCGGAAATACTCTCGCAGCTGAGCTCGCTCGAATCGTCATCAACTTCGCAAGCCGACAAAGCTACGGCCTTCACGTCGCTGCTTCACACCATCATAGCCAGCTCCTCCCCCGACCAACTCGCGTCAAACCTCACCGCCCTTATCGATGCGATCCTCTCGGAAAATGTCGGAATCGTCACATCACGGCCGGTGCTGGGAGAGTGCGTAACCGCCATCCGCAAGCTCGACTCAGTCGAGATCAAGAAAACCGTCTACGCCTACACGCTCGAGAAGCTGCGCCCCAAGATCATTTCGTTCGAGGAGCAGGACTGCAACATCCGCGAGGCGCTGGCGGATATCTACGAGGGCGAGGAGGAGAACGGGGATGCGGCGAAGGTGCTACAGGGGATCCAGTTGAATCCGCATCAGAGGCAGATATCGGACGAGTTTAGATTGAAGGTTTATATCCGCATCATGCGCAATCTGCTGGAAGACGACGAGGCTATCAGTGCCAGTGACTACCTGAACCGCGCCACGCTGCTCATCCATACCTGCGCCGACCCCGCCGTCAACCTGCAGTTCCAGATGTGCCAGGCCAGAATCCTCGATTCGAAGCGGGACTTCCTCAATGCGTGCTCCAAGTACCACCAGCTTTCGTTCTCCCCCATCGTCGAAGATGCGGACCGGATGCAGTGTTTGTCCGCTGCTATGACGTGCGCTATCCTGGCTGGTGCAGGCCCGCTTCGCTCGCGATCGCTGGCGACCCTCTACAAAGATGAGCGGTCGCCGCAGCTGCAGCCAGACTATTCGCTGCTCGAGAAGATGTACCTCGACCGACTTCTCACGCAGAAAGAAGTAGATGAGTTTGCCGCCAGGCTGCGGCCGCATCAGGTCGCGAGAATGTCGGACGGAACGACAGTGCTGACCAAGGCCGTCATCGAACACAACTTGCTCGGCGCTTCGAAGCTTTACAACAATATCGGCGTCGAAGAGCTGGGAGTTCTGTTGGGATTGTCTGCTGAGAAGGCGGAGGAGTACGCGGCAAGGATGATCGAGCAGGGACGGTTGAGCGGACAGATTGACCAGATCGATCGGCTCATCTACTTCGATTCCACGACGTCGACGGGTGGTGCTTCGGCGGAGAAGGTCGTAAGTAGACAGCTGAAACGCTGGGACGAGAACGTGAGCGGACTGGCACAGGCGGTGGAGAACATCACCACCATGCTGCAGAACGAATATCCGGTAAGTCGATATCCGTCCCCAGACTGAGAATCTAGCTGATGGGAAATACGGCAAAAAGGATTTCGTCGCTGCCAATCTTGTGCACTGAGGCAATGCGGGTATCGTGATGCAAATGGCATGGCTTTGTTTCAATGCGGGGGTTAAGGCGTTTTACTACGGTGTATTCAGTGCTCAGTATACTACACAATTTACATTATGGCCCTGTGCGATATCTGTTAAGCATCACTCTATTCATCGTGATCATCATCATCCAATGAATACATCCCGTCAACCCGCCAAAACGGCTTTCCACCCAGCCGCCAAACCAAACCCCTCTCTTCGAACTCTTCCATCTCGGCTTCCCTCCTCCTCTCAATCTCAGCTTCACCCACTCTCTTCATCTCCTCATCCACCTCACGCCTCTCCCTCTCCTCCGCCTCCTCCCTCTCCGTGTTCTCCCTCTCCTCCGCCTCCTCCCTCTCCGTGTTCTCCCTCTCCTCCGCCTCCTCCTTCTCCGTAATCTCCCTCTCCCTCCGCAAAATCTGCTGTTCCTCCCACGCCCTCTCCTCCTGCTCCTCACGCTTCAGCACCCCATCTCTCCACTCCCTAAGCTCCCTAAACCCCTCAACCTCCATTCCCTCCAGCATCTCCTCCGTCGCCCACCAGCCAGGTCTCACATTAGGATAAAGATTCAACAATCCCCACTCCGCGGCCATGCCCTTGTCGAGCTTCCGCAACCTGTGGGTCTCCGTATCTTCCACATAATTGCGATTGACCTTCGCGCCCCTCACCAGCACGATCTCGCCAGGCCGCGGCCGGAACTCGTCGATATCCCGCCACACGCTGATGATGGCGTGGTGCCTGCTGGGCGGCCGCCCCGGCCGCGAGTCCGAGCCCAACGGGTCGAGCAGCGGCAGCGTGTCGTCGATAAGGTACCAGTCGCTCTTCCTGACTCTCCGCGCGTCGCGGCGCGCGGAGACGACGACCGCAAGGAAGGTTATTTCCGCTATATACACGTGGGTGTGGTTAGGTGGGTGCGGGGGCGGGGTGGCATTGAAGCTGGGGGGGAGGCTAGAGGGGAGGGGAGGGGAGGGGGAGAGGACTGGTGTCCGGAAGCGTCTTGAGCGCGCTGAGGGGGGTTATCGACGTGGGGAATTGGGAGTGCGGGTGCGAGTGCGAGTGGTAGTGGGAGTGCGGTGTGCCCTCACTCTGTTGCGTCCGTTGGACGGCGGACGACATCGTGAATTTCCCGGTGGTGGTGGTATTGCTGGTGGTGTTGCTGGTGGTGTTGCTGGTGGTGCTGGTGTTGCTGGCGATGATCGCCGCTGCAAGCTGCGGAATGTACCATATGTACCGGCAGAGCGAGCTGTTTGCCCTAGCTATGCTACGTATGTAAGCTTGCACCTGCAGAGACCAATGATCTCACGATCGGCAGCCAAGGGACGGATGCGCAGGTAAGCAGCGAAGGCGGTTGTGTATGCAATCCGAGGTCTGTGCGCTGCCTCTGCAGATACCAGTTGGCAAGTTTACGTCGGTCGGTCGGTCGAGAGATCGTGATATGGGATCGTGACGATGGCCTTCACTTCCAAAGTGCCATTCCTCACTTCACTACTCCACAAGGAGAAATCCGAATACGCGGGCTAGCAAAGCAAAGCACATGCCAAAGAAGCAGCAGTAGATAGAATTGGTAATATCATACGCCATAACTCCACAACCCAATGCAGACAGAAACAGGAGAAAGAAAAGAATCTAGAGACGTAGATATACAGCTCGGCAAGAAACAAAAGATATTCGTGGAAACAACAATGGCAGCAGCTCCCTCTCCCCCTCATCCATCTATAGCTCGGACTTTGCCTTCTTTTCGAGGTCGCTCTTCCACTCGTAGAGACGCGCACCGGGCTCACGGTTGAGGAGTTTGTACATTACGTCCCTGAACTCTTGGTACCCCATGGTGAGGCTGTGATATATCCAGTTAGCGGTAGTCCAGTGATGTGTTGGGAAAGATGTGGGAACTTACAGAATCTTCGGCAGCTCGTACCAACTCCTAATCACGAACCAAAAAGTCCTCCAGACGAGATTCCATTCCGCCCAGAACTCTTCGCTAAAGGTGGGAGGGGGTCTCTTCGGCCTCTCCTCTTCGTCACCGAGCTCTTCGATTCTCGCTTTCTTCGCAGCCTCCTGCTCTGCGGCAGCGGCAGTGCTGTTACGGAGCTCCCATAGTTCCTGGAATTTGGGGAGGACAGACAACGAATGCGAGACGCGGTCGAGGGTATTGATGAGTGCTACCAGCTCAGTTCTTCGCAGCGGCGGGTTCTCGGAAATATCCTTGTTCTCGTCGAACTCGAAGAGGACCTTGAGAGCCGTGCCGTAGCCCTGCGTCTGCACCTTGCCCCAGAGGCGACACTTGTCGCAGCCAACACAGTCCATCACTCGGCTGACGTTGCGGAAACGGTTGCGGAAGTCCTCCTTTAGCACTTGCGCATCTTCCTGGAACATGATGCTCTCGTCGAAGATCGTGGACTCGGCGGGGATGGCGTTGGCGAGTTTCAGGACTTTGGCTTTGGTGAGCCGATTCTGCAGGTGGTCGCCGGAGCAGAAGGTATACTGCGGGAAGTAGTTCTTGAGCTTCTCGACGGCGCGGAGGAGGATTGCGTAGTTGAAGTAGATGTTCTGAATACGCTCGGGATGGCCGCGGAAGCGGTTGATGAAGCAGTCGAGATTGGGACTCCACAGGCCGGTGGTCTGGTTCAGGTAGTCCCAGCAGAGGTGAACGGAGATGCTGGAGTGCATGCCCGAGATCACCCTGTAGAAAACACGCTTCTCGAGGCACTCATCGTCGACTTCGATATCCTTAAGAGCAGCCTGACCGTCCTTGCCGCGGAGCTCGTGTGTGAGCTTGTCCTGCATGACATCGACGAAGTCCTGCTTTGCCTGACTGATGCCCTCCTCGCCGGCCGACTGTGGTTTCGAAAAACAGTTCTCGCGGTAGATCGACTTCCATACGTTGTCCGCGCCAGCACCCGCATACCCTGTGAACCGCTCAGGATTGTCCACAAGACTGACATAGTCGCCGTTGCTCCCGGTCTCATCCTCAGGAACACAGTAGTCCCTCTCGTCGCACTCGTCCTCTTCGACAACACAACTCTCCTCGGTATCCTCACCCAGCTGTCCACCCAGCGGACTCTCCGTCGCCTTCCGGTTGTTAGCCGGATGCTTCGCTTTTGGCCCCGCGAGCTTCCCCAGCTCCTCCGCGCGCCAAATTGGCGGAATATCCTCCTCGTTATCGATCGTATTCACGGCGCACGCGATGTTCGCACATATGCCTTCGTTATCGGGCCAAAACGGACACGTGCGGCCGTAGAGGTCAAGCCGGTAGTAGCTGAAGTAATCGGTGCCATGCGTGATGTCCTGGACTAACGGCTGAACGACTTTATTGAGCTCTTCGAGATTGCCGTAGGTGGCGCAGCCATCGGGAATGAATTCGGTTGGTTCGTTCTATGAAAGGTAAAGGCGATGCACAGTCAGCACGGACCATACACACACACAACACACGCATAAATATTTGTTTGCGATGAGGGACATGGAAAGGGATGGGGGAAAGGCAAACGAACACTGCAAATGCTACTTGTAGTCGTAATAGCTGGTACCGCGGCGATGGCCAGCAACGCCAAACCGGTCGTGAGCAATGAGCGCTCTGGTATCCGCATGGTTGATGTGTCTCCGGTTTTCTCTCGCGCTCTCTTTCTTTTGCACTTTCTTGCTGGCGCTGTCGGGAATCGCGATGATGATATAATGCGAGTAAAGTAGCGTGGGTTGATTGTGATTATTGCGCAGTGATGAGGACACCTTGCGGCTTGAGTTCTTGAGTCGTGTGGTGTCGGCGGTGCGTGTTAGATAGAAAAGCTCATTCCCACTAGGTACTTTAATCACTAGAAACTCGATGGATTATATATCAACTCCGAGGGGCGGAAAGGAAGCGATCGGTATGATCGAAACGTGTCCAGATGGGTACCGGTATGACGGAGAGTCCGCGGAAAGGAGAGAATGTGTAGTTTTGGTGATGGGACGATTGTGGGCCGTCATCCGGCCACTACTTCTGATTCTCGGGCATGAGTGAGCTCAGTTTCGAAGGTGTTCTGTTCATTCTTCTCGCCACTTTGTACCTGCCTAGGTATGTGGCCAATTCCGATGCCGGATGCTGGGCAGGCGCAGCCACTTTCTTTGTCAACTCTCCGGTCGCGTTTCGACCGGAGTAAGGCATGACGGCCTTTGACAGAAATAGAGGCGGGTTATGATCGAAACACTGATGCAGTGACGCCCAACCGAGGCTCATGGTACATAACATCTCCTGAGACTCGGACGTTTCGGTGTGGTAATCAAGCCGTGAACTGGGACGCCAGTTCACGTGCCCGAGTGAGGAGATGTGATGGCTGCTCTTCTTTCTATTCTCCGAGATGTCGGATATCGGCCCTGTCTCATAAAGGTGTCTTTTGGCGTGCCGGAGTTCTGCGCCAATAATTCCGAGCTCTGTAGCTGCTTGATTCTTGGCACGGTAAGTGCCAGTAGCAGGACGTATATTGAGCAGCCTGTGTACCTCCATATTTGTTTTCAAACAAACACAGAATCTGTCGTAGAAAGGAACGGTGATAGGTTTCGCGATGCAGCTTTGCTCCGGTGGTAGCTAGTGGTGGTTGGTTGTGAAGGATGAGGCCGTTGTGATACCAACCTTACCGTCGATCTACCACCTCTAAACCTACGTTCCAGCTGCAACCCACCACCAGACGCCCGCCCCCCATCACCACCGCCGCCCTCTTCACGACCCCACGACTCCACGCACGACGCCCGCAATGGTGATCCTCTCCATCCTGATCCTCAACAAAGCCGGCGGATTGATCTACCAGCGCGACTTCAACGAAGGCCTGAACAAGCTCTCATCGAATGATTACCTCGTGTTGGCAGGTACCTTCCACGGTGTACACGCCATCACTTCGCGCATATCGCCTGTGCCCGGATCCGGTGGACTAGAGGTCCTCGAGAGCGAGCAGTTCCGGATGCAGTGTTTTCAAACACTCACTGGTACGTGGATAAGCGATGAGGGAAGGGAGAGCGCTGATGGGAAATAGGAACAAAATTCTTGATATTCGCTGAACCGCATCAACCCAATATCGATGTCATCTGTCGGAGGGTCTATGAACTCTACGCAGACTTCGTGATGAAGAATCCGTTTTATCAGATCGAGATGCCGATCCGGTGCGAGTCATTCGATAGGCATCTTGCTGCGTACATAAAACCGAAGCAGTAGTGGGTGGATTCGATGGAGAGTCGGTGCGGGAGGGAGAGGGAGAGACGACGGAGTCGCGGACAATTGCGATTCACGATTGATTTGGAGGTCTTTTTTGCGGGCTATACCTGTTGTTTGATGCCTAGAGTGGAGTTATGGAGTTTCATTGTTCACAGTTGCTGTCACAAGTGCGCTTAGAGTAATTGAAGTGTGTCGATACTGGTACGGGAATTATCACCATTACACAAAGTCCACACGTTGCATCGCATCATGAAATTCAAAGTAATCGTACAGGGTGAAAGCCTCCCCTGCCCCCCAAGATTGCTTTGCCCCAGACATGCTTTCCGCAAACTGCAAGCAAGCAAAACAAAACACTATGCTACTACGCAGTGTCCATTTTATCGCCGGGGGCATCGTCGTCTTTCTTGTCCTTGTCCTTCTGGTCGTCCTTTAGTAAAGGGGTGTTCTCATCCTCTTCCTTGACGCTCTCCAAGTTGCTGGGGCCTTCGCCAGCATCCTTCTTCTCCTTTTCTTCCTTTTCCTTCTCGGCACGAGCAACACGTGCCTTCTCATCCTCCATGGACATCCGTAGGGCCATTGCCAGCTCGGGATCTAGATTGGGATCGAATCCGAACTCGAATCCACCCGAGCCCTCGCCACTCTCGCCAGCACCAGTACCACCCTCAGACGACCCAGTTTCACCCATGATGGGCGTAGCAATCAGACGGTCGGACAGGAGGTGGTTTCCGGGAGGGATCGTGACGAGATGTGAGTTGTCGGACGAGTTGATGGCTTCGATGAACGCCTGGAGCTTCTGCGTGTTGTCGGTCTCGACCTCTCCGAAGTTGACGAAGTCGACGGCGACATTGTTCTTCTTCATCTTCTTTGCGAGCTTGACCAGGGACTTCTCATCTTCGGCGATCGGCGATCCAACGAAAACAACGATCCGCTGTCGCTGGGACTTGTTCTGACGGTGCTTCAAAGCGAGCTAGGACCACAAGCACAGTGAGTACATTGCTGCACCGTCACCGCTATGCCCCGGGAACACTTACACCAGCGACCTGGATACCCGTAGCTAGGTGGGCCTCTCCCTTGATCTTTGTCTCGTGCAATCCACTCAGAATCTTGCCGTAGTCCGTCGTCAGAGTCACCAGCACCTCCGGACCCTTTCCACCCATCGTCATCAATCCGACCGATGACTCGGGGTTGGCTTGAGTCTTTGCCGAGTAGAGGAGCGAGACGGCATCGGCCTGAGCTTCAAAGCGGGTCGGTCTGAAGAGATTCGGGTTAGAAACGATCGATATAGGCGGCTACGGTGAAATCTTACGTGTAGTCTCCATTCCGACTACTCTCGCTATTGTCGACACTGCCGGCTGTTAGCCTCTGAAGAGCAGTGGGGTGGGATAGACAAACACTATCATAGTAGCTTCCAGCACCATGTTGGGCGGTGTGTGGCGGTTTTAGCTGGATATGTTGGTAGAAAGAAGGTCGGATTCGTCGGCGGGTAGGTGGTTGATATCGAATTTAAGGTGGCGGTGATGGTTGATGGCGATGTTGATGCTTGATGGCAGAGATGGTGATGTTGGCGGTCCTCCTAGAGCTGTAGAGGCTAACTCGCGGAACCCACCAACACAGGAAGACAAGCTGTTGCAACAGATCGTGGGGGGAAGTTACCCGGTAATCGAGTGTGCTTGCTTAGTTAGCCTAAGCGATCGCTCCTCTCTCTCAGAGCCGCGCGCCGAGCCAGTCGCCCTCGGCAGCTTTGTTTACCTCTGATTCGACCAAAACAATTTACCTTCATACTTGCTCACTGCCAACTCCCAAATTTTGGACTCGCCGCTCGTACACAACACCTCGCATACACAGATGGCACCTCCTCCTCTTCGACGAATGAAACGCGCCTCGTCGGTCGCCGACGCCAACAGCCCCGCTCCGGCGCGCACAGCGATGGCGACAGCAGAAACACCGCGAATGCCTCCCCTAAAGGACGCTGTTTTCACGCCAAAAACCCCGTTTCGACGCGTCAATGATGGCAGAATTACCAAAAGCCAGAAACAGGGGCTTCTCGACAACCTGGAGGTGGAGTGTACGTTTTTCCACCCAAGTGATGAGGCGGTGCGCTAACGTGTTTGAGCACAGTGAATGAACGATCTCGAAAGCTGCGTTCTCAAGTAAACCAGCAATCTCGGGCGCTCAAACAGCGGATAGAGATGCGCATCACCCGTATCCCGAAGAAGCTGTGGAAGGTGACCATGGCAGAAATGTTGGCCCAGGCGGAGGGGCGGGATGTGGCAAATCCCATGGTCGCTTCTATCAGCGCAAAGGAGTTCGTAGAGGAAGTTCGGAGCCTGAGGTTGGTTTTCTAGCTGCCATGTGGGGTTCAACGGGTTTCTAACCACCAGTGCAGTCGCGGGGCACCAGAGAAAGAGCGCTTGATAGTATCGAAGAGGAGTCCATCCAAACCGGCTGTTTCCCCAGCACGGGAACGTATGCCGCCGCCGCCGCTCCCGGCTCTGGTTTCCAGCAACAATCCCCTATCTACCAAGCCAAACCTGCAACCTATGCAACCTTCATTGTCTTCTCCACCGCGATCCTCCTCACCTCAGAGGTCGCCAACACGCCAAGGCTCGCCCGCGAAGGCGTCCTCCAAAGGGCCGACGCGAGCGCGTAAAGCAGCTGCGCCAACCAACGCATCCAACTCGAGACCAACATCACGTGTCTCTACCCGATCATCGATAGAAACGGCGGGTACACAAGCATCTGGAATGAGGGGTACAAAAAGTTCGAAGGCTAAGGCTGCCGCTGCTATCGCCGCCCCGGAGGCTAAGGGGTTAAAGAGGGGCGGAGGAGGTAATACGGGAAGTAATGGAAGCTTGAAGGAGAACCGCGTGGCGGGTGTAAAGACCGAGACAACTGGTAAGGTAGCAACAGGGAGGGTGTTGAGATCCAGAAAGTGAGCGGGCAATGATCTCCAGGCCATATTGGACACCGACTGCGGGCTTTGGTCTTCTTAGTTGCATATTTTTTGGTATTGGGCTGTATGGGTTTGCTGTTGATATGGGTTCGGAGCTATCTTTCGTCTGACTTGTTATGCGTTGCTTGGGAAGCATGTGGATTTGGTCGTTTTGTGTTTTGTATTTGTTCCGCACGGTTTTTTGAATTCACGATACCTTCTGATCGGCCAAGCCCTCTGGGCAACGGCAACCGGGAAGCCGCACATTCGTGATGTATGACAATTACTTTGGGCCCATGCCATCGCACTCGAGCCCCATTATCAATCCGTCGTCATGATCACATGGAAGTGGAGCTGTAGAAGCTCCTTTGCTCCTTACAATGGAAACTGTCTCGCCACTAAATACTCCGCAGTTATTGAAGCTTAAGCTTGATATTCAGAGCAATAAATACCGAAGCTGGAGCACTGCGTCAGGTATCCGCCTGCTGGCGAATTATTTGCACGACAGTGGACAGGGTCTTTGCGTGCCTGAAGTGAATCTTTGCCTGGCGAATCTCATCCCCTGCGCATCTCGAAACGATGTTGTCTAGCCGCTTCCACAACCTGACATCTCCGATTCCCTCTCTGTACGCAGCAGCTGGTAGCCCATCCAAACGCCCCCTCACGTCGGATATCTCACTCAATAAGCCCCGCTCACCACAGATAGAATCCTATTAATCCCCTACGGCCAACAGCCTCGCGATTAATCACGTGAACAGCCTCGCCTTCCACCGTCTTCTCTGCGCAGCTCATCTCCCACGGCCCCACGCACTCCCACGCACGTCCGTCCCATCCACACACCGTCCACCTTAACGCGACCTCACCTATAGACCATTGACGAACGACGTACGGACGAGTCCGGACACCATTTTCCTCTCGCCGCGTACCTTCGTGCCAGAGCGCCCCTCGAAATACCTACCTCCTCCTTGACGGAACACCTGTCCAAGACATAGATCGCCGCCTGCGGTATTGGTCACAGCTCGCCCACCGGCTCTCCGGAACAACTGCGCGCTCTACATACGGCTTCGGGGAAGGAAGCAGAAGGAGTTGTGAGAGCAACGGAGGTGCCTGCGCGACAGCGCTGTAGCAGCCATGTCCGGGGGAAACATCAAAGTTGTTGTGAGGGTGCGGCCCTTCAACAGCAGAGGTACGGAACGTGATGCTGCTGGAAGCTCGCTCGCCCCTTGACGAAACCTCCCTGGGCTAATATTGTATTACCGTGTGACGCAACAGAGAAGGAACGAGGGGCCAAACTTATCGTGCAGATGAAAGGCACGCAGACGGTCCTTGTGCCTCCTCCGGGCTCCGAGAAGGCCGGGAAAGGAGGAGGCGCCAAGGACCAGGGGCCTAAGGTCTTCAACTTTGACAAAAGTTATTGGAGTTTCTCGAAGAACGACTCGACGTACGGTGTGTGACCCGGAAGTCGAGGCCGTAACGATGGAGACAGAGGTGAGGAGGCTGACATATTACGGCGAAACACAGCGGGCCAGAATGATCTCTACCAGGATTTGGGAGAGCCATTACTCGATAACGCCTTCGGAGGATACAACAACTGCATCTTTGCGTATGGACAGACGGGTTCCGGAAAATCATACTCGATGGTCGGAAATCATTTCCCCCGTAGAACAAACGTTGGTAGCTTGGAGCTGACAGGACGTGGGCATGTAGATGGGATACGGCGAAGAACATGGCGTTATTCCCAAGATTTGCCAGTACATGTTCGAACGAATGTGGGTTCACTCCGGCCCTAACAGAGAACTGGAAATTAAGATCGAATTAGAAATGCGTTGCAAACTGATCCACATCTCAAGTGTACGGTTGAAGTCTCATATCTCGAAATCTACAATGGTACTTTTATATTCGCACACACATCCGCAGCTTTAGCACGTGCTGATGGCGCCTTTAGAGCGAGTTCGCGATCTCCTCAATCCCTCTACTAAAGCCGGCCTAAAAGTCCGAGAACATCCGTCAACGGGGCCTTATGTAGAAGATCTGGCAAAGTTGGTAGTAGGGACATTCGCTGAGATTGAAAACCTCATGGACGAAGGCAACAAGGCCAGAACTGTTGCAGCCACCAACATGAACGAGACCTCGTCGAGATCGCACGCAGTTTTTACTCTCATTCTAACACAAAAGCGGCATGACGTCGAGACCAACATGGAAACCGAGAAAGTCTCCCGGATCAGTCTGGTCGATCTTGCGGGTTCCGAAAGAGCCACGTCCACCGGAGCAACCGGAGCACGATTAAAGGAGGGCGCGGAAATCAACAGATCTCTTTCAACCCTTGGTCGTGTTATTGCGGCACTGGCGGATGTGTCAACGGGAAAGACCGCGAAGAAGAAGGCCACCCAGGTCCCCTACCGAGACTCCGTCTTAACCTGGCTGCTGAAGGATTCCTTGGGTGGTAATAGCATGACTGCCATGATTGCTGCAATCTCCCCCGCCGATATCAACTTCGATGAGACTCTGTCAACCTTACGATACGCCGACTCGGCTAAGCGTATTAAGAACCATGCTGTTGTCAATGAGGATCCGAATGCTCGCATGATCCGTGAGCTCAAGGAAGAACTACAACACCTACGATCCAAGCTCTCAACCGGTACTGGTGTTGACGATGAAGTTTACGCCCCCGACACACCGCCGGAGAAGCAGATGGTCACGATCACCACAGCTACCGGAGAAGTCAAGAAGGTTTCCAAGGCGGAAATTGCCGAACAGCTGGAACAATCCGAGAAGATTCTTACGGACCTCAACCAAACCTGGGAGGAAAGGCTGGAAAAGACGCAGCAGGTCCACAAGGAACGTGAATCTGCTCTCGAGGAACTTGGTATCAGCATCGAAAGGGGCTTTATTGGTCTTTCAACGCCGAAGAAGATGCCGCATCTGGTTAACTTGAGCGACGACCCGTTGCTGGCAGAGTGTCTGGTTTACAACATCAAGCCTGGAACAACTCAAGTTGGCAACCTTGAGACATCGACGACGGCGCAGATACGACTCAACGGTTCGAAGATTCTACAGGACCATTGTCGCTTTGAAAACGACAATGGGATAGTCACGCTGGTACCCAATGAGGGCGCAGCAGTAATGGTGAACGGTCTACGAATCGAGAAACCACGACGCCTAAGGACGGGTTTCCGGATTATACTAGGAGACTTCCACATATTCCGTTTCAACCACCCCCAGGAAGCCCGTGCGGAGCGTGACCGTTTGCGACAGTCTGCGGCCGCAAACTCGGCCTCCCTGCCACAATCTCCGGAGCACAAGCATACGCCTAGTAGTGGGGTCACTTCAGACATGATGGAGCGATTCGATACGGAGAGCGTCAGCAGCAGGCCCGAATCCCCGGCGGCGGTGCCAAACAGTCGTGACATGGAGTGGTCATTCGCTAGGCGGGAGGCTGCTACGGCGTGGCTTGGGGACAGTTCCAAGATCAAGTCCTTAACCGATGACGAATTGGATAACCTCTTGGAAGAGATGCAACGTGTTAAAGCGATCCGCAAGGGGAGGCCTGATAGCCGACTGGACGATGACGAGACAGAGTCCATGGTGTCATTTGTTGTCCGGGACAAGTACGCTTCAACTGCTACGCTAGCCGATGATCTTTCGCTGGACACCATGATTACTATGCCAGGTACACCGCAACTAGGGGAGGTCGAAGAAAGACTCCGGTTGATCAAAGAAGAGATGCAAGGCCAACTCGAACAACAAAAAGAAGAGTACCAAGAGAAGCTGAAGGCGGCTGGAGGCATGGAAGTCAAAGAGATTGAGATTGAGAAGCAGAAGATGCAAGAACAACTGGACTCTGCCCGTGCCGAGATGCAGAAGGAATTGGAAAGGCAACGGCAGGAGTTTGAGAACCGACTTGAAGAGATAACGCTTTCACCCAAGAAAGCCGATCCGGAGAAGAAGCTCACCGACCGGGAAACGAGTCTTGCTAAATTCGTCATCGAACACTGGAAACAAAGAAGATACGTTCGCATGGCAGAGTCGATCCTACAACACGCCGCAACGCTGAAAGAAGCACAGATCATGAGCCAGGAGATGGAAAAAATGGTTGTTTTCCAATTTACGATCGTCGATGAAGGCCACACGTTACAATCTAGCTACGATCTTGTTCTCAACGGGGTATCGGGAGACGACGATGAATTCCTGGAGATGACCAAAAAGCCATGTGTTGGCGTACGAGTCATGGACTTTCACGCAGGTGTGGTTCATCTCTGGTCGCTAGAGAAACTTCAGAATCGTGTCCGTCAAATGCGACAGATCTATCAGTATTTGGACCGGCCCGAGTATCTGCAGGTACATATTCCTCCGCCGCTGATTGGTCGGTGAAACTAATATATACGGTGGCAGCATTTCCGACTGGGCGATCCGTTCACCGAGCCAATCCTGCCGCAATACTCTCTGGTGGGAGACGTGGACGTTCCTCTGGCTGCCATATTTGAATCGCGTTCGCAGGATTTTGCGCTCGATATCACGTCGCCACATACACAGAGCGTGGTGGGCATCGTGAAACTGACCATCGAGCCATCTGAAGTCGAGACTCGGTCGACATTGAAATTCAACGTCATCATGCGGGACATGATTGGCTTCGCTGAGCGTGAGGGAACGCAGGTTCATGCTCAGATGTTTATTCCTGGAGTCTCTGATGAAAGCGGCGCAACGACCACAACGATGGTTTCCGATTTCGATGAAGGGCCAATACGATTCGACAGTGTCCACACCATGGGCATGCCCCTAGGAGGCCCCCTTCGGAATGCATCGTTGCGCGTTGCCATTTTTGCCAAGATCACCGCGATGCACCTCGAGAAGCTGATCAGCTGGGATGACATGCGCGACCACAGCAATCCAGTGGCCCCTCGGAAAAAGAGTGCGAGACTGAATGAGACTGAATTTTACACCGAAGAGCGGCACGACGTATTTGCGCGTGTGCAGCTGTTGGAACTCTCGGAATCGGGCGAGTACCTTCCCGTGGAGGTAGTACAGCACACCGAGATCGACTCAGGGGCGTTCCAATTGCATCAAGGACTGCAAAGACGGCTTCAATTGAGCCTAACGCACAGCTCCGGCGAGGCCCTTCAGTGGCGAGATGTGGCGGACATCCGTATTGGCTCGGTTCGCTTACTGGACCCGCGGGGCAAGATGCCCGACCTCTCGTCGCCAACCAAGGAAGTTCGGCTAAGCACGATTCTGGGACCAGTCGTAAAGACGAACGCGGATGGCACAAGTACTGTAACCATCGTCGCCCAGTGGGACTCCAGTCTTCACAATTCGATACTTCTAGACCGCACAACGGCCGACAAATACCGAGTGCAGATGTGCCTGCGGTGGAACGTGGTTTCTGAGCGGTTATCCGAACCGATCCTGTTTTCCTTGGATATCGCGGCGCAAATCCAACCCAGACTGCTGCGCAGCCCAAATATGTTCATGCAGCTATGGAATAACAACAGGATAGTCCATGCTAGCGTGGGGCTATATCAGCTCGTGATCAGGCCCGCAGCAGCCCGGCGGGCAGGTGACCTATGGCGGATGAATACGCTGCACAGGTATGTCAAGGGCGAGGAATACCTTGCAGGGTGGACCCCGCGGAGTGTAAGCTTGGTGCGGGATTTCATATCGGCGAAAAAGAGGAGGACGAGAGTGGCCGAAGTAGAGAATGCCAAAGGTTTTCTCAGAAGCCTCCCAGTCACAAGGAATGTCACGCCAACTGCACGGGAACCCACGCCAGAACAGCATCCTATCCGAGTCGTGGGCAGAGTATTGGGTAATAAGGAGAACGGCAAGATACTGGGCGAGCGGAAGGATGAGCCAATAGCACCACCTAGTCCTCCTGCGGAGCTCCTGCTCAGTACTAATGAGGCCGGCGAATACGTGGAGGCACCACCAGGCATCCCTCCACATGACGCCGCTTACCAGCCCGAGACACCGGCGTCGGTGCCAGAGGTGCCGTTAGAGGAGCGGGAGCCGCCTACGGTACAATCCGAGGATCAACCAACTGATCTGCCGGACGATCAGCCCGAAGATCAACAGACTGGGTCTGGGGCTCAACCCGATGATCCACAAATGGAAGTCTTGCGAAAATTTGTAGGCCTCTGGTCGTCTTGGAAAGATCCTAGCGAGGTAAGTTCCTGTTTGTTTCGCGGCCCGTTTTCTGGATTCACGGCTGACCACACCCGATAGTCAATCCTAGTGAAAGAGAACACGGAACCCCCACACAATGGAGCGTGTTTTGCGTCCACTGAATCGCAGCCTCCAAGACTGATTGCCGAAGTCCGACAAGTACCCAAGAGGTCCGTTTGGATAAGATCTACCCTTCTTCCCCGCACCACATGCACTATCTAACAATTCTCATGTAGCACTTCATTGCTCAAGTATGGGTACCTTATGACCCCCGACGAAACAAACAAAGTCTGGACAAAGCGATACTTCGAGTTGCGGCGGCCCTACATGCACGTTCATTCGTTTCCCGACGGCGAAGAGATCATGGCGATCAACCTGAGCCATTGCCGTATAGACCACCAGCCACAGGTTGCCAGGTTGATGAGACGACCGCACATCTTTGCGATATACGCGCCACTCAATACGTATCTCTTCGCCGCTCGGAGTGAGCGCGAGATGATAGAGTGGATAATGAAGGTCGATCAATTTCATTTCTTTTCATCGAGTAGAAGTAATACGCCGGAGGAGTTTGCATGAGGAAGAAAAAGGAAGGACTCTTTAGAGATGAGTGTTTTGGTTTTCGTCCTTTTGTCCTTTTGTTTTTCTTTTCTTTTCTTTCTCTTCTGCGTGGCGATCGAGTCAATTCGCATGCAAGCCCCCTGCTTCTGTTTATCCGTACTCCTCCTTGTGGTCGTTCGTTTTAAGGTGCTTTGCAGTGTTAGGCGTTCTCTCTCGTTTTTTCCTTTTCCTTTTCCTGTTCTTTTCTTTTCTTTTCCTTTTTTCCTTTCCTTTTTTGCGTTTGTTACCTTCTGCCCAACCAACGGCCAGTAAGTACTACTATATTTCTTTTAAAAGAGGGGGGAGGGCGGAATCGAAGCAGGATTTTCGGATGTATTGCTGTATCTGATGGATGGATGTTACTATTGTTGTATCATTACACTGGTGGACTGGTGGTTTGCAAGTGAGTTTGCAAGTGAGTAAGTACGAATGAGACGCTGGGCGGCGGCGGGAGGAGGAGGAGAACCTGTCTGTCTGTCTACGGTCTGGTTATGATACAGACCCGGCGAGAAAGTCATATAGGTAGACTATTTCCTTTGCCTCTTTTACGCACGGTACTTGCTTGCTTCTTGTTTATGCCTCAACCCAACCAACCAGCCACGACTATTCATTCACTCTGTAACTATATGCCTACATAATCCTATCTTTCACTTCCCGGTTAGGTACTCGTTGTACATTTGTATGTGTTTGTATCTATGTATCCTTCACAATTGTATTGTAAAGTAATCGTCGGAGTAGAGATCAGCGGGCTCTGAATGTATGGTAATTTACTGCTGCTGTCTGTCTGCAAATACTTTGTGTACCGTGACCTTTCCCCTTTCCATTTTCCACGGAACATGTGACCGATATTCACGAACGTCACTGGCAGCCGCAGTCAGCCAGCCATTCAGCCAGTCTAGAATACCGATATTGCGCCGTCGATAGATAGGGGTTTGAAGTTTCTGCCTACTCCACTAACTAGATCCTACATCCTACGTGCCGCTACATACATCCTACGTGCCGCTACATACATCCTACGTGCCGCTACATACATCCTACGTGCCGCTACATACATCCTACGTGCTGCTCGTCATTCATGTAAGGCGTTCGCTCGCTCGCATGAGACATGCTACACACATACCTACGTGGAAGTGTGGTGGCAGTGGTGGCGGTGGTATATAGAGGCAGTATAGGGGTATAATTGCTTCATTTCCGCCCCGATTTCCGCCCCCGATTTCCGAGCTCCGAGTGAGCGGTCGTGATGCATGGCATTTCGGGGTTCCTTATGTGCGTGCGTGCAGGAAGGAAGCAGGAAGCAGGAAGCAGCAGCAGGGAGCAGTAGGCGGCGCCGCGGCGGGAGGGCGGGAGGAAGATGCGTAGAGAGGGGTGGGGGAGGGCCGTAAAATGCCACTCACTCGGGCGAGCGCATGGGATGGGGGATATTGTGTATTACGTTTCTTTTTTCTTTTTGTTGTTTTTTTAAAGGTGAGGGGAAACGCAGGACAGGAAAGGACAGGAACTGATATCGGGTGCGGCGGACGCTGCCTGCGTGCGGGCTCCAATGAGAGGCTCACCCGGCGGGCATGCGCAAGTGTGGGTTTTTCTTCCGGCGGGGGGAGGGGAGGGGGACGGGGGAGGGGGGATTTAGTTTGCGAGAAAAAAAATTCGAGAGAGGAAGAATGAGCGGTGTTTTGTTTGGCGGGTTCGAATGATGTCGAGGTACAGGCGGTTAATCAATCGATCGCAACGGGTTGTTTATTTGTACTCTGGGTTTTGGAGAGAGATACCTATGTCGATATGTTTTTCTGCGAGGACGAAAACAAACAAGGATGCCGGTTGGATTATTGGTTTAGAGTAGCCGTGGTTGAGCGGCCGTCTTCCCCGATTGACCAGGCCGCCTCAGCTCGTGAACCCCCCCCTCGTTTCCTCCCCGATTACCTATCCTATCCCCTCTCGAGATTTCCGCGCCGCGCACGCAACGGGCGCAGATAAGTATAGCACTCTACTCTACTCTACTCTATATACTCTAATCACTCTACCTAACTTACCCAACCGATATCTGTCTGACAGTTGCAGTTGCAGACTTGCAGTTGCAGTTGCAGATTTGATAGAGAACGGCCGGCGCGGTGCGGGCTGATCATGAGCAGCGATTACCTACTAGCACTTTAGAGTACCCGTCTCGATCGCTCACTCGGACTGCGTAGCGAAGTGCTTCTAACCATCCTATGTACTACCCTAACTACTGCCTACTGTAGGTATATTCGCACTCTAGAGCTCGCACCGAATTGGCGGATAAACAAACACGAGGCTATTGGACGGATGGCAACCGGCAGCACGGGACAGGCAGCACACGGCCTTAGTCTGGGCCGTCGAGCTGCGAGCTACATATGCTACATACATACCTCCTACCCAAGTACATACATACATGCGTGAGACCCTAACAACCGCCGAAGCCGAGGCGCGAGGGAGGGCGCGAGCGAGAAGTCCAACAGCGTTGCTTGCTTGCTTGCTTTGGTGTCCGCCCTATGCCACCGAAGTACTTACCTCAGTAATGCCATGTATGATCATATGTACTCTACGTCGCCCCTCCCGTTCTCGCCTCCCGCGCCGCCGCCGCTCGGTCGTGACTCGCACGCACTGGCTACCTTTTCGATAAGCACGAGCAGAGCAGCAGACCCCAATCAGCCGTCGATAGCGGGCCGCAGAAACCGCTACCACCGTACGCATGTCGACCGCCGCCGGGCGGGTGGGGGTGGGATGCACGAGTGGGTAACGATCGTTACGGGGGCATCATGCGTGTGCGCGCACACCAAAAGTTGGGACCGAAGAGCACCAAAGAGAATGAGAGGTATTTATCGCCGAATAAGCATTTAGCAATTTAGCATGTATTTTGGCATTTGGCATCATTTTTGGCATTTGTCAATTTGCTGTTATTGTTATTGTTGTCATTGTTATTGTTGTCATTGTTGTTGTTGGGATGGGGGGTAAAACAAGTTGCGGGTTTTAACGAAGCGGATTGGTCCGAGTGATGAGCTGGGGACAGGTACTCGTCGCTGGAACTGGGAAGGGACTGCTGTGTGTGTCCGCCTGATGCCCGATCGAGACGGTACTGCATAGCCCTGCTTTGGGCTGCTTGGTACGCTGCGCTTGGTGCTGGTGACAGAAAACAACTTGCCGTATTCTGGGGATGTGATAGGTACGGAATGACGATGATGCTGCTGCTGCTCCTGCTGCTGATGAGGGGGAGGGGGTAGGACGTCTCTCTCTAGCCCCGTGAGTGAGTTGTTCAGGTGGTTCGATTTTTCACGAGCCCCTCCCCTTCGTCGGCCCCCGCTCGAGGATGGGGCTCTTCTGGCCAATTGGAAAAAAGATACGGACAACTGACAATGGAATGGTTCAAGGGCCATGGCGAATGAATGCAGTTGCCGTTCCGAGGGTCAGAGAAGCGTGACGTGATGGTGAGTGAGTGTGGCAGGCAAGTGCGGTTCTGTCCAGCCACACGCCAGCTCCCGATAAGCCACCCGGCCGTCAGCCTTCAGCCGTACGTTCCGCGCCAAGACAAATCGGTGCCCTTGAAGGGGCGCGGTCGCATCGACGACGACACACCGCTCCCAAGCGAAATCCCCGATCCCATCAACCAACTACTCTCCCACCCACATCCCCCAGTGTACTCTGCATCCTCCTACTACCCCCCGCCCCCTCCCCGCCCCCAGTTCTCCATCCATTCGTCGAAAAGCAACTTAATACAACCCCCGAAGCAAAGCAACGTAAAGCAATGTCGGAAGATCACGGGGACTTGATGTCACGAATAAGCCAGCTAGCCGGTAAGCGACCGCCTTCGCACGCAGAAGCAGACAAAGTGGAGCATAAGTTCGTTCGTTAACGGGGCCGACAAAAACTACAGGACAAATCAATCGCCACAAGAACCAGCAAACCGTCGAACCTGCTCCGGCCCGTAACTACACCGCCGCTCCTGGTACGTAATCCGGATCTACACCGCCCGTCCACCGCCCCCCGATCCCTCCCTCCCCCGATCCTCCGACACCCCCGATCCCCACGCGCGTCGCTGACCCACTTCTTACACGCAGCGCCCTCAAGAGGCCGCGGAAACTCTTACTGGCAGTCAAATCGCGGCGGATATGCGCCTTGGGGCGGTGGTGCTGCTGCTGCTGGCAGAGGAGGACGAGGTCGAGGCCGAGGAGGCGCAGTTGCCGTCCATCACAACCGCTCTCTGGTGATCAACAACAAGACTACGTCTACCAAGGGCGTTGCAAACGGCCCGGCCCCTTTTACAGCTGCAGCGGTTCTCGACTCAAAGCCTGCAGGAGGACCTACCACTACAAAGGAAGCCATCAAATCCCCGCCTCCTCCGGCTCCTGCTGCAGCCTCGGGCTGGGTGGCGAAGCGGGGCGCGCACATGCAGCTGATCAACGCCTCAGTCTATGACCAGCATGTTCAGGATCGCACCAAGGCCGCGGCGAAGACCCTTACGGAGAAAATCAAGAGGAAAGAGGCACTTGAGAAGTCCAAGCTTAATCGCCTCATGCAGGGCTCCCAGGGTGCTGGCCGTGAGCTCGAGTTTGGAGGAGGCCGTTACCGGCTCGCCGCAGGTGGTAACAAGCTAGTCCGGGTGTCGGGTGAGGATAACAGCACTCTACGTCAGGGCCGTCTGCCCGGTAGGTCGAATTCAGTTAACGTGACGGTGCTCTATGCAGGGAACGCCACCACCTCAACACCAAAACAGGCTGTAATTGGCGGTGTTCGGTATCAGCGGAGTCGAAATGGAAATCTGTGGCGAGCAGGACTCGTACGCGCGTCTCGGTCAGTTCAGCATATCCGCAGCGCCTTCCTGCAAACGACGCCGCGATGGACATCACTAACCCAGGGCTCAACCGGTCGTCACAGCAGAATCGCAGCTCCAAGGAAATCCACCGAGCCGTGCAAGTACTACTCAACTACTGGTATTCGACTGCCTTCCTAGAACTGTTAATTTGGAACTCCGCATCCGTCCGCGGACGATCACGGGGGGTGTATGCGGGCTTGTTCCGAGACGTTGGACGATCTGATCACGTTTATCGTTGACTGGCCCCCGAACCCACCACGATCAGGAGATGTGTGCATTTACTGACGAGACGGTCCTAACCGCTGGTGTGTAGGTCAGTGCAAGCACGGGTTATCGTGCCCGTTCGTCCACGACCCCAATGAGGTCGCCATCTGTCAGCGCTTCCTTACATCTGGTACGTGCCCGGATGGAGACATGTGCGACCTTTCCCATGATCCCACCCCACACAGGGTCCCAGCTTGCCACCACTTTGTGCGCGGCAATTGCGTGAATTCGAACTGCCGCTACGCGCATGTCAGGGTGAACCCGGCAGCATCTGTATGTGAGCGCTTTGCCACCTTGGGGTACTGTCCCAAAGGAGCCGAGTGCACCGAACGTCACGTTTTCGAATGTCCGACGTTCGACAAAACTGGGGTCTGTACCAACAACAAGTGCAAACTTCAGCATGTCGAACATGCTGGTCGAAGAAGGGCTGCGGCGGCGGCGGCGGCCACTGCGGCGGCTACTGCGGAAGAAGCCAAATCTCCAAATGATGGAAGCGACAACAGCAACAGCAACTCCAGTGACGAGCAGGACCACGAAGATTACTTTCAGTCCGATGTTGACTCCGACATTCTCTCGGACGTTGGATTCCCTCTGGGCGGCGAGGAGTTGGATCCTCAACAGGATTTCATCCAATTCTAATAACCTTAACAACAACAGCAAACAAAACAACAGCCAGCCAGCCATCCAGCCAGCGTGTAACCATATACCAGAAGCCGGAACTATTTATTTTTTGTAATTTTTTCTCTTCTGGGGTTATTTTGTTATTTTGTTTGGATGTTGGCAACACGCATAGGAATGGAGTACGGTTTTCGGATAGGAGTGGCCCTTTGGTTTTTTTTTTTTTTCTCTTGATTGCTTGCGAATACCAGATTAGTGCTTGGGTTCAGTCCAGTTAACGGTTAGGTACGGTATGGCGTCCATTGGTTTGGTAATGTACTCAAGTAGAAACCTGGATGAATGGAGTCTATGTTGGGTATTTAAACTGTGCTGCTCTCCGTCGCGAGCGAGAAAGAGAAGGAGAAAAGAAGATGAAGATGAAGATGAAGAAGAATGATGACGCCCGATGACGATAAAGGTTAGTTTTCTGGGCACCTAGGGGCTAAGTGAGGTGGGGGTGGCATGGTGGGGTGGTGGTGGTTCGTCTGCGGCGGGCGGCGGGGGATGGGTTAGAGGATCGGGGGGGTGGAGGATCCAGAGCGGAGCGGCGAGGGGGGAGGGAGGGAGTCTTCTATTCTTCTATTGGGTTTGGATCGTCGACGATCTGAGTAGAGTCCTCGGTGTAGTTGTACTTTTACGACCGGAGTTGCGAGAAAGAAAAAAAAAGGAAGAAAAAAATAGTTGAATCTAGATTCTGGGCGCTTCCTTCCTCGTCTTCCTCGCCTTTTCCTCGTCTCCGCTCGGATGCACTCATGCGGCATGCGGATGCGCGTAACTATCGTGATCGTAGTTGGGGAGTAGCGGGTGGACGTTTTTGGTAAAAAAATCTTCCTGGCCGGCTTCACGATTTGGGAACTTGGAGTCCCGGTTCGAAATATGGATGGAAGCCTGGTTTTCTGTCTGGACTGTACTGTATATACTCTACACTCGGGTTTCATTACCCACAGTTCTTATGGATGTACCGGTACTTCATCTTTCCCTCGACCGGGCCAGTTACACACCTCATACATCGCAGTCCGCGTTCAACTGACCCCCAAAGTTCTCAAGATCCAGTGGCGAAGCCCAAGTACTATTAGTTATACATACCCAACTACTCTAGCATGATGTATGTACCGTACATATCCAGATAGACTATGACAAACTAGCTAACGCTCCCAACGGTACCATCCCGCAAAGAGCTCGCTTGTCCGCTCACGTTCCGTGGGTGCGTGATGTTCTCCCTCCCTCCCGAGGGGAAATCGGGATTCCCCACAATCGTCCTACATACAGACCATCAGGCATAGCATACATCGCGAGGCCTGCGGTGGGTAAGTAGGGTCGGCGGTGGGTCTGCGGTGGGTATGATAGATCATATCTATTTTCTCTCTCTCCCTCTCCCCCGCTCTTCCGTTTTTCGTGCAACCGTTGATTCGGGTTTGGATCGAGGTGTTGTTGACGTCGATGTTGGGGAGCGGGAGGTGGGGGGATGCGGGAGGGGAGGGGGATGGAGGGGGGATGGTCGTGAAAGTGATGTCTCGTTTGGTTTGGTTACATACGAGGTGGGGCTGTAGAGTGAACGAGAGCAGAGTATCGATAATCGATATCGATCAACCCCACAGTCCGTTTATGCCGTGTTCTCTGTCACCCCTCACGCTCTGCCGTACTCTGCTCTGCTCGTGTGTTCGCGAGACACACACGGAGAAGAGGAAGAGGAAGAGGAAGAGGTGGTGCAAATCTATAGTATGATGTATCTAGAGTACGGGATGTACGGTGGTATGTATGTCATCCGCCCGCGTGGATTGGACGGATGCCAGATGGACACACGCTGCGACAGGCAGAGACACAAGGACAGGCAGAGACAGGCAGTGAACTGAAACCTCGAGATTCATGCGCAGGGTTGGATGTATATTTTTCTTTCTTTCCTTTTTCTTTTTTTCTCTTCCTCTGGCTCGCTCGCTCGCCGGTGCGTGGGTTGGGTGCGTGAGTGTTAACTAGGATGCCACACCTCCGTGTGGGTATTTCGGCAGATCTTCCCGTTCACCATCACCCACCATCACCTTTCACCCAGTTCCAGTTCTGTGTGTGGGTGTGCGATCTCTCTCTCTCCCTCTCTCTCTCACCCTCTCTCTCTCACCCTCTCTCCCTCTCTCGCGCACCTTTTGACGTAGAGTACGTACTGCCACCGATCGAGTTGGGAAGTCGCAGCCTGCTGGGTGTGGTGGGATGATGCACGCAGTGCAAGCAGGCAGGTTTTTTCTGGCCGGGATGCGCACTGCACTGCAGTGCACGCACGCTCGCTGGTCTTCTCTCATCTTCACCGCTGCCTCGTCTAGGTTCTGGCCGTGGGGAGGTTTGGGGGGTACCCACTAGAGTAGCAGTTACTCGAGTATGTAGAGGGGAGGGTGGTGAGGGGCAGGCAGGGAGGGGTGCGAGGGGTGCGAGGGGAGATGAGATGGATTAGATAGATTAGATCGATCATTGACCCTTGGAAGCTGGGTGTCTCGGGGATCGGGATTCGGAGCGGGCTCACCCCTGCAGGGAACGGAGACGGGGAGGGGCCGGGGGGAGGGGCACCACCAATGGGAAATACACGGGGCACGGGGGCACGGGGGCACCGGGGGCAAGGAGGGATATCAAACATCCGACGGAGAAGGTGCGAGCTGGGGAGACGGGCCAAGCTGGCACGTGCGTGCGGGCGAAAGAATTGTACCGAGTTCAGCCCCCGCTTGTATACGAGGCTGTACACACGGTATGTTTGTGACAAGGACGCTGACACTCCCAGCACCCAGCACCAGCAGCGAGATCATTCCTCCGCACGGATATGTACCACGGAGACTTGCCGGTGTTCCGGATCCGTCGTGAAGCTTCTGATCCGTCTCCTCCTCCGCCTCCTTCGCCTCCTCCGGTTCGTTGGATCGCGGGGTGTCATATGCCGATATCGATATCGATGATCTTCAGTACCCAAGTACCGTACCACATTCCCAAACACTTCCGGTACTTACATGGCAGGAGTACGAGTATGCTACTATATGGATAACGCGGCTGCCTCGACGTCCGCCTATGTATGTAGCATGTGATGTGATGTGCCATACGAAAATCAAACCCCGCCGTGCTTACTGTGGCTACCCAAGTACCTATCCGACATCGCTATCCTCAAGGCTGGCTCCATATCATATCACAGTTACATGTTACCTAGATATTCGACACCAGCCGCGTGACCGTTTGCTCCTCTCCTGCTCTCCGGCCGTGGCGCGACAAGGCTTGGCGTAGCTGAGTGCTGCCACTGGATGGTTGGATGGACCGTCTCCCGTCCCCGGTCTCGAGGAGGAGAGCTCGAGCTATGGCCTATACTACTACCCATCTATACATAGACTCGATACCGATCATGATCATGTCGCGCCGCCGCCGCACCGCGCCGCGCCTGATCTGATCTGAGCTGACGTCGGTCGCGGAGGGGTCGGGCGTAATTCCCCCTTCCAGTTGCTGTGACTACTGGTTACTGGTTACTGGCTACTGGCTGTTGGACACTGGACATCGAGCCTATGGTAGGTATAGGTACGGTAGCTAGGCTTCTATCGCTCTAGAGTAATAGTAGATAGGTTGAGCGCCGCTACACAGGATACTATAGAGTGGGTTGTGTATACATAGCATATATCCACTCTGCCGTAGATACATACTCTATGATATCACCACCACCAGCGGCACATGCAACGGATAGCCGGTACCGTACGCGGTTCGTTAAACGGTTCGATCGTTTCGTTTCCCTCGTTTCGTTTCCCCTGGTGGCGCAGGTTGGAAGAGGGGTCGGGGTGGAGGGGTCGGGAGTAGGCATGCTAGGTAGTCGGAGGGTGCCGTTGTTTCATCGCCTCCCAGCGATCCGCCGTTGTTTGGCCGTCGTTGCTTCGGTTTGTGCACGCGCGCTCGTACTCTACCGACCTCCATGTAGAGTACCCAACCCCACGAGGAAGAGCTCGCTTCGGCTCCGTCTCCCCACATGAGCGGAAAACTGTAACCCAACTGTTAGAGTACCCAAGTTACCAAAGTTGCCAAAGCTATGCTACCCTACCCTATCTACCCTACGAAGCGGAACCCTACGAAGGGGAACCCAAACCCAAACCCAAACCCAACCCAACCCAGCCCAACCCAGCCCTAGGCCGTCTACAGCCGGATCTACCATACCGTACATACCGTACTCTATGTGCTCTACTCTACTCTACGTTTCCTACGTAATGTGCATACTTGCCTACCAGGACGATCCACGTCCAATGGTTTAGTTTGGTTTGGGATCCCATCGTGCACCGTAGTGTGGTTATTGCCTAGTGCCCACAGCGGGTTTGGTTATACTTTCCGAAACGGCGAGCACTCGGCGTCGAGCACGAGGAGCACGGGGACAAGCACGGGGACAAGCACGGGAACGGCGGCGACGGTGGCGGGGAACGGGGGTAATCGCGGATGAGTGTGAGGGTGAGGATGAATGTGAGGTGAGGGTATTCTAGTGGGGGGTCATGCTCTGAGCAGCGCTGCACTGCGGCTGTAAGATGGGGGTCGCACCGCACCTTGCACCGCACAGTACGTCGACACTCGAGTATCTGTATGTGGTGCTCCGGTGTACACTACACTCCTCACTCCCGAGTCCAGAGTCCCCACACATCCATAATGCATTCCTGTGGCTCGCTCGCTCGTTCGCAAGTGGTCACTAGTCAGTCAGTCGAGCAGCCTCGACGACGATGAGGTAGTGCTGTAGACTGTGCTCGTCTGCTCGTCTGCCTGTCTGCCGGTTTGGGGGCCAGCCAAACAGACAGACAGACAGATTTGCTTTTTCTTCTCTTTTTTCTTTCCTCTCTCTTTTCTTTTTCTGTTACAAGGACGAGGATGGAGAGGGAGGGCTGTAAACTGTGAGGGCTGCGACGACGACGTCGACGGGACAGCTCACCAGTTCACACCCACTGGCAGCGACAGCTACAATTTGCACTCCGAGTCCTGGGTCTTTAATGCCCCATGGGCCCATGGGGGTTTTGAGATTTTGAGACTTTTTTCGCAGAATTCGCAGAATCGACCTGGCCTTGTTCTTGTTGTCTCGGTGATGAGATGGGCGAGGATGAGGTGGATAAGGTGGAGGAGATGGAGGATCTCCTGCTACCTCCGTGTGTATAGTACGCCTACGGACTTACTGGCCAGCCAGCTGCCGGAACATTTTCGTCTCCCTCTCCAGCCCTCACTCACTCACTCACTCACTCACTCACTCACTCCGTCCCCGTCTCTGCATACTCTGCATAGGTACTCTGCATAGGTACTCTGCATACATATATTTCACTCGGCGCAGGATAGAGTACTTCGTTATGTAGGGTATCGGAGTAGATAGGTTATGTACATATCTAAGCACTTGGTTATGTAGTATGTAGTATGTACTCAGATATCGATGCGGCATGTACGCAGATGTCTACATAATCTATCAGTGAAGCTTTACTTTATGTATGTAGGAGTCATGCCACTCCTCCGCTCCGCTCTGGTTGGGTGTATGTATGTCGATATGTATGTAAGTCAGAAGTATGTACGTAGTCCGCAGTCCGCAGGCCGCGATGGATTGTGGATGGATGGATTGTGGATGGATGGATTGTGGATGGATGGATTGTGGATGGATGGATTGTGGATGGATGGATTGTGGATGGATGGATTGTGGATGGATGGATTGTGGATGGATGGATTGTGGATGGATTATGGATGGCTACCGGTACTCTACATAGAGGATGACTGCCAGTAGAGTACGGATAGGGTGGATGGAGTCTGCACGCACCATCCATCCAGAGTCCGTGTGAGTGCAGAGACACTCGAGAGCTCTCCCATCGCCGGTGCAACTGTGCAGGCTGTGGATCACGCACTCACTCACGCACTCACTCCCTCCGTACTCCCTCCGTACTCCGTGGAGCATGCGTACAAAAAGATCTCGTGGAATCGTGGCATCGAGGCGGACATCCAGCCAGCCAGCCAGCCAGCATCCAGCCTGGTTTTTTCTTATTTTTTCTTCCTTTGTTTTTTTTTTTATTCTTTATTCCCTCGAAAGGAAATTTTCTTTTCTTTCTTAAAAGACAGAAGAAGGAATCGGATAATAGGAAGTGAGGACATCGTCCTCCTCGGAGTAGGAGTACTCGGGGAGGAGGAGTACTCTACCAGGAAGAAGAGAAGGGAACGAGTTACGGATTACGGATTACGGGGAATAGCTGGCGGGACGGGGGGAGGGGAGGGGAGTGAAGGGAGGGGTAACTCGAGATCCGAGAGCCTCCTACATGCTCCTCCTACTCCTCCTACCTCCTACTCCAGCATTATGAGCCCTCTCCCCCCCTTACCCCTCCCCCTCCTTCAATGAGTCCCTACCTACCTACATACCCAGGACCGGGCTTCCTGTCCGCAGACATACAGAGAGAGAGACGGAAAGAGAATGAGAAAGCTACGAGGCCTGGCCTTTCCGGCCAATGCACCCTGCCCTCCGCTTGGGCGAGCTGGATCAGTGGACCGGACCGTACTGGCTTGCCTGTCTGCCTGTGGGAGGAGCTGCACACACACAGACACCGCTCGCTGCAGAGTGCTCTAGGTGCCTAAGTACTGTGTACTACGGGGGTATACCCTAGGTAGAGGTATCCTATCCTATCCTGTAGGTGGGTGGGGGGTGAGCGAGCGAGTGAGCAAGAGAGAGGAAGAGAGAGGGTACTTTGGCGTGAGCGCGAGTGCGAGTAGGTAGAGTAGGCAGATGCCGTCTCGGAGGGAGGGGGGGCGAGAGGTATCATAGAGTCGAGTAATCGAGCGGAATGGGGCTTTGGCTCTGGGGGGAATCGGTGTGCGAGTCCTTCTGTCCTGTCCTGTCTCGTCCAGACTGTCTTGTCTCGCAGGCAGGCAGGGTCAGCACCGTCCGCCGCCGCCGTCCATCCACCATCTACCATCCGGCATCCAGCATTCACTGTCCGCCGTCCATCCATCCATCCACCACCCCATCCAGGCCAGCCAGCCAGCCAGGAAGCCAGATCGGACAGCCAACCATCAGGAGGGAAGGGAGCGAGCAAAGCCGGGTGTACGAGGAACCAGTGTGTGTGGGTGGGCGCGCGGAGAAAGATGCGCGGTCGCTCGCTCGCTCTCTCGCTCCCTCGAGGACACTGTATGGCTGGGTGTATGGATGGATGAACGGGGGGTGGGCAGTGGGCACTGGGTCGGGGAGGGGAGGGAGGGAGGGGGTGGTGGTTTTGGAATGTGGGCAAGGACGGGATACATATAGATACACGGATGGGATTGGACGAGGGTCGGGGGGGGGGGGGGGGGGGGGGGGGGCAGAGGATCAGAGGATCCGCAGGATCTGATTGATGGACGATGATGCTGATGGATGGATGGATGGGATATACCACTTGTAGAGCCTCGGATGGATGTAGGGTATGGGATCATGGGAGGTGTCGGCAAACCAGACGGTGCGAGTATTACGGTACGGCCTTGCACTTGACGCCCGATTAATTTTGGGAGCAGTTTGTTACGATTATTACGATCATTGTTATTATTGTGGATTATTATTATTGTTATTATTTCCTGGGTGAGGGGGGGAGAGGGGCGTTTTGGATGGTGGGGGGGTAGTGGGGTGGTTCTTTTTTTCCTTTCTTTTTTTCTTTCTTTTTTCTTCCCTTCTCGTTTGAGTGAGGGAGCATGACGGGGGGGATCAAAGCAAAGCAAAGCGAGGTGATCTTCTTGTCTCTAAGGGAAGAATTGGAGCGAGCGAAGGCAGAAGAGCGAAGCAGCGCTCACGGACGATCTGGAGGATTGGGGGGAGGGGGGGGATGCTGGACACTTCTGGTATGGTATGGGTACATACTGAATCGGTAAGGGTATGGATATGGATATGGATATGGATATGGGTAGTTCGGGCGGTGGTTTTGAGTGGGCTGTGGAGGAGGAAGACGGAGGGAGGAGGGAGGATAGTTACAGCGTGAGACGGGAGAGGGGGCGATGTGAATGGTTCTTTTTTGGAACTTCCACCCAATCGACACCCCTGGTTCCTTACTCTCTGCCAACGAATCAGTAGCCCCCCCCAGCACCTGCAGCTTTTTTATACCCATGCGCGACGAGCAGAAGCAACGGACGAAGCAGACAGCCAGAGCCAGGCAGGCAGGCCAGGCAGGCAGGCAGGCCAGGCAAAGTGAGCGCTATGTGGAGTCGCAGAGCAGCAAGCAGAGCAGCAGAAGTAGCAGAGTAGCAGGACAAGAAGCAGCAGCAGCAGCGGCAGCAGCAGCGGCCAGGCAGGCCAGGCGGGAGGAGCACCACCACCACCATCACCACCATCACCAGCACCAGCACCAGCATCAATAGAGAACCAGCACCAGAACTAGAACCGGCACCAGCACCAGCACCAGCGCCAGAACCAGCTCCCACATCCCCCCCCCCAAGCTCCGACAAGCACCAACAGCACTGGTGATCTGATCCGCCCGAACAGTCCTTGACGGCGGTTTTCGCTCTTCCCGCCCTTCCAGCCCATCCAACCACAGCGTAGCCTCTCCGTCTATCTACTCTCCTGCCCTCCTACCCTACCACACGCTTCTCTACCCACACCCTCCCTCCGGAATCGAACGAACGCTACCATCTGCACCCGGCTACAATACCACCCACCATTCACCATTCACCCTCACACTCCGCACACCCACACCCACACCCACCCCCCCCCCCCGGAACTCGCTCTCTATCCGCCCAGTTACCACGCCCCCGTCTCCTCCTCTATTCACCTCCAAACTCCCCCATTATTCCAAGCCCGCTGCCATACTTATACCCCAACCCCCACCGCGTACTCGATAGATCCTCTTCTCTTCCGTTTTCCCCTCCCCTCACGTTACATACGCTCGACACCGCCCTTCCCCCCTCCTCCTCCCACCACCACCCACCACCTCCTCCTCCTCCACCCCCTCGACGGAAACAAAGTGACAACCCCTCTTGTCTAAATAGACTGTTGTCCTCACGTATCCGCGATACCGAAAAAAAAATCAGATTATAATATCTCCTCCTCCCTCGCTCAATTTCACGACACCGTAAATCCGATCACAACAACTCCCCAACAATCCCGATCCACACCCACACTCCCCCCTCCCCTCCCCCCTCCAAACAGCCTTAAATCTTCCTACAGAATAAGAAGATCGAAATGGCTTCCGCATATCACCCGTTCCAGATGGATCACTATATCCAACAGAACCTGTCCGTAGATACCCGAAGATCACTCTTCGACGATGATGACTCGTCAATCCTCGACGATAACATCCTCGACAGCAACACCCTCCTCGATTCCGCCCTAGATTTCCCTTCCATGGACCGACGGAGAGGTGAGGCGATCGACGCTAACGGCATCTTCTCGCCGTCGAATGAGTGGGACTTTGATCACGACATGGGCATGGCTGGTCCTGCTGACGACTCCACGCCCGTACCCGCGGCTACTTTCGAGCACAGCAACGGCACAAACAACCCCTTCATCAAGCTAGAACAGGCCCAGCCCACATACGCACAGCAGCACAACTGGTCGTCGAACGGTGCTTCGGGATCGTGCACGCCCACAGTGTACGACAACAACACTTTCAATGGCTTTGATGAGAGCGGTGCCTATCTGGCTCCGGCTTCTGGTGCCCAGGGTGCTTTCGACAACAACGTCCACATCCCACCACACACCGTGTTCCAATCTGGTGCTTCGATCCCTTCGTCGCCCTCCAAGAACTGGGATGGTGCCGGCCCCGCCGACCACGATGGCCCGTCCATGGCTAAGCGCATGCGCCCGTCGAGCCCCGGTCCCCGATCGCACTCTCCCCTCCACGTCGTACGACGAGATGGAATCCGCAAGAAGAACGCCCGCTTCGACATCCCTGCCGAGCGGACCTTGATGAACATCGACCAGCTCATCGCTCGGTCCCAGGACGAGAACGAGATCAAGGAGCTCAAGCAGCAGAAGCGATTGCTCCGAAACCGACAGGCAGCGTGAGTAATTCAGGATTACGACATGTAATCTCCTCCACCTCATCTTGGCGTGTACTGACAAAATTTGCCCCTCCAGTCTCGATTCTCGCCAGAGAAAGAAGCAGCACACTGAGCGTCTCGAGGAGGAGAAGAAGCTTCACAGCACCATCATCCAGGAACTCGAGGACAAGCTCCAGCAGATGACCATGCAAGACGAGCAGATGCGCCAGAGGTTCCAGGAGGTTGCTCGCGAGAGGGACTTCCTTCAGCACAAGTGCGAGACCCTGCACATGGAGAAGGAGGATATCGTCCGTGCCCACACCTTGGAGACCGGCGAACTCCGCAAGAAGAACACCTTCCTGCAGGATCAGCTCCACAAGGTTCAGGACAACATGGACCGCACTCCCATGGCCCACCAGCACAGCTCTTCGGGTTTCAGCGATGCGTTCGACTTCGAGGCCGACTTCGATCTCGATGGCGACTGCTGGAACGAGCCCATGATCCACGAGATCAAGCAGGAGAAGGTTGCCCCCATGGAGTCCGAGAAGCCTGCCGCCCCCGGCCTGTTGCTCATCCTTCTGTTGTGCGGTGCTCTGGTTGCGTCCTCCAAGACGTCCATCTCTGCCCTGCCCCCGCTTCCCAAGCAGCTCCAGTCCGCTTCGGCCTCGGTGCTCCAGAACATCTTCCAGGATGCTGGTGTCTCGGAGGTTGGCCGTGTCGAGTCCATCGACGTCTCGTCTTCCGACTCGTGGATCGTTGCCAAGTCTGAGGTTCCCCAGATGGTCGGATTGGAATCCACCATGAGCGTCCTCAACTCCTTCGACAAGACCACCCCAGAGCAGCAGCGCGAGCAGTTCATGCAGTTGACTCCCGCCGAGTACAACGACGTGACCTCCAACAACTTCCTCCGCGAGCCCGAGCCCGTCAACCAGCGAAGCCGCCGCCGCATCCAGGAGAACCTCGCCAACATGAGGAACTCCAAGCAGACCGCTGCCGAGGTTTACACCCGTTCGCTCATGTGGGACCGTGTCGACGCCGAGGTTGTCCGTCGCTTTGCTGCCTTCGCTCGTCAGGCCCAGGCATCTGGTGCAAGCGGAAACGAGGATGGTTCCGGCGCAGCCGCCCACTCATAGAGTGTTCATCCCGTCCCGGCTGGCCTAGCCCAGCAACCTTATCGACTTGTTGAGCATACCTTCGTCGTGTCGCTCACATCTTTCCTCTCCTTGCTTCATCTCTCTCCTATTCTTGTCTATTAGCGGGGTTTGCTTTTTTTTCTTCCCTTTTTTTTTCTTCCAGTTTTTGTCCTTTTAGGTTTTGGTCTGCGCTTTTTTGCTTTTTCTTACGGTTGAGACGTGTGATGTTGGTGACGAAATTGAAGACTTGGGGGCACCATGGAGAACCGGACTTGTGACTGCAATTTTTTTTCTTGCTCTTTTCTTTCTATTTACACGGGACAGGTTTTGCATTCTTGTTTTTGGGTTCTGCGAGTTTTGCGTCTACTTGCGTCTGCTTTTGGTCTGCTTTTTTTCGGTTGTTCTTTTTCCTCTTCCTTTCCTCTGTACTTTTTTGTGCTCCTGCGACTTCGCATTTCTTCTTGTGAGGTCGTAGCAGGACTACCTGTTCCTCTCTCTGTTCCATCTTCTTCCCTCTGGTTTGGCTTGCGTTGGCTTTTTTTGCTTTCTGTTTTTTCTCTTTTGCTTTTATTGTTTTGGGCGGGATCTGTATGTACAAGTGCTTGACAGGCACACTGGATGGACGGACCGGCGGCGAGGGAGGGAGTCATCCACGACCACTCACGAGCAACGAAAGACACGCGAACCACGAACTTACGAACTTACGACCGATACGAAATTACGACACCCACGACCGATTACGAATTTCCTTTTCTACACCTACTACCACACCACCTCGGATTTTTCTTTCACACATACATCTTGTTGGTTCGGAAGACCGGCCTTCAACATCATCATCATCATCAACCAGACGACTGCTGCAGACTTGCATGCCCCATACATCATTTCCTATGTTGCCGACCTCGGCCTACAAAATTCTCTCTTGCCTGGGGAGTCGATCTCCTCTTTGTCTCGTGTTTTTATTTGATTTAATACTTTTTTTCTCCTTTTATTCTACACGTCATGGGACCGTCGGAGAACCACATGTTTCCGCTTTTTCTTTATTATATCTAGGGGGATCTGTTTTTTTGTGATTCGAAGATTCTATTCTGGTACATCATTTTTTGTGTTGTTCTTTACGTTTGGAGTGGAGTAAGAAGTAGACAGTTAGTGCTAGACTGGTCCAGCCAAATAATTATTCGAGATGTTTCACAAATGAATCCAAGTGACTGAAATTGAATTGGATGTTTGAAGAGAACATCAATTTAATGTTGTATCCGGCCCGAGGGTGATGAGATCCTTGTGAAGATTTGTAGCCGAGTCATGGGAGCGAGTGAGATATTGTGCTCCGAGAATCTTCGGGATGGAGCTATTTCCGAGGAATTCAGATCTTGTTGCTGTCATAAACTTGGAAGATAGCAGTGGAAGTAGTAGTTACTTGTTTCTTTTTTGTTTCTTCGTTCCGCAGTCGACCCTGAGGTGGTGGGTGGTCGAGTGCGATCTCATGGTTTGGATTAAGATCCTACCCGTGTTCCTGCGAGTTTGCGAGTCTGCGACCACTCGGAAAAGACCAGAGACGCCGTGGTGGGCTCCGTGCCAGCTTAGGGTCGGAGTCCGGACGAGCACCGTACGTAAATGGTGGACGCCGGATTCCTAGGCCGATCTATACCAGTACGGGCTGGGCCGATCTACCAGTGTATGTAGGAACTTGTCGGTTAGGTGTGGTGTCAGGTGTAGTGTATGGTGTATGTATGGTGTATGTACATCCGCCGAACATCCGCCGAACGACAGGAACCTGGAAGAAGATAAGTCTTCTGGGCGTCCTATCCTCCCATCCTACTACGTGAAACATCTTACGTGAAGAGAATGGGCTCGCGAGAATGGGCTGGTGATGTAGTTTACCTTTCTAGGTACTACGGGGAGTAGGTAGTAGGTAGTAGGTAGTAGGTAGTAGGTAGTAGGTAGTAGGTAGTAGGTAGTAGGTAGTAGGTAGTAGGTAGTAGGTAGTAGGTAGTAGGTAGTAGGTAGTAGGTAGTAGGTAGTAGGTAGTAGGTAGTAGGTAGTAGGTAGTAGGTAGTAGGTAGTATCGAGTATTGAGTGGGCTCCGAGACCACAGGACGCTGAGACGACGGTTTCAACTTTCGAGACCCGATGTACCGCCGTACCAGTAGTTACATATGTACCAGGTATGTAGCATGTGGGAACATGATCCAGACCCACCAACAGTTAGTCAGTTAAAATGGGAATACTGGTTTAAACAGTTCAGTTCAGTTCTGGCTGATTTTGTTCCCGGTTCATGATCAGTTGGGAAGTACAGAGGCTGTCAGTTCCCAGATGGTTTAGGTACATAAGTCTGGCAGTTGTTCCCGGGAAAAAACTGGCAGAACTGTCAGTTCAGCGCTTGAATTGGCAGTTCAGCCAGGCCAGCCAAAGTGGGCGAGATTATGTAGGCTCCTACATATGGTCACGGAAAAAGCGGTAGAAAATGGATTCTGTATCATACTAGTTTTGAATTACTACTCTGATGCTACCTAGTACCTAACCATACAGGGAGTACGGCGATTGAGCTTCTTAATACTATACTCTCCAGAGCTTCAAACCTCTTGGTACCTACTACCTAGGGAATGCCGATGATCAGTAAGAATCATCTTGCACTCGGAGAACAGGCGTTCAACCTCGACGACATGGCTGGAATAGGTAGACAGAATGACAACCGCCATTCAGCCGAGGTAAGGAAAACGACGTTGCTGGCGCGGTTGAATTCCAGCCAGCCATCATTCGATCGCGCGCGGCAGGACGGTTTCGAACATTCAACATTCCTCTCGACAGGCAAGGAACAATAGGTAGTCCTGGAGCTAGCTCTTCAACCGGCGCAGCGTGCTGCATAGGTAGGTAGGTAGCTGGTGAGATAATAGTAGCGACTGCGCGCATGGGTGGTGGGTTGTACATAGGCGATTAGATTAGCCAGTGGGTTATATGTGGTGGCGACAGATTTGGCACAAAGCCTCACTGAACTAACTGATGGGACAAGCAGTTTTCACAGTGCAAAATTTAGCAGTTGGTTCAGTTTGCTAGTTGGTTCAGTTCACTATCCCCCCAACAGTTGGTTGGTACGGGAACACCCCCGATTTGTTCCCAGTTCGAACTATTGGAGGGTCTGGTCCGAACATCGGTGCGCTGCGAGGACCCATTGGCTATGTACCTATACCGATCGGGTCCGGGTTCGGGTCGAGGAGGGTCGGGGAGAGTTGGTGACGGAAGAGGAGGGTTGGCGTAGGGCTACCGGTAGTTCGTCCGTCCGTCTCGTCCGTCCGCCCCGTCCGCCGGGATTGGTCGTGTTGGCACGTGTTGGCATTTCAGCGTGGTTTTCGGTCAATTGGCCTCTGGGTATCAGTGCTAGGTAGACTCGACGGTTGGCGGTCGGTGGTGGTTCGGTTGGCTCTGTAGGTATGTACTAGTAGCATCGACAGTGCCCTTGGGCCTTGGAATGAACGATCGACTACTCGTAACGCACCTGCACCCGTACTGTATTGGTTGTGGGGTTGTGACTCCTCGTGGGGATGGATGTTCATCGAGGTGTAAGCACTGTTGCTCACTCGCTCACTCACTACCATGATGTTGATGTTGACCGGTCACCGGGTGAGCACTGAGAACCCGCTCTCTCACTCCTCCTTTTCCTTCGCCGCTGACAGAAACCCATAGCCTCTGGGATACAAAGCCTGTCCTGAGGCGTGACGACAACTCTTTGGATCCTCTTCCCGTAGGTATTGATCTTGGCGCCGCTGCTACGGCTCATCCAGTTACATACATGTTACCTGCTCTGCCAATGAGAGAGGAGATCGGCACGTCATTGCAAACGGAGGAAGTCAAGATGTACTCTACCGTAACTCTAGGGCAGCATGAGTGGTGTACATAACGTACTCCCTTCCTGCCACCCTCATCGGACGGAGATGGTCTTTCGGTCCAAGCGATCCCATCCCGAGGTGGAGAGACGTCAGTATAGTAGGGTACATATTACGGTCAGGATAGCTCCCACTTGCCACGGAACCGTTGGTTCCTGACACACCGTGATGCCGATAGGTAGCTTTCCCGCCCATCCGCAAAGAACTCACGGTAACCTTCCTCTGCATTCTCGGTGCCCATCATCACGGTAAAAAAACCCCCCGATAATCATCCCAAGCTCGTCACCTGGACGGCGGCTGCGATTGCGCGTCTATGTACCGCCTCAAGTTCCAAAGGTCCTTGTCCTGGAGGTCAGCTCTACCTACCGCAGAGGAGTTGGGTAAAAGTTAGGTAACTACCACCGACGTCAACGGAACCAAGGACCATCCTGCCACTAGGTATCTGGGTAGATAGTAAACCCGCATCAAAGCGATCACGCCCAACGCCTGCTCTTTAGCATCACCGGAGATGGCGAGACGTGACCGATCGACCTCGGGTCTTTGTGAACCATCCGCTAGAGCGATATCGGGCCGCTGGCGGACATTCTTCGGCCGCGATGCCCTGACCGCCCACGGCTCCAGCGATATCTATAAGTTATTTCATAGCTTGTCGGCCCTCCTCCCCGTGGTCCCCGTAGTCCCCGTCGTCCCCGTCGTCCCCGTCGTCTCCATAATCCCCATCGTCGTGCCGCTCCCGAGTCCTGACTGGTACATACCTACTTTGTATGTACACATGAGATCGTCACGGCTATTCCAACTTCCTGGTCTTTCCCGAAAGCCTCTCTCCCCGAAAGCCTCCCTCTCACGAGTCTACGACCTCCATCCCGCAAGCCCGAAGAACGCCATCATGAAGTTCTCGTTTTCGCCACACCGAGAGTGAGCGGCAGCATCGTCGGCTCACGGTTCCTAGCAGGAGCGAAGCTTAGAACCCCCCGTCCCCGTGCGAGAGGACCACGGCCCCGTCAGGAGATGGATGGATGGATAATCGGGGGCAAAGTGAAGGAATCCTACCGAACCCCACCGATTTTGATAGACTACCAACTTGCCGGATGGGCGGGGGGCAAAAATCGAGTGATACACTAGTAATGCCACTCCGACGCCCCCTTCACGTCAACCGATCAACCGGTCCTGTGCCCCCTGCACCCCCTACCCTCCTCAACCCCATCGCCCGCCGGTTTCCCGTCTGGCTGACTGACTGGTTGGCTCGAGCGATCGGCTCGGCTGACCAGAAACATGGCAGAGTTGCCCCCCCTTCCCCTCGACGACATCACCGACCGAGCCCGAACCGACATCACCCGGCAAGGGGTGGACACAGGAAATCAAGTATCCCTCCGACCCCGGTCAGCCACCGAATCACCCATGACCTCAGCTCCCCTTTCTTCCCGTGTGGCTCGTAGTTGCCAACATACGGAATCTTGTTTTTTCCCATCTCATCTTCTAGAAGGATGGCAGTGCAGGAACGGAAAAAAATTCCCTGACGATCTCAATTTACGAGATGGCAAAGCTGGATTTCTGGATTTTACTGTTGCATCACTTTCACATCACTTTGCGAACATACGAAAAGTGTCTAGATGGGAGATTCGCAAGAGAACAGTAATAGTAAAACCAATCGTCATCTCATATAGGTAGTTGAGTACATAAGTTGAGTAGTTGAGTACCCGAGACAAAGATGGCTACATAGCAGACTTTTTGTGTTGAATGGGTAAAGACTTCCGGAAAAAAAATGTAAATGCTAAACACCTTGGACCCCCAAAGAAAAAAACAAAGGAGACAGGAAAGAACTGGAAAAAAGAAAACGACTTTTGCCAAACTCCTGAAATTTGAAAGACAAAGGAAAAAAGAAAAGGAAAGCAAAAATCTAGAACAAGCCCATCCATGTTGTATTTGATGAATGTAAACGCGGAGCTTTCTAGAATCCGGGAAATGCAATAGAAAGGTAGGGAAGTGTAATGGCGGTGGTAATGTACACTGAAGGTCTGACGGATCGAGGTGTATGTTGAATCGGAGGGGAGGTAGTAGGACCGGTCTAAAGGGGGAAGAAGGAGGTATATCGGACGGCTATGTGGATTTTGAATCGCTAAAATCAATAAGGGGTGAGTGATTGTGTGTCGTCTCGTCGTTACCGATCCCGCTGGACCACCCTTATGCCTCCTCTTTATGACCTTCCTTCATCTCCCTGAACGCTTTTGAGCTCATTTCTAGCACCGCCTCGAAGCCCTGGCGTCCCTTCTGTGCGTTCTGGCCGAACCGCTCAACGCTCCATTCCTCGACGGCGTTACAGATCCTCGAAAAGGCTCCGTACGCAGTGATGGACGCGTCCTGTGTGAACACCGTCTTGCTGTCGGGATGATCCGGATGGGGTGTGTACACCACCGTCTCCTGTACCGACATGATGTTCGAACCGGTCAGGTTCACCGAGCGGAGCACCACTGTTTTCGTGCGCGGGTCGACTTCAGAGACTTCGCGGACGTAGGAAACTTCAGCGCCGGTGAGCCTCATCAGCCATCTGGGTGCGTTCTGTTTGCATGTGATGAGACGTTCCGAACGGAGCTAGCGGGTGGAAAGTTAGTTTATGCTTTTTGTTTATGCGATGGCGAAGATGAGGGAAGGGGGGCGGTCGATGCCGGTGGTGAATGTGTGCAATGGGGGGGATTGGAAGCTGATAGCTGATAGCTTCGGGAGAGACTCACGATACCCGTGCTAGGGTCAACACTGCGGGCTAGGGTGTCGACGGCGATCACATGCGTGCTCTGGGTGTTCCAAGCACAGTATTTCCGCCAGTTCGCAACCGAGACGTTCGCCCAGGAGTAATCGAACGTGCAGGTGTTCTCGAAGACTCTCATTGTGGCGGAGTGTGTGGGGGTTGTGTGAGTGTTTGGAAGCAGTAGTTGTGGTTGTGTGTTGAAGTTGGAGGGAGGGAGGGGGGTTGTTGTTTGAGGTTGTAGTTGGAGATGAGGTTTGATAGTTGAGGTTGTAGGGTTGTAGGGGTGTGGTCGGTGGTAAGAGCGAGTGTTCGAGTTGATGGTGGGGTAGTAGTGGATTTATTGGGTGTCGTGTGAGGTTGAAGAGGAGGAGAAGAAGGGAGAGTTGGTTGGTGGATGATGACTACGTTTAAGCAGCTCGGTCATGTAAGTTTTATCGCTTGGTTCGGGACTTGTAGGGGAAAGATTTGAAGTGTGAGCGAGCAGGGTTTTTTTTTCTTTCTCGATGGCGTTCTCTGCTTTGGGGGGATGTGTCGCGACTAAAACTATCCGGGCGATAACCCGAACCCGAGCAGCCAATCAGCGACGGGGCTACGGCGGGTAGGGTGAAAGGAGGTCTGGGGCAACGGAAACTTCTGCGTGACAGGAAATCCTGCAGGGCGGATAGGCGGGGCAATGACGGGCGGGCGAGAACACTCGCATGTGCTTCGATTGATTAATCTTGTAATCGTGGAGAAAAAGGGCGCTGGATAAGGGCAGGGGAGTTCGAGAATCACGGAGTGGGCGATGGAAGCCGGAGAAGAGAAGCTGAAGAAGAAACGAAGAAGAGAAGCCGAAGAAGAAGAAGAAAAGAAGATTCTCCCGCCGATGAGCTGCGCCGTGAGGAGACGATTCTTCTACCGAGCATCCAAAGAAGCAATTCTCGACGCTCGTGATCCGGTGGAATGGCAATCATGGATTTCGCCTGCACCCGTCTGCAAACCCCGCACGAGAGTCAACTCAATTCAATTACGAGCTCCGCATTCTAGTTAACTAGCTCTCCTTGGTCCATACAGCTCCCACAGCACCCTCTCTCTCCACCTCAGCGTCCACCTCAGTTCTAACTACCGGCCCCTCTTTTCTCGGAAAGCGTCCACAACCACCGTTATGGCCTCCCCCGTATCGCCCCGCTTAGACGATCCTCCTCGCTCCTCGCAAACATCCTGAAATTCACCCAAGATTTCACCAGCCGCAAAGCCGTCCTTAGCCATCGCTACGGTTCGTCGAAACGTATCGGACTACTCTACCTACTACCGGTACTGTAGAGTACCTAGGGCCCTTATACCTCCCTCCACCTGCGGACGTATCTGCCGCTACTCCTCCTACCCGAAGCCTTCGTTCCCCTTGCTCTACGCGTGGCCACGGTCTGCCTCGCCAGGCTTATCCGCCGTGACAAGTTACAACTCGGATGGACAGCTTCGTTCTCGCAGAGGGGTCTGAGGCCTGTCTTGAAATACACACCTCCTATGTCGAGTACTCTACAAACGCCCTGCGCGGAAATTAGTCATATGCTCTGTCCCCCTTCTCTTACGGTAAAGTTCTAATCGAGCTTTGATGTCCGATAGAACTTATACACAGTATAAATAGAAGATTCCATATGGGCGGTGGAGATGATGAGAGGCATAGCAATAGGATGGCTCGGATTGCCTACTGGCGCTGTCGAGTGATATCGTAAGGTATGGGCCTAATGATTGCTCGGGGTCTCCATCTATGGCTACTAGTACTTGCAGAGCTTCTGCTCTCCTGGAAAATATAATGAGCGAGCTCAAGAACTTCCTACGAGCGAGCTCTGGTGATTTTCGCATCATATAGCTGCAGTCGTCGGTGCTGGATATTCAACTGGCTTCCTAGGGTACCGTAGATCTCGTTCCTTCTGTGCATAGCTACGATCCCATCGATCTTCACTGCTATGTACAGTACCATACCGGTAGGTACCAGTCGTCTGCCTCCAATCCCTGAAATCCAGAGTGTTGATCCTCCGGCTACATACATGTACCTGTCAACCCGCTACCGCCGTAATAAGTGCAAAAACACAGCACGAATGGAATCCAGAAACGAACGTCTGGAATCATGATTCATTCCTTACGGCTTTGCATAATGCCGATGGGCATGTTCATATGTTGATCCCTTTAGCTCAGAAACGTCTTGCTTGATGTCACAGACTTCCTTCTCAACCTCCACGATACAGTATCCTTCTTGAGTTCCTCCTTAATCCCATCAATCTTTGTATTGGAGCGTGCCGCTGTTTAGTTTGAATAACCTGCTCTAGGATAGAAGCAGAAAAATTGCGGTTTGCCATGGCATTGAATCCAAAGGGAAAAGGAGCTTCGCCAAGTCGAACTTGAACAGTTCGAGCACACAGCATCTTTGTGATTCAACGAGATCGTGATCCGAGAATTCAACCAGTCCGAATGGTGCCCGGGATTTGTAGTCCAGTCCAGTCCAGTCCAGTCCTCCGCGGGTGTGCCATCGGTCCGTCCGGGACAGAAGCTGAAATGACTGGCTGCTGGCTGGGCACGAAGAGATGGCCAATGGACGGATAATTATACTGCCAACAAGGACTTGCGTTCGGGTCTCTTGTTTGCTGTGAATATCAAGTGAATCCTCAGCGTCCAGCCCAGATATCCCGATAATCCTTGCCTGGACGGATTGAATTATGATGGTGCAGTCCGAGGCGTTATCGATCACTGACTAGACGCCCTACCTATAGACTTGCCTGATCGTGAATAGTAGTTGACTGTCTCGATGCTGCCTGCTGTGGGATCCCTGATTGCCTATCTCCATGTGGTTGCTATATACCTACATGTTACTGCTGACAGTTCCGCTCCGCTTTCTTCTCAGATACCGGTAGTGGGGTTGAATTGACTTCGACGCTTCTAAACCGAGTGCGGGATAGTTACTTCCCTACACACACGACCGTGGCCAAGCCCCACGCGACCCGTAGTTTTAATCCCTGCACCACATCTCTGTGTCGTTGTTCCGCCAAGCTTCACATGCAGCGTTCTATACCAATCCTGCATCCGGGACGTTCTCATTTTTACGCCTTACATATGTAAAATCCACGAAATCCGCGTTCCAGCAAACTGGAGACAGAGGAAAGGCCGTTACATAACGCAAGCAGGCCTGGCAGGGTGCCGAAAGTCAGCCCTGAGCATCCACAACCTGTCCAGGGACCGGAGCAGGTTAGTTAGAGGCCGGCGTGAAAAGTGAGACTGCTCTGGAGTCTGGGCTATGTAGGGCACGACAGGCGGGACTGGGACGCCTGTATGTACGAAAGGCGAGTAGCCGCGAGCTTAACGTGATGGTTGTCACCAACAACTTAAAAAGCGCTTAGCTAAGTAAGGGTACTTGCCGGCCCTTGAAGAAAATGGCAACTTCCGTGCCCCACATCCATCCCACCATCGGACTCACACGCCCTGCTCGCCGCCGCCGCCGCCGCCTGTCCGCCGCCTGTCCGCCTTCAAACCTCACAGAATCAACCCCACAAGCCCGCATACCAGCCCGCCACCACCGCATAGATGCCTGTCGGTCCCACCCTCCATCCGTCCCCTCTTCCCCCAAAATCCCACCTGACATTAGCCATGTCCTTACCTCTAGGCGACACCCGCAGCCCCGCCCTACGTCGTCGACATGTCCCGCTTCCTTCCTCCGGTAAACCGCGCGATGCGCGTCCTCGACCGCTCGTTCTTCCGCAAGACGATCCCGATGGCGGCCGCGCACGTGCACAATCCGCGCGATATCTCGCGCGTGCAGAAGGAGTGCGCTTCCGACCTGCTGCGTCTGAAAAGAGTCCCGCCCGTCCAGGAGGATCCAGAGGTCAAGGGAAGGAAGTTGATTCTGCTGTGGCCTGAGGTGCGGTGTGATGGTATGATCTTGGGAAGACGGGCGAGGGTTTTAAAGGAGGGACTAATGGTGGGGAGCGGTATGCGGTAGACCCTTCGACTGGAAGTGAAGCCCTGCGTAGACTCGTAAGCAGTAATGTCATGGAGCTCGTGCCGTTCACACTGCACATGGACTACACGCACTGGAACTATGAGGAAATCATCTCTGCGGTGCTGCCAGACGACATAGTCGACGACGCACCCGGCTCGTTCTCACAAGCGGGCCACCTGGCGCACCTGAACCTCCGCCCCGCCTACCTCCCCTACAAGTCGCTGATCGCGCAAGTAATCCTCGACAAGAACACGCAGATCCGCACGGTCGTCAACAAGCTCGAAGACGTCGGCGCACACTCGGTCTTCCGCACCTTTCCCATGGAGATCCTGGCGGGGCCCGCCGACACGACAGTCGAGGTCAAGGAGTCGGCTTGCACCTTCGTCTTCGACTTCGCCAAGGTGTACTGGAACACGCGGCTGGGGCACGAACACGAGCGGGTGGTCGCCAAGTTCCAGCCCGGCGAGGCGGTGTGCGACGTCATGGCCGGCGTGGGCCCCTTCGCCGTTCCCGCGGGGAAGAAAGACGTCTTTGTGTGGGCCAACGACCTGAACCCGGCGTCGCACGAGGCGCTCGAAGCCAACATCAAGCGCAACAAAGTCGGCGCCTTCGTGCGCGCGCACAACACCGACGGCCGCGAGTTCATCCGCGCAGCGATCCAAGAGCTGTACGCCGTGCACTGCAACCCCGAAGCGAACCCTGTCTCCGTCCCCGCCCACCCGGTGAAATACAGCCGCAGCAAAGCGGCCGCCGGAATCCCGCAGGTGACAAAGCCCGCAGACCGCAAGATTGCCGTGCCGCCGACGTTCGCCCACTTCGTCATGAACCTGCCCGCGAACGCGGTCGAGTTCCTGGATGCGTTCAGAGGCGCGTATGCCGGGCTGGAACACATCTTTGGGAAGGACGGCGTACAGCTGCCCATGATCCATGTGCACACGTTCCATCGCGAGACTCAGGAGCGCGGGCCGGAGTTTGCGCGCGAGGATCTACTACAGGTCATTGCGGAGCATCTCGGCTCCCGGGTGAAGAGTGACGACCTCGAGCTCCATGATGTGCGCAGGGTTGCACCGAATAAGTCGATGTACTGTGCGAGCTTTAGGCTGCCGGCTGAGGCGGCATTTGCGGAGCTGGAGACGCCAAGGGATGTGAAAAAGTTGAAGATGGATAATTAGATGGGGTCGTCCGGCAGGTGTGTGGAGTTTCTAGGTGGCTATATACCATAGAGGTTTGGGATATCTTTTTTGTAAAAGCAGCTCTCGTCACGAGAGCAAAGGAGTGAGATGGAGTTGGCATTCATTGTACGGTACGAGTGACATCTCATGTAAGTCGCAAGTCACACATGAGCTCGGGGCTCCTACATACGGTCTCTTCCAGTGCGGGAACTCATCTGGCGACCCGGCCAAGGATTCGGGGGACCAAAGATGCCCGCTGGACCGTACCACTCGATTTGCAGGGACGATCGTGGAAGTTTGTTTGGCGTGCATCTGTTCTGTTCCAGCCACAGTCGGCACATCCACACTACCACAGTCCATCACAGTCCACAGTCCACCCCGTTCCCGTCCCGTTCTGTTCAAGCTTGGTGCTGAACGGGAATATCTGCCTGCCTGCTTGTTCGCGGCAATTCCCGAGCCATTCGCTGCCCAGAATTACCCATTTTACCTTTCCAGAGCGCTCTGACGTTTCCGTAGTCGCCGACTACGGGCTGGGCTGAGCGGAGCTGAGATGAGCTGAGCTCGATTGGGTCTCGGTGCTTCCGGGGGGGGCAGCAAAAGAAGCAAAAGAAGCAAAAGGCGAAATCAAAAGACAGTGCGAAACCTTCTCTCTTTCGAGTACCAAGTAGGCTTTACTTTTTGCTTTGCACTTGATGCTTTAAACTCCGCATTCCCCTCGCGAGTCTATTTAGAGTGCTATGGCAGTATACATATATGGAGTGGGAGTGAGGTGGAGTGGAGTGGATTACACGCCTCTCCGACACGAGTTGTTCCCCGGCACCGCTTTTTCCAGCCCTTCGGAATCGGAATGCCTTCGGAGCATGTGCATACTCTACGCTATGGTAGACGCACACAGTCGGTGCGAGCTGAAGTCTGAAGATGTCCACTAGAGGGGGAACCTCACTACCTCACCACCTCAGCCCTAGGTAGGTGAGGCATTTCTCCCAACTCCCAAGGCCCTTTGTTTAATTCACAAGTGCGGCTGATTGGTGGTGGTGGTGGTGGTGGTGGTGGTGGTAGGGTGGTAGGGTCGATTCACGCTCACCGACACTTGGCTCTGTCGGGGGGAGGAGAATGGGCAACGCAAACACACTCGCTTCTCGCACGATTGAGTGGTTCATAACTAACACGGAGGTAGGTAGAGTATGAGGTAGCCAGCTGCCAGCTTCGAGTGAGCAAGTCAAGCTAAGCCATCTGCCCCCCCCCCCCCCCCCCCCCCCCCCCTTCGACCTCATCTACCTGGAGATGGCCGGCGATGTAGGTAATATCGCCCGCTTCGACGGATTTGAGGCTTAAGGCGTAGGGAAGGCTGACGGTTTGCACGATTTCCGATGGATACTTATATTGGAATCCGTTTACTGGGAGCCCTCGTCAACGGGATCTACAAACCGGCCTCCGTACCATACGAGTGGCGTCTCGATACTCTACTTCAGATCCAATAGAGTTTCGCCGACCCTACACGCGTTAAGCGCCGAACACCCTGCCAGGCTGTCAGGCCGTCAGCTGCAGGAAGGTTCCAAAGTAAAGCAAAAAAGCAACCCCCTGTCCCCCATCCGGCAAGTTGCAACTTCTCGAGTCGCCGTCCAAGATACCCAGGCTCCAACAGGGCCAATAACTCATATAGCATGTAGAGTAACTGCGGGCCCGTCCGGCGTCATGTATAGCACCCCCCCAATTCGAATCCGCAATTCGAATCACCAATCCCGACGTAAGTAAGAAGCAAATAAGAAGTAGGTGGGTACCTCGCTATATATACCTGTATATAACCCCCGTGCCCATCCCCAGGCTCCCCTCCCGCCCGTCCCCCGTCGTCCCTCTTCCGTAACGATCATCAAAACACCCATCGCCCATCGCTTCTCGACAGAAAAACAATGTCAGAAATCCACGCGCTCTCGACGGATACGCAGCAGCAGTACCAGCCCCACAGCCAGCAGCAGCAGTACCAGCACGGCGGCCACGGGCACCACAGATACAATTCCAGCGTACCTCCCCCTCCCCCTTTCCCCCTTCTTCTTCTTGTAGCTAATGAAGATGACTAGGTTAACCCCCTCTTCCTCGATGAGATAACACCGGCGGACACGCGGCCGAGCACGGACGACTCCGAGAAGCGACGGCTGGCCGATGGCGAGGTGAAGCGCGACTATCGCGGCTGGGCAGACCGTGGGAAGGATGCGATTTTTGAGAGGTTGAGGGGGAGGAAGAAGGGGTCTTCTTAGCGGGGGGAAGGGGGCGGGGAGGGAGGGAGGGAGGGGAGGGGAGGCAATGGGGGGATGGGCATAGAGCGGGTTTCTTTCACTTGATTTCTTTTCTTTCGGGAGTACGATAGGTATGGGTATCGTCTTCTTCTTCTTCTTCTTCTCCTTGGGTTGGTTAGGAAGTAGGTAATCCTTCACCGTTCGAGCAGGTTCTTTTCTTTCCACCATATATACCCAGGTACCGGTAAAGCTGTCATGCTCGGTGCCCACTGTCCCGTAAAACCCCGTAAAACCCCGATCCCATCCCGGCCCGGTAGAGTACCGGTAGAGTACCGGTAGAGTAGGGTGAACGAACGAACGAAACGGCAATACTATTCTCCTAGCTACCTGCCTACCTACCTGGTATTTTGTGTAGTATCTCCAACATCTCCGAACCGCTCAACTGCAGCACCAGCAGTACATAGCAGCAGCAAGTAGCGGACCCCACACGCCATACCATGACTGCGTGCAGCCCCTGCCGAAGGAAGGGGGGCATCCACCTGTCCAGATATCAGATAGACATCATACATATCATACAGCGACCACTGCATAGATATTCGGAGTGTCTTGGGGGCGGCGGCGGATAAAAGTGCAGATGCAGGTGCGGCGTCGCTCCTCCGGTCGGTCGGTCGGTCAGCCAGCCAGCAGGTGCGGCGTCGCTCGGTACTCTATGTATTGGCCACGTGTCGCAGCGGGCTGCGCACGGTATATCACTCGCCACCGGCTTACGTACCTCATACATATCTGCTCTACTGCACGCCGCGCGCACGGTGGATGATCTCGCAGGTTCGCTGGTCCCGTTCGCAGCAGCAGCTCAGATCCGGGGAGAACGCGGGATGTGCCTGGGGGGGAGGGGCGGATTAATAATAGTTAAGTAGGCGATGGGATGGAGGATGGATATTTGTTTATCCGCTTACTACCTACGCTGACTACGTAGCCGCATGCAGTTGACTGTGGACGATGTCAGCCGAACGGCGAAGAGACGAAGATTCGCCATTGAGACGCCTCAGATCCAACGTCATGCGAATTCCATCTGCGTGGCCGGCCGGGGCCACGCACCAGGTAGCTATCGATTTTGTAAGTATGTATTCGGAAGTACTCTACCGTAGCTAATCTACACAGCAGCCAACCAGTAGCGACAGTACGTACATAGCGAAGTCGGGGTTGTGCGGTTCTAAAGGAAAAAAGAGAGACGACGGGAGCTATGTATCATATCTGGCAACAGACCAGACCGCCCTGGCGATCGTTGTTCTCGCTTCCCTATCCGGTATATGATGATCTGTGATGATCTGTGATGATCTGTGATCATCGTTGAGAGAGAGCAGGGCTAAGCTTTCTGCATACATAGCACTCCTGAAGGAGCTTTTCCGCCCAGCCAGCTTCCAAGCGAAGCGCGAAGCAAAAGCAAAGAAAGAAAGACAAAAATATTCCAAAGCACAGCACAGCACAGGGCATCGATCCTGGCTTCCCTGCCGGCGCCTCCCAGATCGCGAGGGCGAGGAAGCATGGTAGCGCACTCGTTTGTCGGCAGACGACGTCGCCTGCTGGCGCTGGACTGGGCTGGGCTGGATCGGACTGGGCTGCATTGGCTGCGGCCGGCTCGGTTGGCACCCCCCAAACTTGATGGCCGGACGGAGGCAAGCAAGCAAGCAAGCAAAATTCCATGTCCGCTCCAGACCAGCGAGAGAGAAAGAGAGAGGGAGAGGGAGAGGGAGAGCTAGTCGGAGGGGGTGGGTACGACGAGTGTAGGTACTCTACCTATGCTTGGGCACCGAGGGATCGAGCGCTATGCACACATCGCCCACTTGGGAGGTAGCTGGATGCGAGGCTTCAAGAACTACTGAACCAGAACCAGAACCAGAGAGCTCCTTTTTGCCTACATACATCTTCTCTCAAGTGCGTCATCCTCCCGGAGTGGGGAAGGAGACAGAGAGTGGAAGAGGGAGGGTATCCCTTTCGACTCTACCGGGTGTAAAGACCTATCGGAGCTTGTACGTACAATACATAGAGCAGAGGAGCAGAGCAGAGGAGCAGAGCAGAGCAGCGTAGGTGTACTCGAGTGCGAAAAGTCAGCGTCATAGGTAGTTAACGCATCTGCAGAGCAACGTAACAACCAGTCCATTGGCTTATAACCATGCAACCGTGCAAGTGCCCCTCCGAGGGTTCCTCGCTTCATTGGTTTCTTCGGCGGACGGGGTCAGAAACGGCCCAGTCCGAGGATGCACATTGCGTGGTAGGTGGGATGCGTTCGAGCTTGCTCGCTCGCTCAACCAACCGCTGCAGACAGACAGATACTTCCAGCAGCAGCAAAGCCCTGATCGGCCGGCTGGGCCACCAAACGCCGATCTCCCACTCCCTCCCTCCCCCCCCCCACCACCACCACCACCATTACCACCACCAATTATTCCCATTCTCCGTTTTCCGGACTGCTATGTAGAGTACCGCTAGAGGAGTGAAAAGCGGAGTGGCTCTGAGAACGCCACAAGGGGATATATTAGCACCGTCCCCACGAGCTCCCCGCGAGCTCCCCATGAGCCAGCAGCGAAAATGTTGTATACCAGGACCGAGCCCGAAGTACCTGCCCCTCATCCTCCTCCGGGAGGTCTGACAGTATAATATCGTGAGCTTCCGTACCGCAACTCAGCCGTGGGGGCCAACCATGTACTGAACTCCATCACAGTTCTGCAGAAGTGTGTGTGTATATATGTGTGGGTGAACGCGTATGAG